AGGGGGAGTCCTGGTTTCAGCTGTGAAGTGTATTACAAGGGACAAGGTAACTCAAGAAAGGAAGAGGTGTAAAATGGTAGGGATGCCGTCTCTTAACAAAGCGTCTGAGACAACTGATTGCCGTTTGAGCAAGACCCTGCCCAGGTCTTCCTCCATTTTCCCCTTGATGTCTCTGTTCTTGTTATTTTTTCACTTCATCACTGGAAGGAATGTGCTGAGGTGCAAGTGTATGCTCTGTCTACCCACGGTGCAAGCAGCTGTTAGCTAAGAAATGAGATGCTCAGAGAGGCATTTTAAAATACGGTGTGATTTTGATGAACATTAAATTTCTTTTAGAGGACAGCATGCTTCCATACAGAGACACCGGATCTTTTCCCTGTGAATAAACAGCAAAGTATCAATCCTTCCTTTTAAAAAAAAAGAAAAAAAGGGTTTTAGTTGTGAGACAAATGAACATGAATGCCTCCCCCTCTTTCATTTTACAAAAAGAGTCTGACTAGGAAACTAATTAAGTGGTTGGTTAACTTTATGCGTTTAAGTAGCTTCATTTAATTTTAAGTCAAGTTACTGTGGCTTCCTACTGAAAGCATCAGCAGAAAGGCGGGCAACTAAATCTCCATAAAAATGCTGTTAATCTTGAGAAGACCTTGAATGGCTTCTGCATTCCCTAATGGACTCTTTCGTGCTCTTTTCTTTTCACAGCCTCATTCCTATGAGGTGCACTTTTTCTTGTGCGCCAGTAAAAGTACACTATATTCAGGAAGAACCATGAACCTTCCTTGAAATAATAAGCTGTAACTCCCATTGAATAGAAATAGAAATAGAAGTAGGATGCATACTGTGAACCTGACGTTGGCTCAGCAGTGCAGCAGGTATAGAGGACAGTGCCAGCCAATAACTCAGATGAGACGCCTGTCAGGCTTCTTCCATGCGTACTACGTAAATTTTAGAAAAACTGATTCATCATGCAAGATTTCTGTACTTTACTACAGTGAAGTTATACGGTGTTTTTCATGATGACATGCCCATGATGCGACTTTTTGCATGGGAAGACACAAATTTATGCATATTCATCATAAAGGAAAAAGAAGAATTTCACGTATTTAGGCTTGGGTTCACATCGGAGACAACAGGTACATCTATATGGTATTTTGAGCGTGAGCTTGCATCACTGCTTGAGTCCAAAGTCCCCTTGTATCACAGTGTTTGCCCCCAAACCTACACTCAAGCACAGCTTTTGGTAAAATTTGGGTGCATGCTGTTGACTGACGTGTTTAAAGCTGGGACCTCCATCCCGGTGTGGCCAGGCCAGGCCGGGCACTTGGGTGAGCACAACAGGTTGCACCTTCCCTCCCGGCATCTCCACGTAGCCCAGGCTGGGCCCAAGGCTTTGGGTCTTTTGGGAAGGGCACAACAGTGGATTGAGGAGAAAAGGAGCTCCCTAAGCTCAGCCTGCCTTGTAACTGTGCAGGCAGCCGTGGCCTGCCGGGCCTACGAGCTAAGCAGCTTGTGGGTAAACCAGCGTGGGGGCCACGGCAGGTTTTAGCATTTTCAAACCAAATGCAAAAGGTGTTGGGTTTACATGCTCTTTTTTTACGTTCTGTCTTGCACAAATCAAACCCTCCGGGGACGGATCCCCTGCAAGTTTTGCCGCCCTCCTGCACTTCGCCCACCTTGGAGGACTTGTCACGCCAAGACACGCGTTCCTGGCGGTGTGGGTGGCTGCTAGCGGAGAGCCAGGGGCAGGTGGGGAGCCGCAGGTGCAGGCGCCAAGGCGGCATAATCACCCAAGTGGCAACGTTAGCAGAAGGCAGACGCTGAGCCAGAAGCAGCAACAATATATTCAGAAAGAGCAAAAGCAAAGGGTAAGGCGGAAGAAGGTGGGGCATCAACTGAAACAGCGAAGGCGGCAGCAGTCATCTCTCCTCCTCGTGTGCTCTGTCAGCTCGGCCACTGGACACATTTTCACCTGCCTGGACCAGTCACCACGAATGTGTCACACCTTGCTGCTGCCATGGAAAACGTTACTAAATTCTTGAGCTTCCAGGAGTATTTAGAACGAAAAAGAGCACTCATCTCTCATTCCCACATGCCCCCTCCAATGTCGGCTGTCACTGGCAGTGGGCACGCGTTAGTCACTTGTTTGGTTCAGCTGTTTTGCCTGCTGCTTGGGTTTAATAGAGGTTTTCTGGCTTTGAAAAAAACCTCCAGCTATTGGTTTGATGACAGTGCAGAGGTGGGGTTCCAGTACAGCACATGAGATGCCATCTACCCATTTGTTTTTTTAATCCTGTGGTGTGCCATAATGTGGGGGGGCTAAGGATGGAGAAGAGGCTCATATGTTACCTTTATGTATGGCTGTACCATCCCCTGCATACCCTTCACTATTCTTGAGCACTGTATATACTTGTGTGTGTTTAATTTCTCATATTTCTTTGAGTATACTTCCTATTTTTGGTGTGGTTGCATCTGTATCTGTTTGTGGGCTAGACTGAAGAAATCAGCCAGCCTTCTCCTCCCTGTTCCCTCTTTGTCATGGATTTGTTACAGTCAACTGACATGAGGTGCAGCAGCTGAGCAACTGGGGAGTTGTTTATCCCCCAAGAAAGCCCTTTACCGTCAGGCTCAGTATTTGTTCTACCAGGAGACTTATGCTCACATACTTTAGAAGTTGCAAGATCTAAGGTTGTCGAGTGTCAAGTAGCATTTTATCCAGGAGCCAAATTTAAGATATAAAAGTTCAGCCATGAGTTTGGCTGGGCTTTTCAGATAATCCCACAGGCAAGAACAGAACTGTGTAGGACAATGGCCAGAGAAAGAGAGGATCATTGCCACACCATTACAGGTAGTACATTATTTATGACAAGTTTAGAAAACCAGACTGTGTCATATCAATTTATACCAGACCACTGAGGGCCGACTTCAAGGAGTAGCGTTGGTGATGTTAGACTTGGTAGCAACCTTTATTTCAGTCTTATGTCTGTACTGGGAGGAACTGGTATCGCTCAGATAATGCTGGTAATCAAGATAGGGATCACTTGCACTTTTTAAAAGATGAGGTGGCACATTTTGCAAGTGTATTTTAGAGTACAGGGTGCTCCCAGCCCCGTCCAACCTGGCCTGGAACCCTTCCAGGGAGGGGGCAGCCACAGCTGCTCTGGGCACCCTGGGCCAGCACCTCACCCCCCACACAGGGAACAATTTCTGCCTTACATCTCACCTAAATCTGCCCTCTGACAGTTTAAAACCATCACCCAGAGTCCCTCCCCACCTCTCCTGTCCCCCCTTTAAGCCCTGGGAGGCCGCTCGAAGGGCTCCCCGGAGCCTTCTCTTCTCCAGGCTGAACCCCCCCAACTCTCTCAGCCCGGCCCCCCAGGGGAGCTGCTCCAGCCCCCCCAGCATCTCCGTGGCCTCCTCTGGCCCCGCTCGAGCAGCTCCGTGTCCTTCTGCTGTTGGGGGCCCCCGAGCTGGCCCCAGCACTGCAGGGGGGTCTCCCCAGAGCGGAGCAGAGGGGGAGAATCCCCTCCCTGGCCCTGCTGCCCCCCCTGCTCTGGCTGCAGCCCAGGGCACGGGGGGGTTCTGGGCTCACGGGCAGTTTTCCCCCCACCAACCCCCCCAGCCCCTCTCCTTGGGGCTGCTCTCCAGCCGCTCCTCGAGGGCCCAGCCTGGGTTTGTGCTGGGGATTGCCCCGACCCATGGGCAGGACCTTGCCTTTGGCCTTGCTGAACCCCATGAATGAATTGTTAGCAGAGAGGTAACCCCACAGAGACGGAGCCATTGGGTGACTGAGCCCTGGGGCTGTGGGGTGGCGGAGAGGGGAGTCAAGTGGATGGGGGTGTCAGACCCAATTCTGCTTTACAGGATGGAGGAAAGTGTGAGCTGAGCCCCTCATCAGTCTCTGGGTTAATTTCTGCCTCTTCCAAGGTTGTGGAAAGATGTAGTGGATTTGGGCCTAGGAATGTAGAAGTGTCTCTCTTGGATACATTTTTGACATTTAAAATCCCTTTAAAGAACTCAAAATGCGGTGGTGAGGTGATTTCTGGGGTAGATGTGCAAATTAATGAAACCCGTGAAGATACAATGCACCACGGTGGTATTACTGCCGTTAAATTATATTCATACAAGTGTGCGTGTGTGTGGTGGGGGGAAAAAAGGGAGATGCTGAACTTTAAAGAAACAGTTATATGGAACTGCAATTTCCTGCTATTTTAAGCATACTGTATCCTCAGTATTTGCTGGCACAGAAATCTCAGTAAACATAACTGCTCGTTCAGCATATCCTAATTGTTTTCAGTATATGTGGCTGTATGGCACTGATATTAATTGCATGTCACTGTTCCTGAATTAAAATGTTCCTATTTACTAACCTCCTTCCTCATTATAGTCCTGAGCCACTGGAGAGTTTGAAGCTCATCTATTTGTCAAATACATTTTGTGAGTTAATTCTTCTGTCAGCATTGTATCCACTGGTAACAGCCCAGGAACTGCCATTTCACTCAGAAATGGATCATCTAACCTGACTGTGCTGTCAAAGATTATGCAAATAAATAAACAGGTAACTTGAGACATTATGTGTCTGTGCTAGGAATACCAAGTCTGATGTCACTGTTGTGGTAATAAATTAACCAACATTAATGATTGATAATCATTATAGATAGATGCTCATTATGAAATGGGTTACTTTGTTTTCTTTTGTTTCTTTTTAGTTAACAGCTGCTGAAATACTGAACAGCCTGTTTTCAAGCTGACAACTACTTAGGACCCAGAACAATTTATTTTCTTAAATAAAACTAGGCAAGGAGGTTTTTTTTTCCTGGAAATTATGTAAGATTTTTTACTGTGTCTTCCATACTGAAGTGGGATGAAAGGTCAAAACTCATTAAAACTTTAGCAAAGTAGAAATCTACATGAAAAGATTAATTTGGTGTTTTAATTTTTATAGTCCTTGATTTGTCAGAGTGCCTAAGTGTATGATTAATTTTCTGTATCTTTAATTTCAGCCACTTCCTTGGGGTTTTATTGAGTCAAAAATTGATGGGATTTCTGCGAGTCTGGTCTTGGAGTGTCTGAGAAATAAACTTGAAAAACAGAGAAGGACAACATGCCTTCCAAGAAGCTCTGCCGCTATCTCCTTCTCTACACCAAGCAGTGAAGGATGGTAAGAACCCGTTCTTTGCAAAGCAATGGCCCGGTAGAAAAAAAATTGTGCTTCACGTGGCACGGACAAGATTCATCCCAGACTGACTGTGTGGAGTGCTTGCAGGAGCAGGTAGCTGCAACATCTGGAAACTGGTCTCTTGTTCAGACCGGTCTCAATCTGGTGCTATCCAGGGTTACTTACCTTTTGGATAAGGAGAGGAATCAAACTTTTTTACTATCATGTTTAATGTTTTCTTTCCTGGAGCCTCTACAGGCCATTTTCTGTAGTCTCAGGGTTCCCTTTCTCTGCCCTGCTAAACAACAGCTGGGTAATGGAGCAACCAACTTGGCTGAAGATTTTTAGCTGCTTTCAAATTGTCTCTGTCAATGTCAACCAGGATTTTATTCCCACAATCCCATGGCTGTGCTTGGCAGCTTGTAAATCAGATGTACGTCAGTGAGAAGGAGTGGATTCCTTCTGTCTTAATCTGCAGCCTCTTACTTTTATGACTCCTTTGTATCATCAGTCTTTATTTCCATCACAAGGAAAAAATGTCTTCCCCCAGCGGCTGCATCCAGATGAATGTGTTTTATTCTCAGCAAGATCCGAGGAGGGCGATTTACAAGGGTTCTGGGCACTCAGGACGCAGGAGCACTGGTACTTTCGAAACATGCCTTGTATATGATGGATGGGGCATATTATCTAAATGCTAATAAATACTGAGCCACAAATTGGTTCCATTTTTCTTCATTCCTCTGCTGCCCGTGGTTGTTGAATGACGCTAAATCTAGCCTCAGACACATTACAGTGCTAATTAGTTCCGATTTCTTTCTTTGTTCTTTCTTTCCAGTAGGGCAATATGGATGTGCTGCCTCTGGGCATATTTATGTTACAGCCTCATTGGCTCGCCTCCACTGAGAGCCCGTGGTGCAGTTTGGTGTGAGGCGGACGGGGTGCAAAGCTGGTGTAAATCTCGTCTGGCACAGGACTCTTGAGCATAATTTAAAACGGTCAGTAGGTTTGTGTTCCTTACTAAACTCTGCAGGACTTTCCCGGAGGGATGATGTCCTTTGAATGTACATTTGATCACATACACATGATATAATGTGCTCTACCAGATGAATACTTGCCAACAGCATCTTCTGTGTAAACTGAAGAACAAATCAGTTGTTCTTTTTAGCATTCTAGATTTTAGGTTCTTAAAGATAAGCCGATGGATATTGACTTCTCCACTTCACATTTTGAGGCAAAGTTTCAAAAGCAAGCGCGTGACTTCCGCTTAAATAACTAAATATACTCTGCTGCTGGCAGTGCCTGAGTAAAACTGCTGCTGGCAGGGTGATGGCTGGACCCGCAGAACCCTTTATGTCAGGCGTTAGAGCAGTTTGCACGTGGCTATGTTGGAAGTGCTGGTGATGCTCACAAGCATGCCTACACATAATTTGTAAATATATCAGAGCTGCTTTTTGAAAATCTGTCCCCAAACTCTTTGTGAGGGAGAGTTCATTTGCAATTCTTTGTATTCAAGACATTCTCAGTAATAGCACCTGTTGTTTTTTGGCCAGAAAACAAATAAACAAGCCACTTTGCACTGATGCTGCACATGCATCCTGCAAGTTTTATATGTTTTTCCAAATCAAAAAAAAAAGAATAAAATTCATGGCTCATAGGCAGCCTCTAGGAAGGCTCTCTGGCACCTTCTCTGAGCTTTTGGGGCCAACGCTGACTTTGTAGGAGCTGAAAACTTTGAGTAACTCAGCACTTCAATACTCAGAAATAATATGTCCTTTCTTAAAGACCTGGTTATGAAAGATTCAGAGTCTTTTCAGTCTACTGTGGGATCACTAACAATTTTCCATCTCAGAGAATTCAGATGTTTGCGAGGTACTTATGGAAAAATCTTTGCAATTTAGTGCAGTGGGAATGGCCTGTCTGAAGCAAAGGCAAAATGAACAAATACATATTTAAGATACCCACCACTATCTTATGTTTATTCTGTGAAATACAGCAGCAATTTTTTCAATGAATTGTTTTTTGATCTTCTACCAAAAGACTCTGGAAACTGAATATACTGAATTTTGCAAGCAGGGATTATGAGTGGCTTCATGACAGTCTGTGCACAGGGAACAGAACTCTTTTTGCTCTTCAGAGTGGCAGACAAATGTGCAACATAATCCGAGTTGAAGCAAGACTGGAGGTAGGATTCTCACTTTTAATTATGCCAGTGATGAATTGCAGGAAACCCTGTCCAGGCATTGCAATTATTTCTTATAACCAGAGTTTTTGGTTGGGCTCACCTGCTAGATTCTATTCTGTAGCTCAGACAAGAGTTTGTATCAGTGATATAGTTTATGCTCTTTGTTACAGCTGGGTTGAAATGATTCAGATGGTTCTTTCTGGCCATGAAAACAGAGTCTGTGATTCTTATAAATAGTAACAGGCTGTTGTGTGCCATCCTTGCTAGAGAATTCTCCCAGGCTTCCTTAGGATGTTGGGTTACAGCCTGAGATGCACACAAGCTGTGTCAAGAAATTTAATTATGAGATCGCTGTGTTTGTGGCTACCGTGTGGTACAAGTGAGGCATATCAGGTGGGTGTAAAGACAGAAAATCTATTGGGACATTCCCATCAGCTCCTTCTGTAGAAGAGGCTGACTGTTGTATGCATTTATCCTGGGGACTAGGTGATGCACGTGCTGTAAGTGAAACGTAAAATACTGGGGGTGGGACAGGTCAGGCTCTCCCACCGGCTCCTATGGTCCTTGTCTAGAATATGTTTTTTAACTTAATATTTCTCTAGCTGACAAAAAGAATAGGGGAAGACATTTCATGTTCTTCACCATTTAGGCATTTAAATAGCTCAGGAGAGTTTGACAGTACTGAACTAATCATATGACCTGGCTCTGGTCCCTAGAAAAACTATCCCTGACACCAGATGCAGGCTTTCATGGCATGCATCTATTACTTATATTTCTGTGTTATTACTGTCATCCGTGTTTATCTGTTTAGAGCCAAGTCTGGACTCACCTGATGTTGTTGATTTCTGTAGGATCAAGCTCAGCTCTAAGCATCCGGCTTTGGGTTTTTTTTGCCTTGTTCATCTTTTCTAGAGAAGGCTGATAAAAAGCAATTCAAAGGTGCCCAGTGGGCTCAGAGATACAATATGCCAGCACCGTCTGTAAGCGGTGATGAGACGACCTCAGCAGTCCTGAGGTTTGATCACACTCGTCCAAATACATAGACCAGACAGTCTTGTTAAATAATTGAAGTGGTATTAAGTTCAGGCCTCTCACATTTAGTGCTTTTCAACTCTCCTGCCACTTACTTCATTGCTCTTTGCAGAGAAATTACACTTTTCTAGTTTTAGCATTTGTTCTGCTCTGTGCCACTGGCTCCCAGCAGCTTCTGCAGACCTCCCGACCTCCTTGTTGCAGCCGGTAATATCATGACTTGTTTCCATGGAGACCAGAGTAAAGGGATAAATAAACGTGGCTGGGAATAGCAAGCTTTCACCTTCTGTCACCAGGATAAAAACAGAGGGGGGAATCGTGGCCGGATTGTGTAGTTACACAAAGAGAAGGGGAGAGCCCCCGGTGCCCTCCTCTCCTCCGCGGCAATGTGCGCAGTGCTGGCCTCGGCGTCCCCGGGCGGATGGATGAGTGAGGTAGTGAGGCCTGAACAACAGGCCGGGAGCCAGAGTTGCCCTCTAGATGAACCTCACAACCAAATGTTATGTAATATCAGTATCCGATCATCGTCAGCGAAATATGTAGCTTGGATAGAATATCTCATTAGCGAGACAAGTAGCTTAGATAAAGCAGTATGGGGATATATTGACCCTCCCTAGTTTAGAAACATGCTATCGAGGCCTAGTTCACAAACTCCCTCGGTTCCTCCTTGAGCCCTGGCCAGGCTTGGGGAAGAATCCCAAAGGAGGACGTCAAGGCGAGCCAATCCCCCAGATGTCTTCTGTGCCTTTTGTCGTACGGATAGATTGATCGATGTGTTTGGTAGGCTGTATAAAAGCAGGACGGTCTCACAGCGGAGGCGGAGGCCTCACCTGCGAGCGGAGGCGCTGCGTGGGACTTCCCAATCGCCGGGAGAGGCTCTCCTCTCCGATCCTGCACTGTGACCGGGCTCCCCAGCTGAAGCACGGATCTGGATGATGGTAAAGTATGAGGGCAACCGGTGATGGATCTTAATCACCATGACTTGTCTGGTATAGTAATGACTAAGATGCATTGCCTTGTTTCTTAACTGCCTTGTTTCTTTAGTATTGCTTATTCTTTTTGTATTACCTTGAGACAGCCAGTAAAATAAGCATATTTCTTTAACTTGGTACCCGTGCCCTTTGTGTTAACCCCATCAATTGGCAAAACAATGAGCGAGCCCCAGCCCACGGGTTGTTCTTCACCACAGCTACCTATCGAGGAACCGGCGCGTTGGGGGCTGCTGCGCCTTGACGTGGCGGGGACGGCATTTCTTTCGGGGTACGCTTCGTTTCACTGAGTGGTGCTGAAGAGCGTGAGCTGGGCGATATACATTTAGATTACATGAGTGAAAATATCCGTGCTGCTTTCCTTTGATCCAGCTAGTGGATTGTAGCCAGGGAGCCAGAAAAACTCAGTTTTAGACCCCAGTCATCTTGCTGAGCAGCTGTGTGATCTTGAAAGATCATTTCTCATTCCTCTCTTTTGCTTTACTTATGAGGTTATTGCACCTTTGGAGCAGGGAACTTCTTTGTGAGGATAGTTTATATGCTGTCTGTCCCAGGGACGGCTTTGTCATGGTCAAAGTTTCTAGGTGAATTGTAATAATAAAAAATAAAGTTCAGGAATGCTCCTTGGGGCCAGTACTATGTTTCATTCTCCCATGTACATCTGGTTACAGGTCCTGCGGGGATTAGTAGGAACTGCTAATGAACATGGGTCTTCCAAAACTGCCCTGACAATGAAAATGGAAAACCGGTCTCATACTACTTTTTTTTTTTTTTTTTTTGTGCTGCTAGGAGAGAAGTTATTCTCAGAATAAAGGACTTTCCTTACCAGACGACTCAATCCAACCTCACTCTGCAATGAATATCTTCTCACACGGTAGAGTAGGTGAGTTTTGTCAGACTGAATGCCATTGTTTAAAGTTGTGGTAGGTTCAGTCCAAAAATTGTAACCCCAGATCCTCCTCAGCTCTGGTGAAATGAAAAGCTGAACCCAGGTCTGAGTGCTAGTGTGGTTCAGCTTTAAAATAAACTAAAAAAGAAAAAACAGAACTTCTAAGTTGGGAGTGGAAGCTTTAAACTGTATCAGATCTGAACTGTAACCTGTTCGTGCTTACTTTACTATCAGCTCCCTTCTGTCATGTCACATTTATTAATTACTGCAAATATCACGTTTGTCTGTAAGCAGGCAGTCTTTTCCAGGTCTTGTTATTACTCATTACTTGAATCACTTTCTCTTTATCTTGTTTGATTCTGCTGGGACACCCAGGCAATTTTCCAAGGCTGTGAGCACAGGATTGTGTAGAAATCATTGCCTGGCATTGATGCTTCAGCTGAAGATGCTTTCTTTTGTGATTTACCAATAAACCAGCAAGACATTTTGCTGCAAACAGCCTTATACTGCTGAAAATTGTTTTTCAGGTGAGATGGTAAATTCTGGTCTTTCACTTTCTGTAGACATAGCTGTTTGATAGATCTAGTTTTGGTGTCTTATGCAGTCAAAACTGAAAGTCCCCTGTGTTTTCCCTCCGTCATGTTAAAAAACCCCAGTTGTTTTGTGTTCTGTGTTTTGCAGAAGCGGCTGTGTTTCATTAGAATTTGTATATGCAGTGTAGATGGGGGGAAAAAAGATTGGCATAGCAGGAAATACCTCCTTTCTTCTCTTGTTCCAAAGGCAACCAGAACACGTGTGCCACCGATGCGCTGCGTGTTGTGCTACACTCGGGTCTAGACATTGCGAGGCGTTGCAGTGATTTGTGCACGTGCCTGGTTTTCCATGCTCCAGTCTAGTTCTCCTGAGATTTATGTTGCCAGTGGGATAGAAGTTTTATGGCTGAAGGGACGCTGAAGGGAGCCGTTCCTTCCGTAAGCCTTTGGCCCTCTGAAGTCTGGCCTGTGGTGCTGCCTCCTGCATTATAGGTCCCCCATTTTCAGATGGCCGAACAGGTCTGTGTTAGTGGTTTACTGTGAGTGAATACTTCTTTCTCTCTCCTACCCTCTCTGGTTCCTTCTGTTAATGTTCACTAGCTTTATCTTTAGGATTCCTCTTAATTGTAAGTTCTGAAATGGGCTTCCGATTAACCATCACCTATGAATGTCATTAAAAAAATTGTCCTTGAACTCTCGTCTGTCCTTTTTCTGCTCTGATGGGACTGAACACCTAATTATAAAGGAGTAAGGAAAAGTAAAGGAACTGGTCTGTCCTTTCTAGAATCCTGTTTGACAGTCCGATTATCCTCAAGAAGAGAGGACTGTCCTGGTGCAGTCCCAGAGGAGAAGGATTAACAACCCTGGAAGCAGTGAAAGAAGATTCACGCTGCTGTGAAGAAGACAGATGCGTGTGAAGTTCAAGTTCATCTTGGCAGAGTCATGCTGAAAATGCCAATCTGACAATTTTAATGCTGTCAGGAAAAGAAATGTATGAGGGGGCTGGGTAAGTGATGGCTCGTTCCGGCTCCGCGTGAGCTACCTCAGGGAGGCTGCGCTCCCAAACAGCCCCCCACACGCACCCAGGGTGGCCTCTTCCGCGAGCACGTATCAAGGTGACAAAGGACATCAACCCAGAGATGATGGTTCGTCTTGGGCCGTTGCTGCTCGGTGGTGAGGGGGGTGTGGGCTGAGATGTTTTTGCCTCAAGCAACAAGGTGTAGCTGCAGGGGAGGCAAAGATGTAGCTAGAGCTGAATTTACTTTAAACTCGCTAGCGCGGGTGCTGATGGTGGGGCAGCTGCAGCAGCACGGAGCTTGAGAAGGGAGGGGGATACAGCAGGAGAAAGCTAGTGCTGGAAAACCCTTTAGTCTCAGTTGTTCATTGAATCGGTCTCCTTTGAACATCCATCTCTCAGGAATTCCATCACAGTTTTGATCTTTGTGGTCAGAAAAGCAGTGTAAACGTTTGTCCTTCTCTCTTCTTCAAGCGCGCGCGACAGTGCGGCGTCTCGGACTCACCACCACGCAGAGCTCTTGTATGTCATTGCCTGGTACTGGAATGTCACATTATTATAGTATTAACAGGCTCTTTTAGCGCTGCAACATTTGGATGTAGCCTCCGTGAAAACTCCACTGAGGCTTAATGTTTGTCAGTCCAGAATCTTCAGCAGGTTTTCAGGAGGGTTTATGTCCCATGGGAGGGCGTCAGTATTTCATCTGACAAACAGCTGAAGAAAGGAAAGCATCACACTTCTTTCTCTCCAGTTCAAAACAAGATGATGCAGAATTTCTTTTGCTTTCTACATCAGGAATATGGACCCCAACAGTCTTTGCTGTAAAGTGAAGGAGGGTATGGCCATGTTAGAAATTCTCTGTGATTTTGGTGCGCTGCCAGCTGTTTCTGCAAGGCGCCCAGGTGAAATGGGAAATGGTGTTTTTTAACACTGCATCTTGCTCTGCGCCGAATAAAGCAAATAAAAGGCACTCCTGGTACAGATTCTTCCTGTTGGAAATTAAAGGAAGGCGCACTGCAAAGAGTGAAATGAGGAGAGCCTTGCAAAGGAAAAAAGGCTGTAGGAGCACTTTCCTGGAGCAAAAGTGAGTGAAGTACCCCCACCTCCTCCACCCAGCACTCCCTCTGCCTCCCCGAGAGACAGGCCGGGGTACCGGCAGTGTGCGGAGGAGCAAAGGAGCGGAGAAGAGAAAATTAACCTCGTCACACTCAGGCCCCAGGTGGTGAACAGGGCAGTGAACAGCGTTGCCTGGTTTTTACCACGTAGCTTACACCTTGCCCAGCTGCTCGGTGGATGCTGTCTCAAGGCTGATTGTAAAGAGTAAGCTGAGAATGTGCAATGAATTCCCTTCTGGAGAAGAAACACTGCTGGATATTAGTTTTTTAATATTTTTTTTTTTATAACAGGCACACCTTAACCATCTTACAGAGTGGAAGGGGATCAAAAGCTGAGCAAAAGGTGGGATGGTTTTGTTCTGTTTTGGTTTTAATTCAAACTAGGCAATTCACCACAGGGGTGTTGGATAACTGCTGGATGCAGCAGAGCTGGAAACCCAGGCACTTTTATAAAGAAAATTTCTGTACTGGTGGTAAAGGAGAGGAAGGCTCGGATGATGCTTCCAGTAGCTTTTCATTGGTGACTTCAATCTGGGTTATATCTTCTGCAGAAAGTGTCCATCAAAGCACTTAGGACCAAAACCGTTTCGACTGAATAAATTAGGCAGACATCTGCTGGTTGGCAAACACTGAAAACACATCGTGTGTATAGGTATTTGGGGGAAGCTTTGTCACTCGTAGTATGTTTGAAATCACAGCTACTCTCCCAAGTCTAATGGAAATGCAGTTTGCACCAGGGAGAAAGAACGAGTATCCCAAAGAAGGAGACGTGTAAGAGGCAGTAGGCCAGGATCTAATCTCTCTTGCACTGTCTAAATTTAATTAGTGGCAATTGCTGTTCGTTTGTGAAACAGCTGGCACACCTCACTCCAGAGGTGGTGGGTTCTGACAAGAGGACACGCAGGATAATGGGATTCTGTCTCCACAAATAACATCATGCCTTGATTTTGAAATTTTAGACAGGATTTTAGCAGCTCAGGAATTTGGTGCTTGTTTTTATTAATAGTAGTCCCTTTCCAACGTAACTTTCTGAAGCTGGAAAATGTTTCCTTCTCCTCCCCTTTTGTTTTGCCATGAACACATAAACCTCCATAGAGTCGCCCTCTCTCTCCTCTGAACAAGCATACCATGAGCTTGCAGGGTTGCCCAGGCAGCAAAAATTCCTTGCAGATGTTATCGTAATCTCTTCATTTTTGTTGCTGTTAACACAACCTGCTTTTATAGGTTTTGCATCTTCCTCTGAGCTGTTTTTCTTGCCCTATCATATTAATGTTTTCTTCTGCTTTACACAAGTTACATGGATTTACTTTTGCAAAGCTAACTTTCCAATCTAGCTCTGTCAAAGAATTTATCAGTGCAGCTACGTGATGTTTCACAGATCACAGACGTTGTGGGGAAATCTGTGGAAATACAGCACCTCTGCTAGCCAAGCTCTGCCTCAAAAGACAGTGTGAAGCATAATAAATACGATTCATTCTCCTGTTTCTCAAAAGATCCTCTTCATTAAGGTACTGATCTTTGCTAATCTCTCCCGTGGCTACTTCACACAGGTTTGTCTGTATTGATTTTCTTCTGCAGATCACTTCAGCTCTTGCACACTTTGAACTCATCTTGCATGCTTGACATAGACATAGTTTGTTGCCTCTGGATATATTGCAACAGCAAGACAGTGAGTCTCTGAAGCCAATTTTTTTGCATTTGAACTTCCTAGGTCTCCTCTTACGAGACTGACAGGCAAGGGCAGCTTCTAGCTGAGTTATTTGGTAAACTTCTTGGTGATTTCTTCCCATAATGAAGCATCTGTGACCAGGTAATTTCTGAGATCTGCAGCTGGACTGGCTTGTAGATGACGGCCCAAAATAATCTGTCCATATAGAAAGGGAATTTGAATTGTCTCTGTGGACCAGCTCTGTTCTCAAGTGTAAGCTAAAATAAAGCTCATGTGGATCAGAGCAGCACATTCCTCACTTTCTGTGGCAAGCTTCGCTGATACACTGAGGTGAATTAATTTTTAATACCATCAACAGAGCTGCAGGAAATCAGGCTTATCTCCACGCCTGTCCTATAGTTAATACGGGAGATTTTGGCTTTGATTCAGGGTTACTTGTTACTGCAATAGAGGAGGACAAAACTATGCAGAAACTAGTCACTGTTAATCTCGGTAATGCGGGAGGGAGCTGTGTCAGGACAGAGGGAGTGTGCGGGTAGAGGAGTCATTGCTGGAGGAAGGCAGCCTGTTCCTGCCCGGGGGCTGTCTGCACCAGAGACTGGAGGAGTGGTAGGATGCCTCCAAGTCTCCATCGCTCTAAATTGCAGAAAACTTGGAGTCAGAGTGTTTACGTTCAATTCTGTTGCCTCGGTGCCAAAGTGATGTCAGAGAGATAAGAAAAATGATTAAGGAATTTGAAGGATTGACTTGGAGAGGTGGTTAAAATTGCTCAGCATGCATCATCTGCCTTAAAGGCAAGCTGGGAGGATATGGCAAGGAAGTAAAGAATTGGGAGGATATGAAGACAAAGGAGACAGGGGCTGTTCGTGGGGGCTGTGGAGGAGTCACTATGGTCAGTGAATAAAATAAAGAGCAGGAAAGTAGACAAAGTCTGTTCTTTCCCCACCACTGAAACCGATTTCTGGAATGATCTTGAACAAGTTACTTAATTTATTTGCCTGTCCCTTTTCTTGCACAGTGCTGGAAACTTGATTTCTTGTTGCTGCTAAACAATTTTTAGGTGGAGTACTGAAGCCCCGATGTTCTTAAGGAATGTACGGTTGGGTGGTTGCTGCTGTGTCATCTCCTTCAATTCTAAAACAAGAATTTGAGTCTTTTCTCTGTACACTAAATATGACCCTCTCTGCTGAAAAAATAGTCGTGGTGATAATACATCTGTGAGATGCTCTGAATTCCGTGGATGAGAAAGTATTTATATATGCTGGCATCATGTTTTAAAATGACTGGAATGTTTAAAGTTACGGTCTGAGATTGTGTCAGAGACGGCAAACACAAGTAAACTGTGTGTCTAGATACACTGCTGCTAAAGAGAAGACTACAGCTCTTGTCACAAATACATTGCCAGAGATCAGAGCAAGTAGTAGGTGAATGAAAGATTGGAAGTTAAATATGAGGTGAAAATGCGGACACGTGAGACCCATTCGATGGGGATCGCCTCCCTGACAAGGTGCTGATGCGGGAAAGCGATGGTTAATGCACTTGAGATGACAACAGTAGAGAATAATCTTGTGATATGCAAGAGCAATCCTTTCCTGTTTGCTTGCTAAGGCTCTTGGTAAGGCTGGGAGAAGGACTGCAGAACATTTGTTTCCCCTTCCTCTCAGACTTGTGTTTCAGTGCACAAGGTGCACGGGCTGAGCTCTGCCTAGCTGGTATCCCCCCGCTTTTGAGAAATAAGCGTTTAGAAAAGAAGGCAGAGAAGGAAAGCAGGCAAATGTGCATTGTACAAGCCATTATAGTTATCAATGAGCATTCAAAAAAAAAAGCCTCGAGAATATCCCAGAGCACTGCTAAGGTTAACTGACTGCTTGAAGCTGTTGCCACAGACTTTCCGCCAGAGAATGATTTTTATGGACTAAAATCAGCAGTTGCCTGTCACCTGTTTGTGTGACTGTCAAATGAGCCCTGTTCTCTCTTGAAGCTGAATTTTCTGAGGTGGCCGAGCTGGTACAGAACTGGTGAAGGTCCGTGTTTGCAGCAGGCCTCTGTGGGATTGGCACGTTGTTTAAGGTGTCTTAAACAGGGACAGCAAGGTGCTAGGAGAGATTCTGTGCTAGGCCAAGCAGCAGTAAGTGGTATTTTGGCAGATTCAAAATCTTTCCAGTCGCTGTAGACAGAGTAGTCATAAGTGGTCACAGATATGTCAAAATATTAAATATCTAATGATTTAATATGGAGATAAGGTTCAAAACTGTAGTTCACAAAAGCAATCCAAAATAATCTTAACCTGTAACTCGAATGCCAGCACTACAGAGCCAGAAGACTTCTACCCCAGGGTCTGATGCATCAGTGTGTTTTGCACCGTGTGTATCACCACATCAGACAACTAGGGGCACATCTGTGATAATATTGCATCACATCTGAGTCTCGTAACAGGAGGATGAGGTCATGCTTAGGTATAAATGGAAGCGATCAAGGAATCTGAAAATACCCAACTAAATCTTTCAGTGATTCAGTAGTTTCAGAGATGGTTTGCATGCTCCAAAAATTATCTCCAGGGTCCCTGCTCTAAAAGCCAGTATTTTGGGATTAACAATTTGGGATTAATATCTGGGATTAAACAGAGACCACATAGATGAGGCTATCCACCCTTCCTCTGAAAACCTAAGCCTGTCTTTCAGCTGCAGGATATTCTTTATTCCCAGTTCTTCAAATGAGCACGTTAATCCTGTTCACGGCAGTATCAATACAAACTGGTTTCTGGGAGAGAAAGAGACTTGCCAATTTCTGGACAAATGTCCTTAAAAGTCTATTCACACCACTGAAAACTGAGTGAATACGTAAAGTTTTCAGCGGGGCTTCCTTTTTCTACAGCTGTAAAATTGTTCTGCATAATCCAGACACCTTAGTGCTGTCTATGCAGACGGTGAGGCAAGTATTGAGATATTTAAGGGGTATTTGCATTCAGAAGCTCGGGGATCTTTCCTGTATTTGAAACTTACCCTGTAGTCTGTAGTCTCCGCTGGGTCGTCAGCAGCGCTGAGCCCGGAGGCTTTCAGCACCCTGGCACGGTGCTGACATAAATCCAGAGCTGGTGGTGTTACTGTACTGGGGACACATGTGTTCTCAGGAATATCGAAATCTGACAGCGCAATGCCTCAGTGCCTTTCTGTTCGCAATAACCCGCAGTAGAAGAAAGCTTGTCAACATTATTTCCACGCCTCTCAATGTCTTGTTCCACTAAAAATGTTACAAAACATAACCAAGTGAGGCTAGACTTCTCATCACTAGTTGTCGACTTTTAAAGATGTTTAAGACATAAATTATGCAACAAATGTAGTTTGCTACAAGGGGAATAAATGCACACACTGAGGTGGATGTGCTGCTCAGCAGTGCTGTCGCTGGAGCGAAGGAAACGGGACGGGGCTCGCTCCAAAAGCAGAAAGGAAGGGAGAGAATTGAAAAATGGATGCAATGCCCACCTTTCCTGAGGACTGGAATGAGGAGGAGTAAATTTAGGGATGACCGTTACCATTTAATCCAGAGATGATTTCTTTTTTCTTTATTGCTGCTAATCAGGACGAATAGTTTGAGTAATTAGTTTAAAGAGACTGGATCAATAACTGGTTAATCAAACAATTTTATTCTTGTTTCAAAGCATAGATTTAGATTTGACTGCTTCTGGAAGGTCTTTAGCAATCTGGCTGGGTTTAGCAATGCTGATAGTGTGCTTTTGTATGTTTTTGGTGTTTTTTTTTTTAATCCCTGTTCATTTGGCATGCTTTTTCTTAATATATAAAAGGAGGGAAATAGCCACCACAGAAGAAATTCTACTCTTGTGCATGCTGCTTAAGGATACGGATCAGGAAGACAATGGACCACAGGGGGTTTGGAGTGGGTGTTAGGATTTCTGTAGTACTTTAAACTCAACCAATCCATCAGTGCTTGGCAACTATTTGATCCACGTGAAATGGCAAGTTACGATGCACATCAAAAAGCCTCTGTGATGCTGCTCGTGGCTTCTTCCTCCTCCTTAACTGCCAGACTGCAAAGTGCTGAAGTAGCTTGCCTAAGGCCATGGGTACAATTGATTACAGGGTTGTAATTATGAGTCTTAGCCTGCTGGTTCTTCTTTTGGTCTTTCCTATCTTGATTTTTCAGACTAAGAGCCCATCTGAGGTGCTCTTCAGAAAATCCAGGTCAAGTTTTTCGACTCTTAGAAATCTGGAAAACTTAATGTCTATTCTCAGATTTGCTATTTAAATCCATCTCTTATCAAACCGACATCAAGCCAACAGGAAGATGCGCTGTGACCAAGCAAGACCTGAAACACAGCAGAGGATCTGATAAAGGAGGAATCCTATTATCTTAGAGAGATACCCTTTTAAATTCTACCTTGCATATGTTACATCTGTATTCAGTGTGTAATGAAGCCCAGAGCATACTCTGCTAGTGAGATATGTAACTGCTCCTTTCGCTTAGCGTTCTCAGGCCTTTCACATCTTAGATACTCATGGAAAGTAGGTCTTTCTACTGCATTTCAAGAAAATAGCATGTTTCCTATCAAGGGTGGAATGCTAACATGTCATTTACAGGAATCTTCCATAAGCTTCCAGCAAGGCAAGAAAACACTGTATGTATCTTAATTTTTTTCTTTTGTTCTTTCTTTTTGGAAGATTGGAAACTTCTTACTTTGCTTTCTGACTGTCGTGGTTTAGGCCTGGTTGGCAGCCAACCACAATGCAGCAGCTCTCTCTCCCTTCCCTCCGGCAATGAGAAGGGACAGAGAGCCAGGCTTGGGGTTCAAGATAGGACTGGGATGGGGGAAAATCCCCCTTTATGATCACGAGCAAAAGGCAGACTCGTTAGGGGAAGAAAAAAAAACCATACATTTATTACAGACACTAACAACACATAGCAGAGTAAGACAGTGAGAAGCATTGCCACATCTTGAGAACACCTTCCCCCCACCCCTCCCTTCTTCCTGGGCTCAGCTCTGCTCCCGATATCTCTACCTCCTCCCCCAGGGGCGCAGGGGCAGGGAATGGGGGGTGCAGGCAGTGCTGCCACTTCCTTCATGTTCGGTGAGGGGAGTGTCCAAAACTTGTTACCCCCTGCTCCATCGTGGTCCCCCTCTCACAGCAGACAGTCCTCCACAAACTTTCTCCGACTTGAATTCCTCCCACGGGCCGCAGTGTTCCCCACACTGCTCCGTCATGGGTCACTAACTTCCTCCGACTGGATTCCCTCCCACGGCTGCAGCCCTTCCCGATCTGCTCTGGCGTGGGACTCCCCCGCATGCTGCAATCCTCCCAGCACTGAATTACAGCAGTGGGGCTGCCTTTTCCCATGAGACCCCGGCCTTCTTCGGGCACAGAACCTTGATCAGGCCGAGCAGGAACGACAAGCCATAAATCAATGTCTGCTCCACCGTAGATCTCCATGGGTGGCAGGGGGGGCCGCCCTGCCGTCTCCCCACAGGATACAGGGGGGTCTCTGCTCCGGCACACCTCCCCCCTCCTTTCTTCCTCCGTTCCTCCACTGACCTTGGTGTTCACGCAGCTGCCCCAACTCCCCCTCACCAGTCCCACTGCCCGTCACCACGTCCCTTCTTAAATACGTTATCGCAGAGGCGCAGCCGATTGGCTCAATTTCCCAAACAGAAGTGGAGCTGACGTGGAGCTGGGGGAGCTTCGAGAAGCTTCTCACAGGGGGCCGCCCCGATAGCCCCCTCCCCTGCCACCAAAAAACTCCACCATTCACTCAACCCAGGACACTGACTTCAAGCAATATTCCCTGTGTGCACATGCTGTGAATCATTATATCCTGTGGACTGTTTTAAGGGGACACAGTGTGCTTCCAGACTTGACTTCCCTAAACTCCGTCTTTGTTTTTTAAGGTACCTGAAGCTGAAACGTTTCTGCTTGATGCATGCTGATATATACAGCGTGGTGTGTCTGCCTGTTTACGCAGAGGAGGTGAGCCAACGGTGGGCAGGAAGAACAGGTAACAGTTGCACAATATTTCTTACATACTTCACTTCTGTTAATATGGGCTACAAGGAAAGATACGCAAGAATGAAGATCCAGGTCTAGGATCTAGGGTCCAGGTCTAGGTCTAGGGGGTGGAAAGGAGAGGGAAAACACATTTAAAAACAACTCTAGCTAATTTGACCTACTGCTTATTTACTTACAGTTCAATGCAGGGAGAGTGAAAATAGAAGCCTGTATTTCCACAAAGGATTTTCCCTCTGTAGGAAGGCTATTTTCTGATTTGTTCAGCGCGCCAAGATACAGGACTGTCAGGCCAAGCAGGGCTGCTTACAAGGCCCGGCAGCCCAACGCTGGCACAGCCTTTCAGACCCAGACGTGCGTGCCCCTGGCTTGTGTCTAGGAGGAGCAGAAATCTTGCTCCCTGCGCAGGCTTCCTGACAGAGCTTCGTGTTGTGTAAGGCTGGAGAGAGACATCTGAAAACAAAGTGCGCCCCGAGGGAGCTCGCGCTGCCGAACCAGCCGAGATGAGTTGGCAGCGCACCAGCCCCCGGAATAACAAGACTGAAAACGAGCTCTGACAGGTTAGATGTGATGCTGCGGGCGGCTGTGCCAGGAACTGGCCTGGGGGTCAGCGTGCAGAGGGATTTCAGCTGCAGTACCTGGAGCGGGGAGAAATACTCATTCCACCGTAGGATGGAAGCAACAACCTCCTGGAGTGCTGGGCCTTCTCTGAAGGCTGGGGCCGGGAGGACACGTTCTCTGAAGCAGGGATTGATGGGCAGTGCCTCTGCGGAGTGTGGATGCACGAGCAGACACAGGGCAGCTGGCAGACTGCATGCTAGGGCCTGGCTTTTCCACCTTGGGACTGCAAGCCCAAGGTCTGACTTGGGTGGGAAATCCCATTCTAGGTTCAAGCCACGTCAATTCCTGGATGCTGCCAAAGGGATACATGGGGCTTTCTGTGTGCAAGACCTTTTGGCCCTGGACTAAACTGACTAGTGCAAATAGGGACTAAAATGAAACTGCTGAGCCCTCAGATGGGTCAAGAGGTGAACACACAAACACTGGAGTGGGTGTGGATGGAAGTGTGCTGCCCAGTGAGGGTTTGGAGAAAGGATTACAGCATAGCTCATGTTGGAAATTTGGATAAAGTGTGTTGGCAGAGCTGTGTTTTGACAGGAGCTCTCCATATCCGAGATCATAAAGGAGAGTTGGAAGGAAATGGTTCTGAAATGGTAAGCTACTGCCAGACCTGTGTAATGAGAAATATCTGTCAGCTTTTCCACGCACACTAGATTTATTCCTTTAACCAATAACTTTGCTAGTAAATTTATAACAAGCATTCTCCAGTGGAAAACTGAGCCCTAATTACTGTGCTAGTGTATTCCTTGCTCAGGACATAAGAAAAGATTTCCAACCCCTCCAAGCCTCTTCCAAAATGGAGAAGATTTTAAATACATCACCCAGCTATAGCTTGGTTGCAGGCAAAGCAGTGGTTGAACTTGTCAAGCGTGGCAGCTGTATTTGGTGCTCTCCAAAACCTGGTCCCAGCTGCAAGAAGAAATGCTGGTGTGTGGCTCCAGTGTGACTGTATTCTTAGGGACGGGGTTTTAGCAGAGAGGAGGCAGAGGGAAAGCAGGGCTTAAGAAACCCTTTCGTTCCCTTTGCCAAAGAGTTCTGCCTGCATGCAGGCTATGGAAATAAATTAAAGGTTGGGGTTGGTGCCACGATGGCGCGCTCATTGACTGCAGTATGTGTGGACATGCTCTGAGGGGGATAAAGGGACAACGGGTGGTTTTACTGTGCTCTCTTGGTGGGAAAATAAAGGATGTGAGATCTACCACTACACTTCCACAGCACCAATGCAGCTTATAGTCCAAGTCTGGTTATATCAAGACCTAGGTAAAGGACTAGGAGCCTTATTCATAATAGCTTCTACCCCGCTCAGCCTTCTGACAATGGTCTTGAACTTGAGCTTCATGAAGTTGTTGTGACACTTCCCAAGACAGATTTAATTTACAGCGAGCTCTTAGTGTGTTGTGATGGTGGCTGTAAGTACGGCTTGTACTTCTCTCATTTTTAAAGTGCCGTGAAGACAGATTTGGTTCATCTTCTCCATTCCTGGAATTGCCTGATTATTCACACCGGCTTCTAGTCTCAAAATGATTTATAAGTTCTTATGTATCCTTCTCTCAACAGTCTCTACATTGATTAATCAACTTTTCTAAGTTGATTAATAGTTTGACCGACACCAGGTAAAACAACTGCATGGAAACCAACTCTTATTCCTACATCAAAATTCCTAACTGAGGAAAGCCACCTTGAGTTCCTCCCCTTTTTATAAGACATGGGAGATTGGTCCTGCTGTCCCTGTGAAAATAAGAGGTTCAAGGAACTCTTGCTTTCCTTGCCACCAGATTCAAACCGCTGGGGAGAAATGGATACGCTGAAGTATTTTTCCTCTCTAAATTTTGAAAAAGTGTTTAGGAAAAAACAGCCCAGCAGATAATCCTGAAATTAGTCTTTCAGCCTTTCTGTTGCTCGTGATGCAAGTAAAGTAAAAGCCCTGTAATAAGTCAGATTAGCTAGCAGCTAGCAGGACATCTGAGGTCCCAACCATCTTTCAAGACCAGATAATGGCAGCAACAGAACATTAATAAAAACTTTGTCTTTAAAAGCAAAATCTTTAAAAAGTAGTACTAGAACCTGAGACTTTCATCTGTCCAGGACTTTCTTGGCAGATCTAAGCACACATTGCAGCCTATTCTGAAATCTGGTTAGGTTTTCAGCTAAAGCAAACTTTGTTTTCCATGTGGGCATAAAGAGAGATTTTTCTGGCTTTTAAAGCTGTTTTCCTCTAAGAAAATATATTCAGTTGTCTATCCATCTTCCCTCAGAAGGTGTCATTGTATTTTACATTAAAAAAAAAAAAAAAAAAAAAAAAAAAGCCTTGCCAAGCCCTGTGAGAAAGAACCGATGCTTATCTCACAGATTGAGAATGGGAAATAGAAGTAATAAAAGTGAAAGTGATTTACCAGAACTAATGAAGAAAATCTGTGATGGAGTTGAGATGAGAATCTTAATCTGTTTCTTTCTCTACACCTTACCCTAGATTTAGGTCAGCTCTTGCTAGGCTGAAACTGGGATCACTGCAAGCAGAGGCAAGCCCTCCAGGAGCTTCAAACACAACAAAAATTTTCCCCAAATATGCCAGAAATAGTAATATAGAAGTTTGTAATGGTCCTTTTGCTCTGAGTGCAGTGCAGGCGACCACTTGTTCACAGCCTGGTTTAGGATTTCTCCATGACATTTGTCTTAACATAATTTTCATCACGTGGCTTGCGCTATATTGAATTAAGAGCACATATTACACGGACTGAAAACATGTATTGGAAGCAGGAGAGGAAAAAAAGCAGATCTTTTCTACTGGCTGTAAGCTAAAGCCCTTCATCCTTGTGATGATATAAATGTTGGGTATTAAATTTTACTGGCCATACAAAGATTGCTGTAGTAGAGGTAAAAGTGGAAGAATACTCTTTATTCCCTGGTTTGATCACTGAGTTTGGTGCTGATGTATCATCGGTGGGGGGTTCAAAATACAACTGCAGCAAAGCATCCAGCTAGATCAGAGAAACAGAGTTTATGTTTGCAGGATGGGAGAGTCTGCTTTGGGCAGCAGTGGTTCACAGATGGATTTAAAGACCATCACAGAGAGCAACTTAAATACCCGCTCTTGGTGCACCGGCACAGGAAGAGTTTTTAGGAGGATATATATGATAAGGGCATGAGGAGGAGTATGAGCACAGAGAGGAAGGGGAAGCAGCGTCTTGATTCCAGGAGGTTAACCTGAGGTAATTCCTTGCTAATACTAGCAGTAATCAAGCCAAGTATTTTCCTGAGTATATCGACATAGAGCATTTGTTTTCCCTGCAGTGGCTGTTCAGAGGGGAGAAGCGTGTGGAACAGTCTTCGGGACCTGCAGAGTTAATGGCACGTGTTCTGCCCCTTTGGAAAAAGCTGAATTTGATGTTGGTGGGCCCCTGTCCCTGGCCAAGCAGCCAGTAAGAAAGCAAAATGGGAAGAGTGTACAAGTAGGAAAGCAAAATGGGAAAAAATCGGAGGGGAGCTCCTTTTAACTGTGACACCGCATAGACAAGCTTGCAGTCTGTGTATTTCACACCAGATTTTCTTTCCAACTTACCTTAATATTTCATCCATCTTATCCATATAGTTCCCGCAGGTAGCAGTCAGGAGTTACGGATTCAGACGTCATGAAAATCACTTAATAGTTTTGTGGAACCATTTTTTTTATTGATAGGTACTCTGATAGCAGGAACTACTTGTGGGTGTGAGGTTTGGCATTGCCAACAGAGAAACTAGGGCACAATCCAATATGGGCATACAAGGCAGAAATAAAAGTGTGCGAGACTTCTCCAGAGAGATTTGGGCAAAACATGACGCTGCATGAAGGGAGAACAGAAGGAAGGTGGCAGAGCACGGAGGGGGAAAACAGCAGAACAGCAGGAAGAGAGGCTGAGCGGGAACAGTAGATTTGTAGAGGCAATAGAAAAGAGGCAGAGGAAAAGCTGAAGCCAAGTGTCTAAGGAAGGCAGTGAAATATTGGGCATGATAAAAGCTGGAAAATCCTGGCAGAGCTAGATCGGCAACAGGAGGAAGGAGGAGTTAATAGCACTTGCTGCAGCATTTATTCTGCTATTGGCCTCTCGTGTGCCGCTCGTACCAACGCTTTGTCCATGTCAGTCTTCAGAATACGCAGAGAAAATTCCAGTCCAGGCTCCAGTGCTTTAGTCTGTTTCTCTGTGTCTTTGCTTCTGGCTCTGAATTCTCCAGGGGGACCAGAGGGCAGCAAAGGGCTTAAACAACTTCTTTTTTTTTTTTTTTTTTTTTTTTAAACCTTTCTCTTCATCAAAATACATGGTCTTTTCCAGCATTAGTCTGAAGCCTCATTTAGTAGAGGCAACTTTGCATTTAATCCACAGGCCTATTAGGGAAACAGCACAGCAGGAAACTAGTTAGACTGTTGAGTAGAAAATAGACTTGCTAATAAACCTCTTGTTCTCATTACAGTCCCAAGATGCTGAACATTTTTTGTTTTAATAAACAAAAGTTGGTGATTTTGGATGACACTTTATTCTCTTTTTTTTTTTTTTTTTTGTCCCCTTAAATTAATACCCTGCAGTCTGGTTCAAAAGCAAGAAAATGGGGTATTTCAGAGAGAATAGTACATTTCTTGTACACAACTCATCCCTTTGCCTGGCACATTTAATCACAAAGAGAACAAAAACTTGGCTTTTTGTATCAGTGTAGCTTTGTTGTCTGGTATGTCTTGGTATGGCATAAATAAAAGGAGGACAAGGCCCTGGAGATTCTGTTTCACTCATCATTTTGTCCTTTTATCTCACCAGTCCTTGTTTTAGTATATGTCTGTCTAGAGCCAAATTTCAGTTTGTTCTTTATGCCTGTTGTTTTTTGGGGACCTATTTCCATGAGCGTCTCTGTGACTATTTGTGCTTTCCTTAGGAGCAGAGAAATACCAGCCTGGCCATACCTCTTTCAGAGCTGCCACAAAAGGGCTGAAGTGCAGAGAGTAATAAACCTAAGGAAATTGCATGGAGTTTTTTCTTAGATACAATATCAAGGCAAAGAGGCTAAAAGAAAAAAAAAAAAATTAAAAATGGTTGTTTCATCTGAGCACTGTTGTGAACTGGTGTCTGTGGGAGCGAGGGGAGCTTGGGGATAGGAGCTCTTAGCAGTGTTAGTAAAGCCCTGACAAGCATCTGTGGAGGTTTGAAATTCCTCCAGATGCTTTTTTCCCCCCAAAGACGTGGAAAAGTCTGTGTCCAGTTTGGGTTTGGATCTTGGATATCCTGATCCCTAGATCTCGGCTTACACCATTTCTTTTCGTTCTTCTTCCCCAATACATTTTGAATGTAGGTGCAATAAGTGGGAAAATTATTCACATATGTTCAAAGGTAAAGGCTTAGATGAGGCCACTGAAGTTATAAATAACCCCCCAGACCTGTGTCAGGGCCCTGAGGGCGCTAATAGGGGAAATCAATAGCTTTGGAGCCTTCATGACCAAAGATGCCAGTGTTGATAACTGTCTCAAGATTGTTCTGGTCCCTCTTGGAGAGGAACTTTTTATAAGGACATGTAGTGACAGGACAAGGGGTAATGCCTTCAAACTGACAGAGGGGAGACTTAGATGAGATGTAAGGCAGAAATTGTTCCCTGGGCGGGGGGTGAGGCGCTGGCCCAGGGTGCCCAGAGCAGCTGTGGCTGCCCCCTCCCTGGAAGGGTTCAAGGCCAGGTTGGACGGGGCTGGGAGCCCCCTGGGCTGGGGGAAGGGGGCCCTGCCCGGGGCAGGGGGTGGCACTGGGGGGGCTTTGAGGTCCCTTCCCACCCAAACCTGTCTGTGATTATTGTTCCATGTCTCTTATTTTAACATGCAAACCTGTCTGTGGGTTGTAGCTAGGTTTTGGGCATCACAGCACAGAACATATGAGGGTTATGTTTCATTTTACCTAGGAGGAAGGAGCTTGTAAGCTCACATCAGTGTAAAAAAAATAAATGGATCTGTTTTTGGAAGTGGCAGGATAGTTACAGCCAGACAGAATAATAATATAAACGTTACCAATCCACAGGCATATGGGACGAGAGTACCTACAACCAGACTGGCATAGGCGTAGAAGGAATTTGGTGAAATTGCCTATATTCCCTTAAACGCTATCTTACAAAAATTCTTTGGTTTCTTTTGATTCTAATCAATATTTGTTTATTAGTCTTAGTAATGATAGTACTGATTTGAATAGTAATCACTGTCATGGTTCTCACATGCACCATTACAGATTTTTATTAATTTTGTGTCGTAAACTGAATGTTTCATAAACACGCTGTCAAAGGATGTTCTGCTTTCTTAATAAGAGACCTTACATTGGGTAACTGAAAATCAAATCCAGTGTAAGGGCAAAGACCGTCCATATTTTTTAAGCACTTCTAAGAGTAAATATTGGTTTTGCTGGAATTGATGGGAGTAATTTTATTTTGATTTCACCAGTCTAAAAAGGAATTTAATGTTTTCCTATTCCATTCACAGAATTAAAAGGGGGAAAAATGCAGCCCTTCTGCTGGCTAGAAGATGAATCCACTGACCAGTTTTGCCCACTCCTGTAAACAGTGGGACTGGTAGGCAGCACCAGAAGCTACGTACAGGGTGTGAAATCCTACAGTTCTGCTTTCTTCAGATAGTTTTGGCTGTCGGAAGAGAGGAATCGCTGTGTAAGAGCCCCATCTCATCCTTTCTCCAGTCTCAAAGAGAAGCCACCTGCCTTTTAAGGACTCTTGTAGAGAACAATTACGGAGGTACCTGTCTAAAGAGAAAGCTTCCACTTGTGGGTGAGTGTCTGACACAGACCACATTCACGTGTATCTTTTATCCTGTTCATATGACTGTAGATGTTCTCTCTGAGGCAGATTGTCAGTCAGTTGTCGTCGCTCCAGTGGAGCTATGACAGTTAATCCCTCTGAGAGCCTCTTCTGCTCTCTCTGCAACAGTCTGTTTCGGAAACCCCCTCACCCTTCTAGCTCTTGTTCCATTTTCAGTCCGTGGAAGTACAGTGCTCTCATCTCCTGACCTCACACACCAAGATTCAGACAACTTGATTGAGGCACTTGATTTAGGCGTCAGAACTGTCTTAAGACAGATTTTCCTCTCCCGTCTGTGGACAGAATTGGTTACCACCAGCCAGAGCATCGCAGGGAGGCACCGTCCCCTCCCCACTGCCTGCAGAGGGGCCCTAAGTGGCGTCAGAAAGCGATTTTGGAGTCTTGCTCACCCACTTGAGACAGGCTGTGTAGCCCATGTCTCTGGAGCCCGTGTGCCTGATGCGGGGCTGCACGCCAGGAATCTGTGTCAGCACAGGATCCCGAGCTGACTGACCGGCTGTAAAGTCCTTCCAAACACCGGGGTGCCCAGAGCATCAGCTTTCTGAATCCTTTGCGGGAGGTAACCGCCACTATTGCATCAAATACAAACCTGAGGGGTGTTTCGATAGTCTTAATCCCATCCTAAAACAATTAGGAGGAGTTTTTCAACTTCGTGAAAGCCTGATAAGGTAGATCTCACCCTGTTTGTAACAGTCGATTTTGTTGATATGTTCACCTGAGGTGGCTAGGTGTTTCCTTGGGGTAAAAAGATGTATGAAATTCCCTTATCATCCGATACAAGTAAAGAGGCTGTAACTTCTCATTCATTTTCAGCCACTTTATCTGTCTTAGCTGCAACTTGATTCATTTTTGCACGGTTAGGGCTTCCTTAAGGCCTTCATCTTCCTGCCATCTTTCCACCAAAACCGGCTGGTTTTCTGGAGAGCAGCAAGGAGGCCACTTAATTTGTAACTCTTCTCAGAAGCCTTACATATTCTGTGAAGTTGTTTACTCTGCATTTATTTTCACTGCCAATTTGATTAGCTCAGTCTTTCATACTTCTCTTTCTTTGCTGGAAGATACAGCTCTGAAGTACATATCTCTATAATATGAGCTCTGAGACAAATAAATCAGTCGGCTTCTTTGCAGTGTCTCTGCTCGGATTAGTTACACTCTGTCCTTTATACAAGGACTTGTAGCATCAGGCCCAGATTAGCTCTTCTTGACCGGATCATCTGTCTTGTAAAAGACATCCCCTTCTCTTTCTTGTGCTACTTATAAGCTGGTGTTCATGGAGATGGCTACGGGAGTCTTAGCTTCAATCCTTAGAATTTTCTCTTGAACAACGTAAGCAGCCCAAACTTTCTTTTGAAGCCCAAGGATGTGGCTGTTTAGGTTAGAGAATGTGAAACTCTTGAGAGGAAATTAGCACTCTCTTGTGCTATTCAAAGTAACTTAATCACTGGTGATCAATAATAAACCATGCCATTTGTTGGACAGGTTCTGTCTTTGAGGGGACTGGAATAAAGACTTTGGCAATAGAAAGACAGAGACAACTACATTTATATAATTTAGGAAAGAGATTTCTCTGAGGAGACATAACTGGAGGCTCTAACTGTCTTCAAGGTAACCTAGTATATATTCCTTACTTTGTTAATTCCTTTCCTGTGGGACCGTATAATCCATTTCATATGGTGATAGGACAGAGAATGATGACCTGAAGCTAAGGCAGCAAAAATTTAAGCTAAACATCAGTAAAATTATTCAGGAACTCTGAAAGTTAGCACCAAGAAAAAGTACAGACGTTGGAGGGATTAAGTACCATTTCTGAAAGGAATCAAAACTGGCAACAATTAAGGATGGCATACTAACACAGCAATATTATTTAGAACACATTTAGCATATTAGAGCGCGTGACCGTGCTTTAGAGAGCCAAAGCACTCCGTGTAGTCTTTGGGGTGGAAAAAGTATTCACCTTCCTTAGCGGTGTTGGTAGGGCAGCACACTTCTATCATTGCAGCAAACGTTGCCAGGATTAGCATTATTTTTTTTTGTCATTACTTGGCCAGGGAACATGCTGGATGGGAGCAAAATTCACAAAAGCGTAAGGGAGCACTGGTTTGGTTTTGTTTCTGGAAACAAATAAAAGCAGGTACAGACCAGATTTTATTGTCCGAAGTAAATAAACTTAAGAATGAGTTTAGCTAATTACCATCCAACAAAATAACCTATCAGATTAAAGTTATTTACAGGTCAGTGGCAAGGTCTGTGCAAGGAACTGAGAAATGCTAGTATTTTAAGGCCAAGAGCTCAGAAGTTAGGAGACAGTAGAATTACCATTTCTCAGAAATGTTAATTTGTTGAACAGGTATACCAGAGTACAAGACTGCCAGCTCAAGCCAACAGTGGATTTCGGGCTGTCTCAGTCGTGGTCGATCACATTTAGGATCAGGAATAACTGGCCTCGGTAAAGCCCCTGGCCTAAAAGGAGAGATGGCCCAAACTCTTCCTTCTGTACAGGTTTCCTTCTTTGGCGTACTGGCTGAGCTGAGCAGAAGTGTCTGCATAACATTTCAAAGGTCATACTTGTGCATATCCTGTGTGTGCCCATCTCCTGGATCGAAAGGTGAAATGCTGGTTATTTTCCTTGTTGCTTTTGGCCGCTTCAGTTTCTGGGTTTGGTTTTGCTAATTCAATCTTTTGAGGGACCCTTAACTCTGCGGAGTGCTCATATTTTTAAAAGGTTTCAGAATCCACCGTCTGTGGCATATTCTGAAACGCTTCTTTAGTGTTTATTTTCCAAAGACCTAAATATTCCAGTATCGGTATTTTAAACTGTCCATAATTACATGTATCACTGACAGCAAGAATTAAACCAGAAGAGTTCTGGCTTCATAGTGAAAGGTACTGGAGGAGTTGAGAGGCTTGTTTCTACGGGTGTAAAGTCCTTTGGAAATGTAAACCATCTGCAGCTCTCTTGGTGCTCTTGCTCAGCAGAACCGCAAACAAGTTGGTCCCGAACACTTTATTTAGGGGTGAGATGAGAATTCTGCTGGTGTCAAGATGCAAAGCTAAAAAGGGGCTCGGTCTGTCGTGATTGCCTGTCCTGAAGCTACTTTGCACTCAGGAAATCCTGTGTCTTACAACAAACTGGGCTAAAAACGACCCACTGAATCAAACCAGAGGAAAGGCCTTCCGTTCATTCATTCTTCACTTAGGTGGAAGGTTAAAGTTGTCCATGTAAATCCAGCTCTTCTGAAGCTTAGAAAATGTGCCATGAAATAACCTTAAATCATAAGTTTTGTCCTGAAGGCTGTACTGAACATACCCATCGTGTATAATTGTTTGGGTTTTTTTTTTCTGCAGGACACAGTTCAACTCCCCGATCGAAGATCATACTGGAAGTGGGCCAGGCTTAAGTCTGTTTGGGTAGACAAAAATGGGTTGAAAGGGAATGGAGAGGTTAAAATATTCCCTTATTTAGGTGGAAAACATGAACCGAACAAGGCTGTACTGGACCAGTACCTGAAAAGCTAAGAAGTGAGGCAAACTGTAAATACAAAGGGAAACTAAACCGATATATTAGGATGTGATCAAAGCAAAGTGACTTAGCAAACTATTTCCTGTCCGCTGAGCGGCAGTAACAGTTCCTTTGTACATTTGCAATCTACGCCAGCGGTGAGATAACATCAATTCCACACATGCAGTGGGCTCAGAGTGAATATGCACTTCGTTACACAAGTTAGCAGACAGGTGGCAATCTGCAGTAATGTACTCATTTGCAGCTGTGTGCCTGTACTTTAAGATGATGAATGAGTATAAAATGCAGATTAACCACGATTAGTGACAGGGAGAAGAATCAGGGTACTGATTTATTTTTTGTAATCCCCCCTTAGGTTTTACGCGGGTCAGCTTAATTCGAGATGAACTCACGTTTCACTGTTTAGCAACAAAGGCAGCGAAGAAGCAGAAATATTCCTCAGCACATTCTAGGTATGTCCCATGGCTAAAGCCACCGGTGATACACGGCCACCCTTCCTTGCCAAGCATCCCCAAAGACTGGCCGTTTCTTCGGAGACCTTGACTCGCCCTTGCGTGCCGAGCAGAATAAGCAGCAAGAACCACGGGGCGGTTTGTCACCGGGCTCTTTGCTGTCCTTTGTTGATTGTGCAGACCCATTTGCCATCTGACTCAGCTTTACTGTTTTCCACTGGCACACTGTTAGCAAGTCAAGTCCCAGTGTGTGCTTAGGGGGTTTTTGCACCCCCGCCCCGCGGAGATATTAATTTATTGGCTACGTTATAGAAGGTGGCAGCTGATGCTTTTAATTTGAACACAGTGCAGATTTCTCTCGAGGAGTCTTTGTCCCCATATTAGGAGGGAGCAGAATGAATACTGTACTGGAACCAGCTCATGATATTTTTACTACATCCTACTCTTTTTTTTTTTTTTTCTTTTTTTTTCCCCTGACAGGGTCATAGATCTTATTTATCTTTTGGCAAATTGTTATTTTTTTCCAGTCTATCATTTCATATGTTTGAAACTGAAGCTATTTATAGCCCTCCCTTTTACTTGCTTCTGTCTAAATATATTTTAGGGTTGCTTGCAAGGGTTAAGAATACACGCAGACATCCCCTTTTAGGAAAAATGGGGGAATACATCACAGCCTCCTCTTTTTTTTTTCTCTCAGACAGTCGCACACATTTTACCATTATTATCTGGTCACTGTGGAGAAACGGAATGAAAATAAGCAAAACGAGATGAAATAAATATGCTCCAAACCCACTTTTTAATAAGATGGCAGTTGTATGAGAGTAAGGTAGGAGACACACAGGGTATCACTGTTTAAGAAAAGCAAGCAAGTATTCCAGCGTGCTCGGAACGCTTCCCTGGGAACCTGCTTCCCAGGACGCTTCAAGCAGTTCCCTGGACAATTAAATTTGCAGTTACGTTACATTCCTCAGTTCCTCATTTGTGTCTCATTCAGTGATGGTTTTAATCACCCCACGAAACAATTTGAGGTTTTGCTTTCCTGGTGAAGAAAGCTAACGGACTACATAAATTTATCCCAGTTTATACATGTTGAACAAGTGAATCTCCATTTCAGGACTGCACAAGAGCTGCGAGCCTGGAGATCCTGGTGGGAGGCAGCTGTGGGGGAAGCTACAGCATGGTCACTCTTAGGTGAGTAAACCACCGAGATACCACAAGTTTGTTGTTCTCCCGGTGAAATCTTAACTCTATGTTCCCCTTGTTACAGCGCCATGGAAACAGCAAAGCTGCAGTAATTGCTTTTGGCTGGGCCCCTGCGGCCCTTCAGAGTTCACCCCCGTTGATAAAAGAGTTTTAGAAGAATGCTGAAGGCTGGTAAATCCATTAGTGTGCGGTATTGGGGAGCGGGAGAGACCTCCACATTACAGCCTGAGTTCAAAGGTCACTGTATTTGTTAGGAGGGGCAGCAGCCCGACCGCACCACAGCCCTGGTGAACGGGGACATTGCTTTTTGTGCCTTTATATCAAACCCAGCATCCTCCTGGAGAGGGCTAAAAGGAGACGGATGCATTCATTTTGTTGCTGCTGGTTGTTTAATAACACGCCTTCAGTCATTGTTAGCCAGCTTTCAGGCTCGGGGGTGTTAAAGATAAAACTCTGAAGTACCGGCCACCAGGTCAGTGCTACCCTACTAGTAAAGAAGAAAAAGATGTGCAGCTTCTAGGAATGACACGGCCGGTTTATTTTGTTATGTTCTTGAGACATTTTGCGAGCCAGCTAGCAAGGGTTGGGCAAGCCCCACTGAATCTCAGAATTAACAATAAGAGAATAATGTAAATGCAAATTCTTTGACAGTGGCTAACAGCCAGATTCTGCTCTCTGCTTCATTAGAGTTAAACATGTAGGGATTTCAGTGTAATCAGCAGAGTCATTCCTAGTTTTACACTCAAGTAATAGAATTTAGCCCAAAGAGACTGAAAAGAACTGATGGATCACTTTTATGTAGTTGAATAGAGCTGTCGTGCTCTGTTCAGGAGCATATTTTAATCGGGCCCCATATAATATTGCCTGTACTCTATGACTAATTTCCACAGCAATAGTAATTTAATTCTGTAGCAATTTATTGACTAAGAAAGAACTAAATTGCTTGGCAGGATAATGGAGAGAAGAAAGAACCTAACAGGAGGGTTAAGTATGGCAGATTTCATTGACCACAAGAGTACTAACTATAATACAATGAAACAAAGTTCCTGTAAGAACAATAAATAAGGAGCTTGATCTATCACTAGCAGGTAGGAGCTGCTTAATCTGCTGAAAGACATTGTGCTTTTGTCTGCTTGGAAGCCAGGCTCCATCTTGCCCGACATAAAAATTGTTTCAGAGCCTCAAGACATTAGCTCATAAAGAGCACAGAAAATAATGTTGTTATTGTAGTACTTCTGCTAATTTAATCTCCATATCATTGCCTCGCTAAATCTGAAAAAGAAAAAAAAAAAAAAAGCTAAAAGATGTAAATTGTTCTTAAAATCAAGGGGGAGAGTGTTTGTGCGGTTTTATTGGTATTGGGTTTCTTTAAACATTATGGACGATGTTGGTAAACTCGTATTAAGCGCAAAGTGGTTTCACTTCTTCCCCTGCAGGTTTTACAATTATTAAAACACAGAGGTTATAATGTAATTAATTTAAATCTGTTCTGAGGAATGTAGAATAAAATATTCAAAATTACTCAGACCTGCTGAGTTTTTGAGGATCCTTTCAGAAAGATTTCTAAGTGTCTGAATGAATCCAGGAAGATTAAGCATCAGAAATACACTGCTTAAATAATGAGCTTGTAATTGCAGCTTTGATGTACCAGGAACAGGCATTTTGGTCATTTGCTCTCCACAGCTGCGATGGAAACTGCCTCCCCTTAATGCACTTTTACTCTACCGTAGAAAACAGTTTACAGAGAGCACTGAGGCTCCGCTTGCTTCAATGTTGAGGCTGTAACAGGCAACTGGATCAACAAACATTTTGTTTTTCATTAGACTCATTCTGATTTCAGATTCCTAATTTGCCAGACCGAAGACCAAGATCAAAATTACTTGCTGGTGTAGCCAGACGTAAATCCATTGGTCTGAAAAGGTTAAAGATCATTGGAAATTATCCCAGCACAATCCTGGAATAACAGAACGTCTTTCGCATCGCACATTTCTTTGAAACCCAGCCCTCCCTCTCTACCCCCTGAAAAAAAAACAGAGGTCAGGCAAGCCTTCCAAACAGCCACACTCCCGGAGCTGGATCAGGAGGGGATTTCAGGGTGATGAAGAAAAATAACAGGGCTTCCCTCTCTCCATCCAGCTTCTTCCTTTGCGGAGCAGAGCCAGGCCGACTCATCCTCCCCAGGGTGCTGGGGGGGGGCTCGTGTGGCACCTTTCATCCCCCGGTTCCAAAGAATTTAAGCAGCAATGACATCTCAAAGCATGCCTGTAGGATGGTGGCACCTCTGCACGACCTTTTTTCCACACAGGCGAGAGAGTGTCGCGGACTGAAAGATGAGACTTTTGCATGATTCCGTGTATTTGGTGCTGCAGGGGACAGGTAGGTTAATACATACCCTTTGGCTAATTAGGAGCAAGTGGTTGTGCATTTGTGGTGATTGCACATGCATCTTTTGGGCACGTATCTAAACATGCCAAAAATCATGTCTTAAGTCTCCTGTTGAAAGCAGCAACGCACTCCTGGCTTTGCTATAGAGACGGTTTGCAAGTCCTGCCCCAAACAGCACTACAGCTGACTGGAATCCTGCCTGCTTTTCACATCTGTACCCGACCTGGGATGGTTCTCAGGTAACTTTTTTATCTGCTTCTTTTTCCTCTTTCTGCTCCCCCGCTGGGCAACAGGCTGAATCTGTTGCAGTGGGGGAAGGCCCAGCCGCGGTGTGTGGCTCACTTCTGCGATACCCCGCTGCTTGCTCTGGCAAAATCCTGCTTCCACACGGGGGGAAACCCTTCCCCTCCTCTGCAGGTTAGAAATTATGCAACAGTAGAGTGATGAGAAATGTATTAGCGTGATCCTTTCCAAACCTGAAGGCTTGAATCCAGTTTCGAGTAGATGATGGTGAGCTGATTTCTCGGAAAGATAAATTTGGTTCCAGTCCTCCTTCCTAACACCCTTCTGTAGCTGCTGGCCCAGAGTGGCTCCTTTGTCACACACCTAGCTGAATGTGACCCAGCACCTTTCTGTCTCCATCAGAAGCTGAAAACGTGTTTTGATGTAGATGAAAATAGTGTTTCCATTTCATCTGCGGGCTCCAGTCTGGCACACCTGTGACTGGAATCGAGAAGAAGGTTTCTCAGAGCCACGAATGCTTGCCTGGCTGTTCAAGGGGACAAACAGCTATCAGCTCATTATTACATGGCCATAAAAATACATTTCCTATATAGAATGTGTCAAATCCTTTTCCTGGGGTGACAGTAACTGATAAGAGGGTTGTCAGTCTGGGATAGACAAACTTGAAATGATGCTGGAGTAGTGTTCAGCTTACTTTTTTCTTTCTTTTTTTAAAAACAAACAAACAAACAAAAAAGGGGAAATTTAATGCTGGAAAATGGAACCAGCTTTGCAGTTTGGGATATTGCAACTCCATTAATCAACAGGGCGTGTTCACCAATTACTTCAGGAAATCAAACTTCTTCCTGTGATCTCTTCTCCATGTACATCAGCCCCGAGTTGGAGAGAAATGTGATGGTGCAAAAGGATCAGAAAATGACTTTTAAGCTCTTCAGCTCCTTCAGTCCTTGGCATCAACACCAAGAGGCAGTTACAGTCTCCTGCTGACATGTGGGTACTGCTGTAAGAAATACCCGTTCGTTTCCTATTGCCCAAGGAAATACTTGGTTCTCCCGAAGCATTGCAAGAGCTGACAGGAAAGGCTTTGCTTTTATTTCTTATTTTTAAACATAACTTCCCATATCCTCAGCCTTAGCTGTCTTAGTCTCGCTTCAGTCCTGGAGCTCACAGACCGCGTTTATCCTTTTCAGCCCTTGGCAGCACCAGCGCTTGTCTGAAGGAGCTCCCTGCCCGTAACTAACGGGGAGCTGAGCATGGAGTAAAATCAGTGCAGTACTGGAACCGAGGAGAGGGGTAACAAGGACAGGAGAGGAGGAAAGCTGCAGACTTCTGCCAGCGAGGTGGCACTCGGGCAGCACGAGCACTGCCCAGCTAAGGGCTGGCAGAGCGGAGATCTCCTCCGGCCTGTGCTCTGGAAGCAGCCATAAGATGGACTGATATTTTGGAGCAGTGGCATTTAATTGGACTATGCAGAAGGTTCCCCCGTAGGCTTTGTTCTTGCACTTCTAACAGGAGTAACCGTGATCCAAACGTGGAAAGGAGGATGGGGGAGAAGAGGGGTGATACAGGATTGGTGCTGTACCCACTGACCGGTCAGTGCTCTGCGTCTGCCCCCATTTCAATAACAAGGGGATGTTACTTTGACTAAACATTTTGTTTAAGGATTTGCCGGTGCTGAGGCATGGATAGGTAGTGGAGAGGAAAAGGCCCCTTTTCTCAGTCACACGGTAGTTAGGAGACATTGTGTCTTCCTCTCCATCTGCTCGGGAACAAGATCACGAGTTAGACAGGCGGCTGGACTGCAGGAGGTCAAACCTCTGATTCTCTGCTTGGCTCACGGTCAGCGCCGATGGTTTACACACAACCCTGTCAGGCTGCCTGAGACACAGTCCTTAAGGTCACGGTGTATTTCTGCTGGGGCCGCTCTTCAACAGGTTCCAAGATGGCCCTTGTTTGAAAAAACGTTAATAAATGAAAGTATCTGTCTCTTTCCATCCTGGAAACTCTTTCCTCCCTCAGTATCTCCTGGGTCATGCACGGGATGTGCTGTGCTAAGCCCTGATTCACATTTCAGTGTAATTAGATTGTCACCCCTATCTCTGCCGTAATTAAAAAACAAGCCAAGCATGGGCAGATAGTAGACTTAACACTGCTGGGCTGCCAGCTTTGGAGAGGAGATCTAAGTAATTTGTTTTAATAAGACAGTTTATTACCAGCTTTTTGTCTCCTTAGACAGATGACCGCTTATTTTCTCCTGCCTGTTAACGACACAAAAAAAAAAAAAAAAAAAAAAACAAAACCAAAAAACCTGTGAATTTCAAACTTGGTTCCTGCAATTTGTTTAAAAATACACTTTTGACCGCAGGTAGTGTAGGCAGCAGCTGTCTAATGGGACTAGTCCCAGGGGTGGTGTCCCTCGGAAGCGAGTGTCTTGCTGCTTGAGAAGGGCTTTGGGCACTGGGTAATGTAATGCCTCCCCCTTTTTTTTTTTTCTTAATCTGAGAGCACAGGGAAGCTTCTGCCCTCCACTGGGTTCAGTCCCTGCCGTCTCAATGCCCTGTCCTTCCCTCCCTTCCAGCCCCCTGAATCTATAGATGCCTCCTGCCTCCCCTTCTGCCAGCTGGGAGAGCCACGAGACCCCGGTGCGCTCCGGAGCTCCCCAACACTTCCCGCTCCTCCGAGACCAGGCGGATCCCCGCGCCCGCCCTGCCTCTGCATCACGCCTGGCCCGCGATCCAGGGGACACCTCCCGGGACTGAACCGCTGAGCAGCGAGAGCTCGGACTGCTCGGGGGCCAGCGGGAGCCCCGGGCTTCGGGGTCTGATCAGCGCCACGCAGCCAGGGGGACGGTGAGTCGGGAGCGGGGTGGGTTAACCCCCCCGGGGTGAGGTGGGTGGCAGGCAGAGCCGGGGGTCTGGAGAGGAGTGAGTTAGCAGGGAGTAAGGCAACAGTGAAAGTTTAGCACAAGGACAAAAGATGGGACTTCGACAGCGGAGAAAATGGCTTGCCTTTAGAGATGGGGGGTGGTTAGACAGGGAGGAACGGAGGAGGAGGAGAAAGTACAGAAAAGCCCAAAAGCTCTCGAACAGGGACGGGAGGGTGGAGTCTTTAAATAGACATTTGGAGCCACGGAAAATCTTTACATACCTGTTCACTCTGCACCCAGGCAGATTCCCAATGTGTCAGCCACCACAGGATCTGTTCAGTGCTAGAAATTTTGAGGCTGGGAAGTGCTCTAAACCATGTTTACGCCCTGAGCAGTTTGGATGTGAAACAATTTCAGATTCAGAGGTAGGGTTCTGGCCCAGCTTTAACAACAATGCAAATGTAGCTGTGAGCTCACTGGTGGCAGTGTAAGTTACGAAAGTGTTGAAAGGCCTGTGCCACACATTGAAATACATAACAGAGTGGTTGATGCTGAAATATTTCCTTTTTTCCTTAGACTGTTCTTTCCTACAACCAATGAAACATCGATGAGTGTTTCAGCACATGAAGAGACTATTAACTTCTGGCTTTAGCTGACTCAGCTAAGAATTTGAGGGCTGCGGCAGCTCCATAAAGACTTCTCTGCCATCAGTTCACTCCTCCTCACATGAACAATGCCCCAAACTCATTTCTCTCTCTGGTCTCAGCTGCAGCATTTTGGCAGAGGGAAAGGGCACCCACTGCTGCCAAAGAACTCAGTGCTTTACGGGTGAAAATCAAACATCCTGAATTCCACCTGGAGCCCGCTGGCAGCGACTGCAGGGCCCAGAGCAGTTACGTGGCGTTTTCTTACGGCGACGCGTGACTTGGTAAGTGGGATCTCACATTACCTTTTGCTCCCCAATAGTTCTGAGGTGCAATCCCACGAAGAAAGCGTTGTAGAAATCTAATCCCAAGGGGACAAAACCGTCCTGAGATGGTTGCAGCAAGATTTCTACATAGGCGGGGGATCCCAACGCGTGTCTGCAGGAAACTTGCAGCTTGTGAAGCCTTTTGTAGTTGCTCCAGAAGGAGTTTTCAGGCGTGTGTTACACTGCATTGCGGGTGGCTTCCATCCCGCTGTCCCACTCAAGCAGCCTGTCTTGAACAAAAAGTCTGGGCCAGTGCCCTGCACTTAGGACGGTGTGTATTACTAGTAATTATAATCATTAATTTAGTAAAAATGTGCCTGCTGTTCCCAACTTTCAAATGGCTCAGCATGCTTGTACTTCTTGTTTTCTCATAATGAGCTGTCTACAAAAGCGCTATCTTAAATTTCGACCCAGACCTTTAACAACCTGAGCTTAGTGAGAGAAACAAGCTGCCAGAGGAAGCAATTAGCTTAAATTTACCCCAAACCCAAAATCTCACCCAGCGATATGAATGGATCCCGAGGGGTTCAGGCCTGGGAAGGAGTTTCAGCAAGTGGGGATCGAGTTGCTTTGCAGCTTGGATGCTCTCAGGCTTTATGTCCCTTGTCAGATGCCAGCTGTCACCCTGCTTCCCTCAAGAAAGGCTCCACCAGCCCAAAGTTGGCCCGAGAACAGGGCATATGGATATAGAACTGGATTTGTCCAATAAAACAGGCATTTTGGGTGACGCTTTGGATTATCCTTTGGTAATGCCACGACGCTGAACTCTTGACTTGTTTCCCGGCTTGGGCCTGACGATCAGTGATAGATCAGAGGGGTTCCAGGGATCCTGCCCTGCAAATTGACAAGATGAGCTTTGCACCAGACAAAAGGGAGTCAGTCTGCATGACCTGACGGGTGCTCTGTGCGTCAGGATTTGATTTAGCTGATGGGCCAGTGAGCAAAATGCAAGTCCCGAGCAACCGGGGCTTTCCTTTGGAGTCTATTTAACCATGTGTTTGTGTGGAGGCAGAGATTACATAAATGAGTGGGAGATGGGGTAGTGTTATTTATGTTACAGGCTCATCCTGTATGTGTGAAGTGCTGGATGCAAATAGTGCGAGTTAGAAACCGGGTGCTGCTGGTGTATATGCTGCAGCCTGCCGAAAGCCGGGCGAGCCGGCCGGCTGGCGGGGTTTGTCACTGGTCCTGAATGTCAGGAGACACTTCAGTTCCAGACAGCAGGCCACGGCCGGCCGGGATTCATCAAGGGATGGAAGAAGAAAGACAATAGCGCTAAGAAAGCCAAGATTTAAAATCCAAATCTGACTCTGGAAAGTATTTCCCACCTTTATGGCGAGCCCGGGATTTGAAAATTGCTGCATCTTAAAGCGTGCGGGTGGGAAACCTGAACTGGCTGTGTGTGCTGCCCCTGTGCGCGAAGGAATGCCGATGCCGCGTGTCCTTCCTGCCCGTTTTAACACTGCCACCCTATAAACCTGTTTACAACCAAACAAGCCATGCAGAAATTGCACGGGTTTGGTTAATAATGCTTGGCAAACAACATGGCCTGGGCATCAACATCATGGTCTGATCTCTAGGCAACAGCTTCTCCTCCGCCTCGTATTGTTGCTCTTTCTGAAATGGGAGGGATAAAGAGTATTAATAAGAGGCTGTAAAGACAGCACACCGCTTGGGAAGAGGGTGCTGCTGTATCTTCACTAATAAATCAGGATCATTATCACACCAGGGGAGAGAAAGAGAACCCAGAGCAAAGGCATCTGGTGTGAATTATGTCTCTGAGCCTGCTGGAGCTCTCCATCTTCCCGGAGCACTTGCTTCAGCGAAGCCGTGCAGCCTGCCAGCAGCCATTAATCCCCTCCACTCCTGCCGGAAAGCTGATACTGGACCGAGGCAAATATTTCTTGTGTCTGACAGTTTAGGGTTGGTTTTGTGTTTTCTTTTTTTTTCTTTTCTTTTTAATACTTGCTGTAATGAGCAAGAGCCCAGAAATGCTCAGAGTGCTTTCTGCAGACTCTACAGACGTGTGTGTGAGAGCAAGAAAATACAAAAACCAGAGCAGCTCTCTCTTCATGCAAGTTCAGTTGCCCCTTTCAGCTCCAAACACACGCGTGTATATAAAGAGAGGAGTGACAGCTGCTGAGCACAGGGACTTAACTACAGCGCTGTGTCTCTATGCAATCCATTTGCTACAGTACTTTTCCTTCAGGGAAATTTGGGGGGACATGATGGGAGTGCCAGTAGCACAACTCCTGAATTCATTAGTTTCTGATTTCACCCACACTTGTTAAAACACAAATGCCCTGAATGTGATTTCCTAAAAGTAATCCTGACTTATGCAGCTAATCCTATTTGTATTTTTTATTTTTTTTTGATGAGAGGGGAAACACCAAAGGAGCTTTTTAGCTTGACAGCTTGCTTGGACAAAGCTGTCTTCATACACTGGTAATGGGATGCTAGAACCATGGCCTGAAGACCTGTTTCAGGTGATGCGTGCTAACATAACACAGCACGTCAGAAAACATTTTACAGACATTTGCTCGCTATTTATGTCATATTTTCCCAGGGTTCACCATGATACAGTACTGGCACTTACATGAGTTTTTACTGGCATTTTTCAGCCATCATGGATTTGTCTGATAGTCTTTTGTTCCTCAGCAAAGAAGGTGGCACTTGAACCCTCGATAACCAAGTCTGTATTTTTTAGAAATAAGCGTGAGTCAGAAGAATAGATTTGATTTACTTTTTCTATAAAGTGACACAGCTAAAGCCAGCAAGCTCTTGTAGAGGGGTTTGTCTCAGTGACAGCGAAGGATGTCATTAAGAAGCTGCGTTGTATGTGCGAGTGTGGTGCCACTGCCCACTAACAGAACATGCTACTTAATGTCCTGCGTGTTTTCAGCATCCTCTCACTCTTACACCACTTCCCTCCGCTGCGTGTCTGGAACCAAAATCCTGGATTCCTGACAGCCATCACCAGGCTGTTGCTGAGGGGCTGGGCCTCCTCCAGTTGTTTGGAGGGAGCCTGATAACTTGGCATGGCAATCTCAGCACTGCTTTTCTCCTCTGTGGAGACTAATTTAGACTAATTGTTTCCAAATGAACATACCCAGCAGCTGGGCAGGTTCTGAAGCTCTGGCTCTCAAGCTGCTCTGCCTTGCAGGAAGCGTGTTTGGATGACCGGGGGCAGGCTGAAGGAATGAAATCCTCATCCCCAAAATGTTGATTTGCACCGCCTCATGCCAGTGCTCTTGAGGAGTTAGGAAAGAGCTGTGTGCTGGATGTTTACCAAGTGCTGAATAATGCACAGTAGTGAATCACACCCAGATTTCTCTTTCTTCCTATTAGAATTATTGTAAGCAACAATATGATTGACCCAGAACAAAAATAACTCCAACAGATGACAGTACAGTGAGGCATTAGGGGACTCCCTATCTAACAACCAAAGTTTGAACACCGAATTTACCATTTCCAAAAAGTTTTAATGGCAGTGCATTACAGCAAGTGGTGTACTAAGACCTTTCCTTTAAGGAAAGCAAAAAAAGAAAAAGAAGGTGGTAAAAAATTATGCTTAAATGGTATAGTTGCTCATTTAAATGAAATGCAAAGTTTATCTGTTTGCTGTGGAGATGGAATCAACGATAACAAATGGTGCCAGGTAACAGGAGAGAGGATGGGTGAACAGGTTTTTCTGAATCATACTTAATGAACTGGATAAAAATAACAGAGCAGAAATGCAGCTTAGGGGACCCTTGATATCACCAGAAGCTCCTCCAGAAAGAGGTGTCCCAGCCTGGGTAACGATCCTGAGTTACCTGGATAACAATTGTTACTTCTCTCTCCTTAGGCTAGCACAGAGGAATAAATAAGCCATTCCAACCACGCGGGATATTGTTAACCGTTCCTGGCTTAGCTTTGCTTTCATTGTTTCTGTTTTGTTTTGTTATCAGATTGCATGTGTGAAAAGAGACAATATTTCTAAGGTCAAGAGAAGACAAAAAGATAGACTGACTGAAGCAGTAAAATCTAAATAAAAATGGCTCCGTCTCCCCCAACAAGAGAAACCCTGTTCCTGGTGAGGAGGGGTGTTGTTACTCATACTATTAGTGAGCAGGGTGACAGATCACCAACACTCCTTTTCCCGGAGCTGTTCTGGTCCCTCCGCACAGTTCCTGCCTCCGATATTAATAATATTGGGCTGTAAGTGATTCCAGAGGCTTCCTTGGAGTCAGCAGGTTCCGGCATTATTTGTACTCTCGGGGAAAAGGACCATCACAGCTGATGTGTTACGTGGCTGTTACACTCTGGGTTTTGCTCTCATGAGTTACTACTTACCCAGCCACACAAATAGCTGTGCGATAGCAGAGACTTGGGGTCACACCTACACCAGCAACAGTGTGGTAGCACACAACAATACCACAGTCTGCAGTGCTCGTAGCACAGTAACTGGACAAAACCAGTCCTACAACACCCGACGTGTTACTGAAAGCTGGTTGTTTTAATTAAAAACATCGCTAAATGCCACTTTTGATATGCTGCAGCTACACACCTGAGTCCAGTTCTGACCAGCTGTGCCAAACAGCCAAGCTCCTTTTTGTAGAGCAGGGTTTTCAACTCCAAAGCATGCCCCTTCTGCGCAGCTGCTGCCTGTGCTTTCTCCTGACTTAGAAAAACGCTTCTCAGACCAACCGACCTCCTCGCAAGGACTGATAGCTGCTGCTGGTTTCCTCAAGACAGGAACAGTGTAGTTGCACATTCTTACCATTTACTTGTCATCGCCTCAGTAGCAAAGATCTCTTTGTCATCAACTAGATGTGTGAGTACGTCTCATCCACGCATCGAGCTTTGCAATGCCTATAACCGAGAGACCTCTGGCTTCCGCTGAGTGTAATTTTCTGCTTTTCCAAGGCAAGAATGGATGCGGGTGCCATCCTCCCGGTCCCTGTGCTGACAAGCTACACCTAGGGGGATACAGTACAGCGTGCTGTGGAAAGCACTTGTAGACTTCAGTGATTTGCCTGAGCTTCTACTAGAGCTCAAAAATACTATGTTTTGTAGGTACATAAAGTTATTTTTCTCTATATGTATGTCTAATTTTCTGTGTTACATATAGAGATGCTGGTGATCTGCTAACCACCGTAGACAATAATAAGAGGAAGGACATTTATCCTTAGAGAAATAGGATTTCTCTCATTTGGAGGTGGAGGTACCACTGAGTTAGATCTGTGTCTTGCTGCTTCTCTCTTCATTTGTTGACAACTTGCTGATTAACTTCAGCCATGGTAGTTCATCTTATCAGGTGTATTATCCCACGGCTCTTTCGCTACTTAGAAGAGGAACAGCACTTCACCTTCCCTCTGTTCCCAACCCGTTGCTTTTTGATACCTCTTTTAGACCCCTTCTGTACACAGGCGCTTGTCTCAAATAAAAGGACTACAGCGATCCCAACTGTACCGCTGGGTCAAGCAGCTTCTCGAGTTGTTGTGCTTCCTCGGGGATTTACCCTGCAAAACCAGCCAGGAGCACTGAGGCCACTTGCCATGTTGGGAGAGCACGTTTCCCCAACTTTCAGCGTGATCGACGGTGCCACTTCTCCTTCCTCAGAGCCACGCCACTCTCATTACCGAAGCCTGCTTTTCTTTACAGCGATTCTCAGGGCTTTTTATTGCTGTTCAATTTTTCTGTGGGGTTTTTTTAACTTTACATACGCCCCGCAGCATGCTGCGCTAAGTAGACACCTCTGATCCCTTCTGCTTTTACATCAGCCTTGGTAATTAAAGGTGGTAATTAAAATCACCTGTTCTCTTACAGGCTGTGCACCCCTCTTTGGCTTTTCCTCATGCGTTTCTTTTTCCAGGCTGTCCCTCAGCCTGAAATGTTACTTTTGTGCCCCATTTAGGCATCGCACAGGGTGCTGTTGTGCTGGACCTGCCACAGTAACAGCAGCGCCTCCGACCCGCCACCCCTCATCCCTTTCTTCCTCAGAAACTGCTGAAAAATTCCTTTTTTTTTTTTTTTTTCTCTGCAACAAATAGAAACGGATTCTCGTAAGATATTTCTGAAGCGCTTTTCAGAAATTAACCCTTGGCTGACCACCCCGGGCTGTCGTCGTTCTGAGGGGGCGTCGGCGCCAGGGCGCATGCGCGACGGGGGCGGGAGCGGCCGGCAGGGGGCGGCGGGGAGCCGCGCGCCTCACGCATGCGCCGGTCCTCGCGGTCGCGCTCCGGTGTGTCTCCCCCCAGCTTGGCGCGCTGGTGACGTCACCGCCGGAAGCGCTGCGCCGCCATTTTGCGGCCGAATGTTTCTACTGAGAGATCGGTGTTTCCCAGAGTTCTAACTCTTTTTTTCTTCGGGGGAAGGAGATCCTTCTACTGAGAGATCGGTGTTTCCCAAAGCTTGGCTCGCCGCTGATGGCTTTCTGTGAGAAAAACGCGCTTAAAAGAGCGGGTTGGCTCAGTGCGGAGCCCAGTGCCGGGGTCCGGCCCCAGAGCCTGGCTGTAACTGGTGTTAAATGGGTTTTCTCCTGGCACACCCCGAGTTCCGCACCCCGCTCATCCCAACAGGTACGTGTCTTCGTGTCAGTGCCCCGCCTCGCCCTCAGAAGCCTGCATGTGCTTAAACAATGTCATCTCGGGCTCCCGCTGCAGCTTTTTATGTTTTATTTTTGTCCTGGTAACGGTAGCCTGTGCTCTGGGATCGTCGTGTTCCGTTTAAAGAGTTGCAGTCTCTTCTGCCCGTGTATTTTACATTTTGTTCTTTTTGCAGAAATACTCTGTGTATTTACTCTCATTCTACTCCCCTTCCCCCTGCTCCCCCAGTTTTGTATAATATTACAACCTCTAATTGCAACAGTTTGCTGAATAAAGCAGCTGTTAAAGTAAAACTAAATATCATTAATTTGTGACCCTTTGGAAGAGAAACAAACACCCTGGGGTGGTTTGTAACCTTTCTGGGATGACTCTGGGGAATCCTAATGAAATCTCATATTTTTCTACAGATTAATTCCTTTGCAAGCTCAGCTTCAAACTGAGAAAAAAGTTTTTTCATTTCTCATGAGAGCAAGCTGACAGCAGGTTCAGTGGAAAAATTTATGTACGGTTTCACATCTGTAATTTTGTTAGCTTTTCTCACAATTGTTGTAATCCTTTTCCTCAGTCATATTTCATGTAGAAATATATATATACTTATAGCAATGTGTGGTACATATATGAGCCATTTTTTGGTAAACAAGTAAGATTCTTGTTATTTGTCAACTAATTTTTTTTTTATTTTTTTGGTGCTGTCACTGTTCCTAGCCAAAATTTTTGCATCAGGTTATAAAACATCTGAAGAAAAGGTTCGTGTGGTCACAGCTGCTGCCAAAACATGAAACAGAATTCCTGGTAAGTGGGATTTTTGGAGGCTGGGGTGGGGGGTGGGGGCTACATCTCCTGAAAGAAATTAAAATACAGATAAAACGTGTTGCTTAGATGGTCAGAGTTGTGGGGTTTTGTGTGTTTTTGAAGGGGGTGCACTGCCTAGTGAATTTTTCTTGTAGGTTCTCAGGCACTAAAACCTTTACAGGTATTTCTGTAGTTGTTCCTGTATGTTTTCTAGTTGAATCTCACTGACATCACAGTCATGACAGTGTTGTCCCTGTCTCTGTTTTGCCTGTATTTCCCCAGAAGCTCGGCACCACGTTTCTTGCCTGCCCCCACACTCTCCCCACCACGTAGTTTCAAGATGTTTAAGACAGAACAACATGATTTCTGATTTCAGGTGCATCTTTACCGTGTTTTGTCGGGGTGTTTAGTGTACTTTTGACTCCCTTTGTGTGGATTTTGTTACCGAGTGGGGACAGAGAGTATGCTGGTAGGCTCAGGATGGTACTGTGTTTTTTAGGTCCCTTGCTCACAGCACAGCTTTTATTTTTTGAAATGTGTGGCTTGTGTGTAGCCTTGCTTCACTGAAGAGTTTTCTTTACTGGCCACAGCTAGGCTGGCCTTGCTGTGTAAAAGCCAGTTCTAACGGAGAAATAAACCCCTAAGCAACAGTGAGTGGGAGTGGGGAGTGATGAGTTCCACCCGTCACAGTAATGGCTTTATGAAATCCCTTGGAGGAGTGGTCCTGGAGGACTGTGAACCAAAAGGCTCTGCCATGTGAATTCCAACTAAAGAATAAAAATACGAGATGAAGCTAACATTTGGAAGGTGCAAATGCTTAAAGCTGCTTGGTCTCCTGAGGTGAAAGAGGTTGTTAGGGCACGTGGTGTCGTCTTTTTCACTTGAAAGAAGAGCTAAAATGATCTGAAGGGAGTTTGCCCTCACCAGTTTAGCTTGCGGGGCTGTCTGAGGGAGAATTGCACGATAGATGCCTTGGCCTTTAGGAGAGGTAAGTGAAAGCGTCGCCACTTTGGGATTAAAAATCTCATTTGAGGGAAAGAACGTAAAAAAGGCTAAAGTTGTGTGTTTCTGGCAGTTGTGTCTTTGCCAGAACAGATCCAGGTGTGGAATGTGGAAGAGGTGGCTGCTGAGGTGTCTCAGGCTGCGATTCGGTTTGTGCTCCAGAGCTCAGAGGCAGCAGTAGGTGACAGGGAGTAACTCGAGTGGCCGCAGCGAAACCCTGGCCAAAATCACCTTTAATGTGCACAAGTTGGAGGTGGTCTCACCTCCGGGACTGTCGTAATCCTGGGAAAAATCACTCACTGGAGAAGCCTCCCTGGTTTAGCTGGGTAAACTAAAAATGCTGCTTCAACTTGTGATTTATCCGTGGGGGTGCACATGAGATGAGGCTCCCTAAATCACTGCCGTTTGTGCTCTTCCTAGTTTTTTGCCTGCTGCCTGGCACATGCTATTAGACTCATCAGATTCCCCAGGACAGTTACATCCTGAGAGGAGGAATAATTCCCATTCTTGCCCATGAGTTAGAGTGTGGGGATTTTAGCGATTTTAAGCTAAATGCACATCTGTGAGCTAAAGCAGAGACACTCGAGATCCCAGTTTGCATCCAGAGCCCTACAAGCTCATTAACAGTTTGACCACTTGCTCCCTGTAATCCTGACAGGTTTTAGAAAGGATTTTGTAATGGTTGCCTTCAAAGCAGAAGATAAGAAAGGAATGTTGCAGAAAACAGAAGTGTGATTACAGCCGAGAATCTGAGAAGAGCAAAGCCTTAGCATGGGAGACAGACTGCATAACTTAAAAAGCAAAGGCAATGTCTAGCTTTCAAAATAAAGCTAAGAATAGAAGGGGAAATCTCAGCATGAAGCTGGAAGATACATCTTACAAGAGACTCTCCTGTGCAAACACCTCTAATCATTCATTGGTTTGTCTCTGTTTTTTCCACCCCCATATACTGCACGATCGTTTTAGGTGATTACAGATGAAACGTAAAAGAACAGAGCTGCGAAGCGGATTACACACAGACTACAAAGCTGTTCGATATGAAAAGTGGCAGAGGAGTTCTCAAGAAAGAGCCTTCCTTATCTGTCAACTTGGGGTTTATGCACAACTATGGGACATCCAGATATTCGTAGAAAATACTGAACAAAGCACTTCAGGGCATTAACTTTCCCCTCTGAGCTGACTGGTGATCGACCCCCAGTCCAGTGATAAATTTACCCTAACAGAGGAGGACTGCAGGAACTAGCTGAACGCAGCCCTGCTCTCAGTCCAAGGGACAGAGCTGAGGTGCAGATCAGCCACGGTTGGCATGCTGTTGTTGAAAGCTTTCGGGACCTTTCGAAAGTATTTTGCTTCTCCGTTTTGGTTAACATAACGTCGGTGTGGCAAATCCCTCTGAGGTTGCTCAACTTGTAATTTCATTCCAATTTAATGAGCACCATCTGTTATCAGCCTCTCAAGGCTGTGTGTGGTCACAGAACTACAAGTTTTGAGAGACACACACTTAAAGTGGTGGGGGAAAGTTCAGTGAAAGAAACTGTGAGTCTCTCTCAAATCTGTTTATCTCGAATTTTGTGGGTTTTGCTTTATTTGCTTCCTCATAGGGTGCCTGTCACCTGCCAGATAAAGAAGATGGAACCAGCAAACCTGACAAGTACACTAGATCTCCGCTCCATCACGGCGTTTGGTGGAAGGTGTGCATTGAGGTGGTGTCTCTTCCCACAGGCAGAACACGGTGTGTAATCGGTACCAAGCCCTCTGTGCTGTAAGGAAGCTGTTGTGCAGCCCCTGATCTCTGTGGTGGGTTGTTGGTGAGAATGCTGTATCTCCTTTATATCCACTTCCAGCGGGTATGAACCGCTTCCTCACACTGCTCTGCTGCTTCAGCATGAGCTCTGAGCAGTGTAGTTTTCTTTTTTTTTTTCTTCTCTCTTATTCCAGACTCACCCGCTGGAGAGAAGTATTACTGCAGTGTGCATGAGCGGCAATATATTCAATAAGAACAAGAACTCACACTGTGGAAATGGGTTTCACAATCACCGTGCCCGTGAGCCACCCCTGGGTGTGACGGGTCAAGTTCATGCCTTTGTGCAGGGTAATTTTTTCTAGTTACATCCTCTGTGTGATCCCTCTTAAATTGCTCTCTCAACGTATTGGAAATGCTTCTGGGGATACTGCAGTTCAGTGAAGTTTTTCACTGTCTCCTGACCGACACTGGGTGCTGCTGGGGTAAGGAGAGGCAGCCTGCTTGCCTACAGGCAGCACCGGCGCCAGGAAATCTCCTTTTCAGCCCACCTCCCCCTACTTCAGAGGGTTTTACTGGTAACCTGCAGATTGGGCCTTTTTAAAGGCTGAGTGCGACGCGCACTGCACTGTTCTCCCGTTCTTTTAAACAAGACTTGTTGCTGTCCTTCAGTTAGATCGAGGGCAGGGGGAGAAGGGAGGGCTGGCTGTCTAGTTCTCTTGTTTTAAAATCACATACAGCCCCAAAGGTAACGAGGTATCTTATTTCCTTTGGCATGGATGGATACTAATACTTAAATACCTTTGTGCCTGTATGGAAAGGTCTGTGGTTTCTGTCCAGATCTGTTCTCCTTCGAGCAGTTTGTCTTAATCTTGGCAGCTCGGGGTGGTACCAGACTTCTGCCTTTTAAATCTCGCCTAACACAGGCTTGCAGGCGGTGCTGCGGAGGCCCTTCCAGCAGGACGGGAGGACACCAGCTTTGTCTACATCCACGGAAGCACCTGCAGCCCAGGACGAGGGAGAACGCCTGCTGCCCTGCCTGGCCCCTACCGACACTCACGGAGTCTTCTAGGAGCGGCCAGCCTCGAGCGCAGGCGTGTGTCCGTTCCGTAGCCGCTGCCAGAAGCGCGCGTTGCTGGTGTAAGCCCGTGGCACCAGGGTAGCTTGTGAAGACCAAATCTCATATCACCTCGTTTTGCCGTCTCTCTCTCTCTCTCACACACAAAAGCATTTAAAGCAGATGAAAATGTTTAGTGTGATAACAAAACCCTGCAGTGGAGGCAAGGCAGTAGTCAGACCCCTTGGAAGAAAGCGTCTTGTCGTTTGCTCGAGCGCTCTGCACAAGTTTTATCAGACAACAGTGAAGCACAGGCAGCTTTTTTTACCCTGGGGAGCAGGAAGTTCTCACTTTTAAGAAAACAACCGTTTTGTCTAAAGGTTTGGCAGCTCGGTTTGAAGAAGGTGGGTACTGATCAACAGCGACGGCTCTGTGGAGGTACTGTGTGGTTTATTTAAGTGCAGTAATTGAGCCAGCCATTTTAGTCTTTCTGATGCTAACAGCACTTAGGCTGTGATCACAATTAGAAAAGTCCAGGTATTTTTGGAAATGAGGAAGTCTTCCTGGCTTGTTTTCTGCACTGCTGACCAGAGTACCGGTACGTTCGTGGTTTTGTCCCTGTACAAACACCCCTTACTGTTTAATACAAAAACCAGGGCAACTTGTCAAGGAAATAGCGTAGCAGGATTGCTTTTGGTGAGTTACTGTGTGTAACAACTGTAAAAGTGAGAGGTTGAAAGTGCAAAGAAGTATGATTGCTTGTTGCAGATTGTCTCGTGGAGTAGTGTTGTTATTTCTGTACAGTCCCTGAGCTGCAGTTTTTATAGGTTTAGAGCCTTTTGGATTGTTCAGGTGAAAGTTTTGCCAATAAAGCTTCTAGCATTAGCAACTTGAGTGTACGGTGTACAGCATCTGTGTAGCAGAAGGCACTTCATAAATAACGACAGCTCAGATTAGGTGCTGGCAGTAAGTGAATGCTGGCATTGTGCAGTTGAATTACAAACTCACTTAGTTCCAAAATTTGAGACAAGTTTCTCTCCTGTCAAAATATCAGGGAATTAGAAGGATTTTATCAGAATAATCGGACTTCGTACATTTTACTTTGAAAACATGCTTTAAAAATAGGGAAAGTGTACAGAAAGAAGGGGGGTGGGGGAGAAAAAACACTTTCTTTTTCTTGCCCTTCAAAAATGAGGAGAGAACAGTTACCTAGTAGCAGCAGGTTGTAATAGTGACTGTGCAAAATAATCCATGATGACTTTCTACCAACCGCTAAACAGCATAGTACTTTTCAAAGCATAAATTTGGCAAAGAGGATTGCTCGTATGCTGTTCCACAGCTAATCACACCTTTAGCTTTTTCTGCTTAATTGGGACAGCTACGAGTTCAGCAAGAGAAACGAAGGGGTGAAATGCCTCTAAATTCCCATGGCGAAGGTGGACCTTGGCACATTGTTAGAGAACACAAAGGGCTTATCACAGCTGCTACTGAAATTATTTTGCATGAATGTAAAATGAATATACCACAGGGTCAGGCAAAACTACAGGAGCTCTACAGATTCAGGCTCAAGGTCTGACAAGGATGTTGTACAAGATGTTTGAAATGAGCAAATACGAAAAGGAAGTAGGGTGGATGTTTTCTTGACATCTTTCCCAGTCTTAAAAGGAGACGCGTAAAACCATTCTTCATGTCTGTGTTGGCTCTTAAAAGCCTTAAGTAATGGGGGGGAAAACAAAAAAAAAAGGCTTAAAGCTTAAAAAAAAGCTTAAAAGCCTGAAATCCTCTGGGGCAATCACTTCCATTTCAACACCCTTAAATAGTTAAGGGTCGTTTTGCCAGAGTGAAAAACATTGAAGTATTTTGACTGTACAATTTCTGGTTTTTAAATTAAACTAAAGGTAATTTAGCTTGCCTAAGGAGAAGGGAGAGAAATCTCCGAGCAGTTTACCAGCCTTTTACTTACTGCCTATTGAGGTTTGCAAATGCAGATAACCCCCATGCACCAGTACCTGCTGTGGCTGCCCAGCTGGAAAGCGGCTTTGCAGAGGACCTGGGGGTCCTGGTAGCCACCAGCCACGGGCTGGGAACGTGCCCTTGCAGCAGAGGCAGCCCTGAGGCTGCTCTAAGTGCTTCCAGCTTGAGGTGATGAGTGTGGTGGGGTGCCTGGAGTGCTCTGGCTGTGTCTGAGCTCCCCAGTGTGAGAAAGACAGGGACAGACTGGTGAGGGTCTGGTGAAGGGCCGCTAAGCTAGGGAGTGGCTGGAGTGTGATACCAGCAGAGTCCAAGAGCTGGGGCTGTTTAGTCTGGAGAAGAAAAAAGCTCAGGGAGGAATCTCAACGTATATAAATACCTGCTGTTCAGCCTAGAGGTCGATCCAGACTTCAGTGGTGCCGAGTAAAATGACAAGTGGTGGACACAAACTGCAATACAGAAATTGCCACTTAAAAAACAAAACAAAACAAAAAAAACAACCAAAAAGCAAACCCTAGTGAGGGTGATCAGGCACTGCACCGGGATGCCCAGGAAGGTTGTGGAAGGTCCATGGAGATCCTCAAAGCCCAACTGAGCACAGTCCTGCCCCACCAGCTCCAGGGGACCTTGCTGTGAGCGGGGGGGATAGATTTAGGTCCTGGTCCCTTCCAACCTCAGCAATTCTACAACAAGCAGAGGGCAGTTGGGTGGTGGCTGTCCTAGAGACCGGTGTTTTCAGCTGCATTTGGGAAACATTTTCATCTTTTGCATGGATGCTGCTTTTATCCAGCATCCAAGAAACCAGTCTCTGTCTACTGGCTAAACTTCCATTCCCTTGCATGCGCTGCATGTACGTGGACATCCTTGATTATAAAGGCATTGCTTTCTGCCTCAGCTGCCCCTGCGTGCCACATTCACTGATGTAGCAGCAGTGTGTTTTAATTCCCAATTATGTACCTGCTAATGTCTTCCCTACAGAGTTCATTTGGCTGAAACTGGCTGCAACAACTGCTCTATCTATCTGTTGTAGCTTTTAAAACCGTAAGGACGTCCGCCTTGAGCCTACCCGTGCAGATTGTCCTTCAGACAATCGGCCTCACCTTTCCTCCCTGCACCCTTACGTACTTCCTAGCTGCACGTCCTTTTCTCCGGTTCTCTAGAAGGGTTTTAATTACTTGTGTATTTGTTTCCACCGAACCCCTTAGAGTAACGGCTTCGTAAGCAACGTGTAGGTAACAGCCTGTAGTTGTTGGTCGCTCCCGAGAGCCTTGTGTCTCGAGAGAGAGAGGCGTTTCTCGAGCAGAGGGTGATCTGCTCTTTCATCCGAGAACGGGGCCGCTCGCAGCCATTCATTGCTGTTACAGGGAATGTGCAGTTGCCCCGGTCCTCGTAACGGAGTCGAGAACGCACGTTCTCGCTGCACGTGACGCTGTGGAGCTTACACTTCCAGAACACTCCTGCCAGGAAACCACCTTGCCTTTATTACAAACGGAGGGAAACGCCTTCGCTGGCAGTGTACTTCTAAGACTGATGTGCTGTCACAAGGAGGCACGCGAGAGCAGTAAATAGCCAAAGTGTTCCAGATATATCAGAGGAGGAGCACTGCCCTTCCCGAGAGAGTACAGAGAGAATCCTCCTGGGAGACCGTACACTAAATACTCTTGATACTGTGTTTGTCCTCCTAGGCTGAAATACTTCAGATTTATCACGCACCCCTTGATTGTTCTGAGATCTTAAAAGAATTATCTTGATCCTGGGGTTGGGTGGTTCCTTTTTGTGTTTGAACCACCCCTTTTCAGCAGCCCTTTCTTCAGCTGGGGAAGCTCCTACAGCCTGGTTACAGGCTTCTGGTGTGAAAGGAACAGTAGAGCTCCAGTGTGGCATTGGTGGAGGGCTTCATGCAGATTTGCCTGTTTGGAGAAAATTAAAATTGCATGCAGTACCCAGGGAGAAAAAACCAACCTGTTCCATACCTCCCTTTTCTGATACTCTCAAACGTTCAGAGATCCATTCCTGCAGAGATTTGAAAGACAGAAGTCAATTCTTGGCAAAGATCACAGATTCTGTTTTTGATGTAAGGCAACTTTTTTCCCCTTCCTGGTCTTTGTTTTTTTTTGGGGGGGGGGGGGATGACGACACAGACCTTAAGCCTTGATCTAAAAGCTTCAACTGACAAGGAATAAGCTAGGTAACTTTTTATCAATTATTTTCACAAAAGCACCCGATTTAAATACCTAGAATTATCGAACGTAAGCTTTTAAACAGTTATTTCATCCAGCAGCACCAGTCCTGCCCCTGAAGATGTCGAAGACAGACCGCACCTCATCTCTTGGTCGACCCCTCTTGTCCTGGTTAAGAGAGTCGCCCTTTGAGCTGCTGCAGGCATTCCCCCCCCCTCAGAAGTTCAGACTGCTCTGCCAGCTGTCTCCTCTGGTCTGGTGTTAGTTCTCAGTTTGAGGTATGGATACCGAATGAGACATCTGGCACCGGTGCTGTCCCCAGTTACCCGAGGTGAGCTCCTCTGATTTTCACCCCCACTGGGAGAGGAGGGTGCTCTGGCCGAGCTGGTTTCTCTCGTTGCTTCCAAACCCGGGTGCTTGTGACCCCTCTGCTGCTGCGTGACCCACGCTCTGCCCCTCGAGGGGCTGCCGTACCGTCAGATGCAGAGCTCCCAAGTTTTATTCAGCTTCCAGTGCCCAGAAGCCGAGCCCAACTCGTGCATCCCGCTAGAGTCAGCTCGCTGCTTCACCTGAAAACCCAATGGCCCTGATCCTAGAGCTCCTTTTAAATCGCTTCAAAAGGCAACGAATGCTTTGGCCGTGAGAGCAAAGCCATCCCGTCACTGATTATCTTTGGGGCAGCAGTTTGTTGCTTCACTTTTTAAGAAACTGGCAACAGGCTGATTTTAATGTGAATCTCGCAGAGCCCCAGCGTGGCCTGTGTCGCTATTTGAAGAGCATGTGGGAGTAAGACAAAGGCGCTACAGAAACTGCCAGCTTGACAAGGGAACTCAAATACCGGCTACGATTATGGGAGCGTTCTTTGGTTTGTTAACAGTCAGACCCTCCGTCAGCCTGTATGGGGGCACGGAGGGGTTTGCACCTGCATCGTGATCAGGCTACTCAACCTGTATTGACTTAAAATCAAAATTGACACAGAACTGATTTTTCACGCCTCTCCCTCCTGAGCCTACAAAACCACCCACGTTTGTACTTGCACTGAGGCTGATGGTTAGTACCACAGGCTACAGGTTGACACTCTTCATTTCTTGGTTCTGTGTTTCTTAGCAAGAGAAATACTGTCTGTGAATGTTCCCTGTTCACAGGCAGAGGTGTGCAACGTGGCAAAATTCATTTGGCAGTGCCTGAAGTATTTAGTTCTTCATAGCTTAGACAAATGTTAAAACAAAACCTGTTGGTTTTAGTGTTGCTCGCTGCTTATCGTTGAAGACCGAGAACTCCATCACGCGCCTGTAACCCTGGCTGATTTGTAACTGTCATTTCAGTGGCGTCAAAAAAACAACAGCAGGAACTCGCCGTGTTGACAGGCGTTCCCTGGGCAGCACCTACCCTCACCCCCACGCCTCCACAATCCTCAGGAGGGGGCGCAGAAACCCACTTTATCGTGGGGCTGTGGGCAGGCTGCACTGGGAGACCCCCCCACGCACCCCCCCGCCCCACTACCCGCTGCTGGTGCCCAGTAAAGAGCTGGGCAGGACCCAGTGCCGAGGTTCTGAGGGGGCAGGAGAGGTCCCAAGGCTTTGCTAAGGAATTCCCCTTCATAAATTGCTAGCCCTACGTGATCATTTATAGATATATATATATATATAAAATATTACGTGTTATATATGGGTAATGTATTTTTCTGTATGTATATCAGTAGCAGATTGTTGCTGCTAGAGTTGCAGTACAGCACTCTTGGCCTCGGACAATAGCCAGGGCGGTTTACAACACGCTGTGGGACACAAGCAGCAACTTTCTTGCCTGCATTAAGCAAAAAAAGCCCCTAAAAACAAACAAAAAAAAACCCACAAAAATACCCCCAAACAAACGGACATTTAGTTAGGTCCTCTCATGTCTAATTTACTTGAAGTTTTTAAACTGAGGTGGGAGGCAGGATTTGCGGTGGCGGGGCGCTTCCTACAGCCTCGGGAGGTTCCTGGAATTTGAGAGAAATTCGGCAACAAAATGTAAAAGCGCGGCCCTCGGATAGTTTAGGAAAGAAAACGAAAGCTTCCCATACCGGGAGTCGAACCCGGGCCGCCTGGGTGAAAACCAGGAATCCTAACCGCTAGACCATATGGGAGGCGCTGGATGGTGGTCCCTCCGCCCGCCCCATGGCTCTGCCGCCGCGCCCGCTCCCGCCTCCATAAAGCCCCTCCTGCCAGAAAGCGGCTGCCCGCACCTAAAATGGCCGGCGGCGCTTCACGCCCCGCCGCCCTTCCCTCCGCTGGGCGCCGCATCACATGACGGGAGGTGCCCGGGCGAAGGGGGCGGGGCCAGCGCTCACGTGACCGGCGGCGGCCGCCGAGCGCTGGGTCTCGTGAGCGGCGCCGGGGGTGGGGTGGGGGGGGTCCCGGGGCCGGAGTAGACCCCGGCGGGGCGGCGGGATCACGCCAGGCCGCGGCTTCGGGGCCTGCTCCGGAGCGGGGGGGTGCTCGGTCCCGCCGAGCTCCGGGGGTGCTGCCGAGCCGGCCCGGGAGGCGTCTGTCGCGGCTGGAGGTAGCGGGGGACGGGGGGTCGGTGCCGGGGCGGGGATGGGACGCGCCGCGGTCGTGAGGAGCTCGGTGCGGGCTCCGGAGCATCCCCGGGGCGGGGGGGGGGGGCAGCGGCCGCGCCGAGGCCGGCCCCGGCTGCGGGAGCAGGGTGGCGGCTGCGCGGGTGTCTCCCGCTGCCTCCCAGCGCTGGCCGCGCTCGTCCTGCTTGGGCCTGTCTCGGCCGTGTAATTACGGGGACGTTGCTCGCCCTGGGCGCGTTGGAGGGGGTTTTTTAAGCAGTCGGAGGCTTTTGCTAAAGTTTCCCCGTGCCGTATGCGGCAGGAGCTGTCAAAACCCTGGCGAGGTGGAGGTTGGGGAGGGGGGGGTTATGTCGGTGTGGGAGCGCTTCCCCTTTTGCACGGTACTTCTGTGGGTGGAAGCTGGATGCTGCAGGGGAGCGTGTAAACGAGGAAAGTAGAGCCGTGTGAGCAGACGGTCTTTTTCTCTGTAGGTGGGTGATGCCAAGCACAGCCATGAAGAAAAAGGTAAGAACCAAAAGGAGAATCCTTTGCAGTTGGGTTTCCCTCCCCATCTGCATTTGCTAACGTCATTATGTTTTCACCTCTGCCTCCGTGTGCTCTTTGCCTGTCAGGTACTCTCAGAGTCAGCAGACGCATCCTTTGCCTAAAGCGCTAGAAATTTAAAATCGGGTTTGAGCTTAAAATTTGGGAATTGGGTTCGCCTGTAAACTGGCCTAGGCTGCACCTTGGAGCCCTATTGAGTTTCTGCAGGTGCTTCTGCTGCAGGTGCGATGAAATAAGAGACGTTGGCTGGCTGTGCCTCTGCTCTGGGTGTAGCTCAGGGGAGAAGGCAGCGCAGCTTTCCGGGGGTTTGCCTCTCTGAGGAACAAAAGGAAAAAAAAAAAAAAAAAAAAAATCCTTGTTACCAAATCGTCGAGGCGTGCGCGGTCAGCTGCTTCTCGGCGAAGGGCGCTCGCCGGCCTGGGAGGTGGTGCAGTGGCTCGGGGAGGTGTAACTCCGGCGCACGGGATGCTGCGATTCCTCCCCTCCCGGTTTGCCCTCAAGATTCCGTCAGCGGCCGCAGAGCGAGGCTGGGAGGCGAGCGAGCCCCTTCCCAGCTGGCGGTTGGCACTGGTGCGGGCCGGCTGCGCTCTCGCTGAACCTAGCCCCGAAGATAGATTTTTCAGAGCTGTTGCCAAAGGCTGAGTTTGACTTTGTAACTGGAACTTGTTTAACAGCTGTTTTTTTTGCGAGTGAGTCTGTGTTGGCTGTCAGCGTTGGGGGGGGGGGAGTGTGAGTGTGTGTGTGTTTGTGTTAATTTTTATTTTTAGATCACAATGTGGAGCCTGGCCTTGTGTGACTGGCTCCCCTCTTCTCCCTGTAATCAGTTTTTGGCTACCAAAGGTGCTGCCTCTCCTCGGGCCTGGTGATCTGCAAACAGGGCTCTGGAGTCAAGTGTCTCCCCTGGTGCGCTGGAACTGGGCTGTCCCATCTGCTTTTAGCCTTTTGCCGGTCTCCTGACACCTGAAACTTGAAATGTAACTGCCGTTTCGCTGTTGTCAAGGAAGGGAAAACAAGTCACATTACGAGAAGGAAAAGAGTGTGATTAGGAGAGAAGTGATAGGTGGAGAATACCAGCGCTGGGTGGGCAAGGGATTGTTTCCAGCCTGGGCTTAAAGGCTTGACATAAAGCTGGGTTTTTGTCTTGGCAAGGTCCTTTGGTGTCATCAAACCCTGAGAGGGCGCGGGGCATAGCTTGAGAACCTGGATGAGATGGGAAGGTTTTCAGACCTGATCACAGTCCAGTGACCGTGGGTAGCGGGGAGGCGAGGACGCCTGCCTCCCGCTTTCCCCCGCGTGCTGCTCTCCCTGGCCTCTCTCTTCTGATGTATTCCCATCTGAAATACCTCAGTCCTGTGTTTCGGTGACTTCAGCAGCGAGGTGGTAACCCTGAGGGAGCTGTGAAAGACTTAGTGCTCTGTGGTAGCTAATTTTTTTTTTTTTTTTTTTGCTTCCCAGGTGCTGCTGATGGGTAAAAGTGGGTCTGGGAAGACCAGCATGAGGTCCATTATCTTTGCAAACTACATCGCCAGGGACACGCGGCGCCTGGGTGCCACAAGTAAGACTCCTCTTGTTCGAACCCCAAGTTCTCAGGGCTCAAACCCTCTTCATTAAAGGGGCGAGGCCGTTCCCTCCAGCAATCCCAGCCTCTCCTCCACTCTGGAGTAGGTGCTGATCCTCCCAGCTGCCACACCTCCCCGGGAGCTTCCCTCCTGACTTCAGAAAGGGAAGGTGAAGGCAGCACTGGATTCAGTTTTGCAGCTTTATTAGTGAATATTTAACTCTTTTTTTTTTTGTTGTTGTTTTGGGTTTTTTTTGTTTTTTGATCAGCAAGCTGCCTTTGCTGCAACTACACCTATTACCGGCGGAGTGTTCAGAGCCTCCTCGTGCTCCTCCTGGTTGGTGACACTTTCCTGTCGTTAGCCAGCAGTGATCTTGCCATCCACCCTTGGCTTTGGCAGGATGATACACCAGGCTTAATTAGTGTCGTGTGCCTTTTTTTTTTTTTTTTTTTTCCCACCCCTGAAAGCCACTGATCAGAAAAAGCAAAAAAGTGATTCCTCTGAAAGGGGTATGAATTGTCAGGCTCCAGCGCTCCTCTCTGGGAAGCACCTGGGGGGACTTAATCTCACAGATTGGTGTGCGTTTCCTCTTTACTGTAAATTTGGCCTGTTCATAAGATTTATATTCTTTGTGTTACCAATTTATTCTTTCAAGGCTTGTTTAAAGCCTTGCAGAGTATGCTGGAACTAATGTCATTCTTAAAATATAACAAAGATCGGAGAACATGTTGTTAAAGGGGAACCACCTGCTGTGCTTCTCAGGAGAATAGTGTCCTGGGTAGAGAGGAGGAGGGCTTGAGTTACTCTGGGAACTGTCTTTTTCCGTAGTGCCTTCAGCTACAGATTGACATTCAGCTGCAGATTGACATGCAGCAGTGTTGTTTAGGTGGGATTTCACAAACTGTGGGCTGTGTTGTGAAGAATGTCATTTTTGGCTGCCTGAGGAGGTAGCTCGGATCTGGGCGTGTGGTACAGTCGGTGAACTCCTGTTGTCTCTTTCCAGTTGATGTGGAGCACTCCCATGTTAGATTTTTAGGAAACCTGGTATTAAACCTCTGGGACTGCGGAGGGTAGGTACTGTTTATTCTTTTGCTTTTGAAACCGTTGCGGGGTTAGCTGTGGGGACTGAGGCCGGGGGGATGTAACAAAACAGAGATCCTCCTGCCCCGGAGGGACGAGTGTGCTGCTTGTGCACGAAGGGAATAGAAAAAGCTTCATGTGTGCGCTGAAGAACTGGTGAGACAGCTCTGGAAAGAACAGACGCCACATCTTAGGCTTGTGCTGGAGGTGGGTGGAAGAGGTTGGCACCATTACGCAGCCTCTCGAGTTTATCCCTACATAAAAGGCAGCGTGTATAGGTCCACCCTTCCCTTGCCACCTGCTTGCTTCTGCTGGCAAAAAAGCCTGAGCCCTTCAGCTGGACTCTCTCCGGGGGTGGTGGGAGGTGACTGTGCCTTCAGGATTGCTGAGGGCTGGCAGTGGCCCTGTGGCTCCTGGAAGCAGCTTTTCCAAGAGCCGCTCTCCCGCTGAGAGCGCCTCGGCAGAGCTGTCCAACTTTGCCAGGCTTCATCAGCTCTCCTGTCCTCGTGCATTGCCTGAGCCATGTTCAGCAAAAGCTAAAGGAGATTTAAATCCTGTCATAACAGGCTACGCTGATGCTTTGGGTTATATTTCAGCTTCTGCTGCTGTGGCTTTTTTTTATATGCAGCTCTCTAAAAGCCAGTCTGGGTCCAGAAGCAGCGTAGCGCTGTTTGCACAGCGGTCACTGAGCAGCCCAGCTGTGACACGAGGGAAGCTCCAGCTTCCCGCGAGGCTGGCGAGCAGATGCTCTTCAGGAGCATCCAGCTTTGCTTGGTTGGAATTTCTCGGGGAGCCTTAGGGGGTGGGGACCATCGCCACGCGTGGGGCTCTCGTCTAGACCCCTCTGATGGGGTCTCTGGCTCAAGGTGCCAACCTTGCCTTTCTAGTAGGGGGTGTTTCACACGTAGCACCTTTCCTGACGATGCCAAGCAAGACCTGGTTGCTCTAATGGGAGTCTCCTTGCTGTGTTGCTCTGCTCCTTCTCAGACAGGACACCTTTATGGAGAACTACTTCACCAGTCAGCGGGACAACATCTTCCGCAACGTCGAAGTCCTCATCTATGTCTTCGATGTAGAGAGCCGGGAACTGGAGAAGGACATGCACTACTACCAGTCATGCTTGGAGGCAATTCTTCAGAACTCTCCTGATGCAAAGATCTTCTGTCTAGTGCACAAGATGGACTTGGTGCAGGAGGATCAGCGGGATTTGGTGAGAAGCTGATAGCTGCCGTAGAAATGCTTTCAGATAGAGCATCTTCTGACTGTGCTAACGCGTTGTGGTATCATACTGCAAACACAGCCCCAGCAGCGCTGTTCCGAGAAGGCTTTCTCAGATGTTAAGAATTGTCAGAGCTGCCTTTTCTAAATTGTATGGCATCGCTCTCTCTTGCGTATCACCCCGAGGGAGAACAGAACTAGTGATTTTTAGTGACAACGACTCTAAGCCTTTTCTTTTGTAGCACTTGATTCTAGTACTTTCACCAGACCTTGGCTCCGGAAGGGAGGTAGAAAAAGAAATCCACAACCTTAAACTCGCTGCTCACCGTTTGGATGGCTCTGCAGATGATGGTGGTGACAGTGATGGTTGGTTTTTCTTTAGCAGTTGCTTTCAGTCCAGCACAGGCTCTGTTCTAAAGCATAACAAAAAAAAAAAAAAAAAAAAAAGAGTTGAAACTTTCCCAGTTAACCAGGAGGTGGTTTCTGCTCTCTGTCAGTTTGGCCTGCCTGCCCAGAGATCCATCACCTCTCAAGCACTCCTCTGCCCCAAGAGGCATCCTGCAAAGGCTGGGGATCAACCTTGCAGAGATGTTTTGGTGTTTTCTGTTCTTTTTTTTTTTTTTTGGCGCTTTTGAAAGGTTGCACGGAGATTGGAAGATGTCGAGTTCCTACCAGCCTTGCTTTTTCAGCGTGGACTGAAAAGCAACCAGCTCCTGATACCAAAATTAAAAATAGCTTTGTGGGTTAGACAAGCATGTCCCTGGCTGCTTGGGCACTCCCTGGCTTGCAGCAAGTTTGGAGGCCCCTTTAGGCTGTTGGCTTTTGTCTGAAGTAAGGTGTCTTATTAAACTTTCTTCTGATTCCTGGTGAGTATGTGCCTGGGCAGCCGCGAAGGAGCCAGGCAAGGTGCTGTGGCTGAAACCACGCCCTGACCTCGCTGCGTAGACAGACTTCTTCCACGTAGCAGGTTGGCTCCGGATCACTCGTGCTGCCTGAGAGCGGTGATCCTCCTCTCCCAGGTCTAATTCTGCCCTCCAGCTCAGTGCAGAAGCAGGTTGTTCGTAGGGTTGATCCAGGGAGCTTTTCCTCACTTCCATCTGCCTGCCCTCCGGACAGAAGGATGAGTCAAAAACCTTCTTGATGCTGTCCTGTCCGGGTTTGTTTTGGGACTAGTGGACTAGTGCTGGTTTTACGTAGTTGTGCAGACTCATGAGGGGTCGACAGAAGAGGGGCCATACTTCAGATATCCTTTCAATGTGTATCCTTGCACACCCATCGAGATGTGTTTTAAGGTGTCTGCTACTCAGCAGAACGTGCAAATGCTGGGCCAAATCACTCTCTGTAAATCTGACTGAAGCCTTCGGTGTCCCAGGACCCGCGTGGTCAGTGTTGGCCTGCGCAGCGTTTCATGGGGATCGGTTAGTGTCACGTTCCTGAAAACAGTAAGCTGAGGTGAAGGTGGTTGTGGTGTCTTCCCCCGCAGAGGCGCGTTGCTGGCTGTCCTGCTGCCTCTGTAGCGGTTCTGTAGGAGCCTGACACAAGGCTCTCTGGTTTTTGCTTCCTCTCCCTTCTCCCCTTTTTTTTGTAACCATACCTTCGAAGGGCAGAGTGTGCTGTGAGAAGAGAAGCCTGTGTAAGTTCCTGCCTCCGAGCTGCTCATACTGATGAACCTCAGGTGCTTTCTAGCTATCTTGTTCTCAGTGACGCAGCTTTCTGTCTGTGACCCGTCAAAATTTAGGTCCTCAGAGACGCTCGTGTGTGTCTGCTTCCATTCCCACTCCACAACACCCATCGTTATTTCAGCTTTGAGCCCCGGACATATCTGGTGAGAGACAGCCATGGTCTGCTTGTCCCTGCTGCTCCACTGGGAAGGGGTTTTTGCCAGCCTGTGCTGGCCCGCGTGCTCTGCTGCTGTCTTTTCTCTGGTGCTGTAGCTACGCAGGGTTTGTTTGAAGTGCCTGCTGTAAATGCAGTACAGCAACCACAGACAAAGGCAGAAATATTTACACTCAACTGCTAATCTTTTTTTTTTTTTTTTTTATTTCCCAGATTTTTAAAGAGCGCGAGGAAGACTTGAAGCGCCTTTCCCGGCCGTTGGAATGTGTTTGTTTTAGAACTTCCATCTGGGATGAAACACTTTACAAGGTTCGTGCAGCTTCCTCTCTGTATCTGGCTTCCCCTCCACCCCCCACTTGAAAACAAGAGCGTGAGGAAGGCGAGTGGTAGGTTGCTGCTGATTTATTAGCGACAGGCCCTTTTGAGTTCTGCAGCAACTGCTTCTGGCGGTTAGCTGTTGTAAACGGCATCTGAGCATCCTGGGCTTAATTAGAAAATGTAAAACCCCCTCCACACGTTGGATTCGTGGTGTCAGTATGTTAATACTGCTTAAACACTTCGCCCGACTGCTTTAGAAAGAGCTTCTGCATCTTTAAGTCACGTTTCTCCAGCATGGAATAGTTTCCTGTGTTTCTCGGCAGCGCTGTTAAAACACCAGCATTTACCCTTCGGGGAATTTGCTTTGCTTTCAGGAGTGGGGGAGGTTTTTTTGCTCTCGGTCTTTGACTGCAGTGTCGGAGATCTTCCAGGTGTGGGAGTGGTGAGTGCTACCAGGGCTACCCGGAGAGCAAACGATAGTTCTGATGGCCAGGTAATGCTAGGAAGCAGTGGTGGTAGCGTGGTGCCTGGGCTTCTTGTCTGAAGGCGAGGACCGTTTGGCTCTTTCTGTTGACTTTCAGTGACACTTGGGATGGCTTTTAACTTTTGTGTTTGGCAAGCGAGAGGGAAGGAGTGTTTGGTGAAGAGGAGACACAACTACCCACCCCGACTCCTGCGGCGGGAGGCGTGTGGTCCGCCACTGGCGCAAACCTGGGTCGGTAGCTTGGCGGTGAGGTGAAGCTGAGCTTGGAGGACCGGAGTCTGAACGAGGACAGATGCCTCTTACAGCATCCCCAGTCCCTCCTGGGCTTCTGCCCGACTCACTGGGCGGGAGCAGAGCTTTTTGTTTGGATCAGTGACGAGCTGCCAAGTATCCATCTGCATGTTGGCCTTGCTGAAGATTAAAAAGCCTGAAAACTTAGGCGGATTTATCTGAGAGCAGTCGATAGAATCATCACCGGCTTAATATTAGGATGATTTAAGCCTATTCAATAGTATTCTAGTTTCTCAGTGACTGATGTGGGGAACTCGGCCTGGTGAAGAGTTTACTCAGGTCTGGGGTACCACTGGTGGTCTCCACTGTAGTAGAGATACCTGGACAGGGAGGTGGGAGAAGCTTCTCGGTCTTGCCTAGGCTATCAGCACCCAGAAATGCAAATAATCAGGTTTGGGGCACATTGCATAACAAGAGGATGAGGCAGGAAAGTGCTAATGCAGCCCTTGTGTTGTGTTTTTCTCTGCTGACAGGCTTGGTCCAGTATAGTCTATCAGCTGATCCCCAACGTCCAGCAGCTGGAAATGAACCTGAGGAACTTTGCTCAGATCATCGAGGCAGATGAAGTGCTTCTGTTTGAGAGAGCCACTTTCCTGGTGAATACAGCAGCTCTGCCCTTCGGGTTCCTCTGCCCAGCCTAGGACGGAGTTCCCTGGATGGAAAGTGCTGTCGTGGCGGTAGCCCAAAGAGAGGTGCCGGTGTCAGATGGCAGAATGCGTTGATCCAGGCCTTGTGATGTTGAAAGTAGCTGACGTGACTCGGTGGCTCACGGGACCTTCCCAAAATTTCCACTTCTAGCAGCTGAGCTGAGGGCTTGATCGGTATTTCCCTCTTCCAAGCTATGAGAGAGTTTCATATCCACATTCTGTTGTCAGCTGTGGGACTCTTATTGAGAATTCCTTTCTGCCCAGGGCAAGAACCTTCTTTAGCTTGAAATACGCCTTTTCGGTTCCCCCTGGCCTGGCATTTTAACTGCTCTTGACTTCTTTTTATTTATTTTATTTTGTCTGATGCTCTCCAAACCCAGAGTGTGGATAGAGGATCACAAGCAATTGGCCCGCAGTGGCTTTCGGAGGTACCGGTTGCACGGTAACTGCTTCCAACCTGTTGTCTCTGCGAGGTGAAATGTGTTGGTTAAAACCACCCTTGCTGCTTGTCCGTCCATACTCTCGGTTTCTGGATTGGTCTCATCAGACTTTGCACGAAGAGCTCTTGCTGACCCAGAGGAATGGTTTTGAATTTTTTGGGAGTGTTTTCCTTGATGGCCAAATGTCCGATTTTGAAATGATGGAGGGAATGTGGAAAAGGAGCCGTTACTTTTCTCACTTGTTAAACTATCAGAAGTAAGCACCTGCTGTTTCGGGCAAGTTCTGCTTTTTGACCTTTCGCAGATAATAAATAGTTCCACCTTGGTGGTATGTAACAGAACTTTTGTTGTAAGTACATTTTTTACAGAAAAAGAATAATCTCTGCTATAAAAATTCTATGCTTGTTTCCAGTGTAATGGTGACTTTTAAAAAGACTTTCTTCTCACTTTTTTTCATATATTTGAACTCCCCCCAGGACTCAAAGGAAAATTTACTCTGAAATTGTATTCAAATCGCAGTAACAGAAAAACCTATCTGGAAAGTTAAGGCACGAACTTGCATACAATGAAGGCTTTGGTATGAATGCAGTCCCTGAATCTGGCTAAACCTGTACCTGTATGAATAATTGGGCAGGTTTAAAAAGTAGGAAATACATGGTTGTTTTAAGGTGCTCAAGGAAAAAAAAAAACCAAACCAAAACAAACAACAAAAAACCCAAACAACAACAAAACCAGCTTTGCTCTCACAAGCCTGTTAAATGTGACTCCATAGGTCGAAAAGGAAGAGTTTTACATCTTTGCACACGGGTGTCTGGCATTTCCAGTAGCAGTTGCTTTCATGATTCTTAAGAGCTTAAAGCACGCAGCGTAAGGTTTTTAAAATACTCCTTTTTGGTTTGCTGTGGGAACAAAGATGGTGTAACTGTTTGATTGGGTGCCATTCCCCTTACTCAGTAAACGCAGTTCTCTGCCCGTTAGCTAATTTGGCTGAGGAGTAAAGGTCTGTAGGCTACCAGCCTTGGGAAGATGGTCGGGGAGAGATGTGCATCACGCTGCAAGGATTCCAGGAAACTTTTGATCCTCTGAATCTTTGCAGCCAGGCACTGAAGTCTGCGTGTTGCTGCTGGATCGCTACGTGGGAGGGAGAGGAGGGGAACCGATCAGAACGCAGGCAGCTTAGCACAGTCTTGGTCTGACTCAGTGAACTGATGGAGAGAGAGAACTCCCTAGGAAACCAGCTGCCTTTGTTCTGCTTTTCTGCGGGAGGAACAGCTTGCTGTGGCTTTGAGAGCAGTGCTTGTGCATCCTACCTGTTGCAGAATGGGAAATTTCTCAGGTTCAGTCCTTGAGAATCTGCAGCACGATAGACTTAGGAAGGAGCAGCTATTCCAGCATTTGTCAAGTGTGCTTCCCCTACCTGAGGTGATGGTCTTGCATTTTTTTTTCCTCTCCTTGCACTTTCTTTGAATCCAGATTTAAATTGCTGCCAAGTTGGGAGTTTTCAGACCTCAGATGGACAATAGTGTCTCTTGCATATCTTACATACTGGCATCTGTGCTTGTGAAAGGCTTCCTGGCGACTGTATTACGGAGTCTTGTTTTACCATGAAAGCACCACAAGAATTGTTGCAAATAGTTTCCAAGATTCAGTCAGCAGAAGGCAAAGGGAGTCCCTGTCCAGGGCACCGCTTGTTTCCCATAATTGCTGTCAAGCCTGAGAAACCTGTGCTGAAATAAATTACTAACTCTGCGCACTCTCTCTCTCTTTCTGCCTTCCAGGTCATTTCTCACTATCAGTGCAAAGAACAGCGGGATGTCCACAGATTTGAGAAAATCAGCAACATTATTAAACAGTTCAAGCTAAGTTGCAGGTGAGCTGGTTTAATCATCAGGTGGGGAAGATACCTCAGCAAGTGTTCCAGCTTCATCCAGAAGCACGGAGGCTCTTTGCATTAATACTAGCTCTGGGACTCCTCAGCAAGCTGAGATGCCATAGCTAAATTGCTCATGTTTAAACACAACCAAGTTAATTGTTGCCTTTTGTAACTTCCTCCTTTGCTGATGGTTGAAAGAGGTTTGTTTTGAAACAACCGTTTTTCTTCTAGGCCTCATTTTCCTGGGCAAGGTAGGGAAGTTCCAGGACTGGACTGATAAATTGGTGACAGTCAACAGTGCTGTGCAAAGTCGGGTGGAGAGCTTTGCTTCAGACCCTGGCCCACACTGCTGGTTTGGGAGGCAGAGGCTCGCAGACCCTATTTATCAATATTTCGCGTGGAAAAGTGGAAAGCTGGCTTTGGAGTAGCTTGGCTTTTGAACAGCCTCCAGCTTCCCCAGTTTGGTGGTAATATCTGCAAGCGTTTGGAGCCTGGATGGGATGGAGAAGTGGCTGTGTGGTTTACAAAGCTGGCTCCGGATATTTCCGCTGTATACTTCTTTCTGCTGGTTATCCACAGCGCGCTCGGCTGTCCCCATCAGTGGGACAAGTGCCACTGGCTGCCTGGGCAGAGCAGCCTCCCCGGGGTTGGAGATCTTGAGTTACCTTCACCACTCAATGTGCTTTTATTTATAAACACTTTATATTCTCATTTAGCCTAAAGCTAATGAGTTTTTTCTTGGGAAAAAAAAAAAAAAAAAAGCCAAACCCCAGAGAAAACCAAACTGGTAGTCGCACCTGGTGTTGCTTGCCAAGTGGGGACTCAGACACTTGTTACCAACAACTCAAGTAGTGGGATGTTGGCGCAAAAGCTGTTTGAGCTGTTACAGTAATAGTTCATTTACACTTTTTTTTTTTTTTTTTCTTTCTCTTTTCTCTCCCCTCTTAGTAAGCTGGCAGCTTCTTTCCAGAGCATGGAGGTCAGGAACTCTAACTTTGCTGCTTTCATTGACATCTTTACATCAAATACATACGTGATGGTGGTTATGTCAGACCCTTCGATACGTAAGTCAGAGCAAAGATAAACCTCCGGCCTGCTGTCTTGTTTGCAGGGACAAAAAGCCAAACGAGTCTCGTTTGTGTTCCTCTCAGAAAATGACAAACACCAGGCAAAGCAGTAAAACTGATTGTAATTAAAAGATGGAGAGGGATCTGCCATCCTGGTGGCTTGCCCTGTCTGAGCAGAGCGTGGGGGAAGGTGGTTGAGAAGCCACGGGCCTTGCAGAAGGCGGGAGGCGTGTGCCTTTGACAGCTGAGCTATTTGTTGCCGTCGAGCGGAGGAGCGCAGCAGCGGTGGGGAACCACTATAGCAGATGTGACCTGATTTAGTAGGTCATGTCTAATAACCTATTTTGGGCTGTTCTGATCTGGCAGCCCCAGTGATTTTTTTTTTTTTTTTTTTTTTTTTTTTTTGGAGAGGAAGCAGAGATGGGTCATACTTGAGTTTTCGCTCTTGCTGCCTGAATGTCTTGGTGGGCAAAGGCTCTAATTATAGTAGCGTCTATTTAGCTTGAAGAAGAAACTGCAACCAGCAGTGCCAGCCCTCACAGGCGCGGTGTGACTATTTAACTGTTTGCACAACTCCCAACTGAAACTGCTGCTGGTAGAGTTTGAGGTGCTTAAGAGACACTATCCAGGACAGCCTCGTGGCTTGCAGCGTTGATGCTTCCTGCCCTCTTTTCGACTGGGTCCCTGAATTAGGGGAAACCTGTGTGAAGCCCGTGACTGAGTTACCAGCTGTGCTGATACTGTGCCCCAGGAGCAGCTTGGGGTGACTCGGGCGGCTGTGCCTGTGAGCCAACTGCTTGACTGTATTTCCCTCAGACTCTTCCTCGGTGTTGCACTGGGATCAGCAAACAGCCCAAACCTTCTGGCGTTAACTTTTCACAGCATGGGAGAGGTGGGGTTGAAATAAGAGAGCTTGCTGACAGGGACGTTGGTTTTAGGCAGCACTTAGCTTCTGAGGACTTGTTTACTTGCATCCCTGACAACTTTTTTTTTATCTTCCCTGTCCCTTTTCCGTCCTAGCTTCTGCGGCTACGCTGATCAACATCCGCAATGCCAGAAAACACTTTGAGAAGCTGGAGAGAGTGGATGGACCAAAGCACAGCCTGCTCATGCGCTGAACGTTGGCCAAGGCACATGGTCTTTGGGGGGAGAAAAAATGAATTGGAACTACTTATTTTTAGGAGAATCTAACAATGTTGATGTCTTTGTTGGGCTTTGAAATGAGTGTGCTGCTTTATTTTTTCTCCTTTTAACGTTGGACACTAGTCACTCGGAGGATGTCTGGATACACTGAGGACCTTCAAAAGAGACTTCCCTGGCGTGTGTGGGGTTGGGAAGAAGTAAGGACGGGTGATGTGCACGTGGTGTCATGCTCCTGGTTGTCATAGTGGCACATGGCAGAGCTGGTTTGGATGTTTTGCTCCCGGGCGATCACATAAGTCACAGGAATGGAATATTTACTGTTTTATTGGTTGGTTGCTAGAATATGTTTATAAATTTCTCCTTGTCTTCAGTCATGAAAATAAATTTTTGCTACCAGGGATTTCAGATCCTAGAGCTTTGGAAAGTGGGTTTTCTTTCTTCTGAAGCCTAGGGCAGCTTTGGCAAACAGATGTCTAATAGTTTCTCCTTTCACGTTATGGGGGGGGGCATTGACTGAAGGCCATTCTAGAATTTCATTTAAGATCATTTTTTTCCCCCCCCCCCCACCACGTGGAGGCAAAATTCCCTCGGCAGGTGAAGCAGTCAGGCTGGCGGTGGCCTCTTCACGCTTGCCAAAGCGATGGAAAGACCACGGGAGATAAAAGGGGCCAAAGATCCTCGTTGACCAAGCAGTGAGCTAGTCCTGGCGCGCCTGGTCTGCATCCTGGTGAGCCAGGAGGGGCTGGCGCGGGCGCGGAGGAGCCCTGGGACGTGTTGGGGGGGTGTGCATGAACTACACAAGCTGGGTGTGCGACGAGCCGCTCGGGCAGCGCGTGCCACCAATGTTGCTTGACCTTATTGTCTATTTTTTAATGATTTTTTTGGTGTGCATTTCCATTAAACGCAGGAACAACACGAAGCGCTGTGAGTTAGGGGAGTCTCTGGCTTGCTGGGTGGGAGCTGATGCTTGTCAGCATCTATTTTTTTTTTTTTTTTTTTTCCCCTTTTTCTCTCTTGCTCCATCAAATGACTATATAAAAAAGGGTGTGGTGACTCTGAGCCTGGCTCTCTGCTTTGTATTCTCAAAACCGTGCTTTCCCCCTGCATCCCTGCCCACGCACGCGCTGGGCAGGGGGGGAAAATCCACCAGAGTGGAGTCTGTTATGTGAGAAGGGGGAACTAAAGGGGGCACAGCCCGGCTGGAGAGCCGAGGACGAGCTCCCCACCCAACCTTCTTCCATCGAGTCGCAATCTTTACGGTATTAAACACCCGTGTCTTGCACCACCCACCCAGCAGATGCGTTGGTGCTGTCAGGCCAGGTGTGTTTTCAGCGAGGATTCAGCACCCCAGCGGGAGAGGATCTTACCGAGGTGCCTGTTAATAATTGGGGTGCTGGAGTTTCTGGAGAACTTGGGAACGGGCTTGGAGATGCAGCGGAGGGTTCCCGTTTGCCTTCGGTGCTTGCAGGTGTGGAAAACGGTGTCAAGCCTGGAGTGGGACCAGCGAATCTCCGACGTCAGGCTGGAGCAAGCTGAAACACAACTCGCGGGTGCTGCCCCACTGCCTGGACACGGTCGGTCTCTGCCTCTGCTCCGGGCGGTGGAGAAACTTCGCGGCTTTCTGCACCCAAACCTGCCCTCAGCGCCGCAGAGCCGGGGGAGAGGAATCGTCGCCGCCGAGCCCGTAGGTTGTGGGAGCCTTGGGAACGGCGGCGCCGAGAGTTTTCCCAGGAAGGGCTCCGCTCGTCGGGAGGCGGGTGGCTGTCACGGCTTGGGGAGAGCAGGAGGTGGCTTCAGGGCCACGATTCCAGCGCGGAGCGAAGCACCTTCTGCCGAGAGAACATTTTGCTGGCAGGATGCTGGAGACGGAGGAAAGGGCGGTGGGAAACGCTGCCTTATTTCCATGGCTACAAGATACCGCTGTTGGGTTTCCTTAGGGGATAAACTTCAGCACGGGGGAGCGGGATAATGCGAAGGCGGGGAAATGCGGGGTGAGGAAGCAGGGACCAGACCACTGTGAAGGCACCCTGCCTTGGCGAGGCCTCTCCGGGGGCCAGCGCTGTGGTGGTAGCTAAACTTCTGTTGTTCTCTCTTACCGCAAGTCTATTTTCCTAAAATTCATGTATATGGGGGGGCTCTTGATTTCAGCATTTTCCTTCTGCTCTCTGGCAGAGATGCTGCTGGCGCCGCTTGGCGCTGCCAAGCAGCCACCTGCAGCGTGGATGATAATACGCGGATGGCTTTATTTCAAGACACCTGCCTTTTTTTTCCGACAGTAGGGTGGTGGATTTTGTTTGTCTCTCGCCCAGAAGCAAACCTGGGGCCTTTTTTTGGAGCCCGGGGTGGGTCGCTGCCAGCAGCTGGGTCCTTCCACCGTCCAACCACGCTCCCCTGGCATCGCCGAGCAGCAAGGTGTGGTGAACCAGGCTCTACACCCTCGGGAAAACTCTTCCTCCTTATTCTAACAGCTGTTGCTAGCAAATAATAAAAAAAAATAGTCGTGCTTTGCTGTGTATATCTTAGTCCTGTGCTTTTCTGCTCAGAGGGGTTCTAACCCTTTCCTTCCTCCTACCAGCATCGTTCCGAGCACGGATGACTCGAGCAGAGTTGGCTTGAGGGTGAAGAAGGGGCTGTTACCGCTGTGTTTAGATCAACCAGACTCTCGGAGCTACTCCCCTTCCTTTCTCCTCCTTAGCAGCGGTGTCGAAGGGGCTGGGTGGGATGGACACAGGTCCGTGGTGCCCATCAGCTGCCACGTACTGCTCTCCAGCTGGGAGCGAGCTCCTCCAACCCAGCCCGTGGGTGACGTGGATTCTGCTCAACTGGGGCTTGCAGATACCTCAACGCGCAGCATCTGCCTCATCCTGGAGCACTGAAGATCTTGCGTCTAAGTCCTGTACAGCCTCTGACCTTCTGGGGAATAGCTTGTGGCCAGATGGGGGATATTCCCCCCTGCTACGCGAGGTGGGGAAAGCGTAATTTTGGGTGGCCAGGATCGTGTGGTGCTGCACTTCAAATGGTTGAGGCTCGGCGTAGAATTACCGTCGCCGTGTCCATCGTCCTGCTCCAGGTAGCCAGCTCAGGGCCCGGCCTGGCTGCAACATCCCCAAGGAGAAGCACCCTGTTCCAATGGGTGATCGCCCTCATGGTTTTAAAATTAATGATAAAAATCCATCTGTTGGAGCTTCCCATGTTGCCTCCTGTCCTGTTACCCCCCATCTCCCAGAGGAGCCTGGCACCCTCCTCCAAGCACTCGCAGGCAGCGGTAAGAGGTTCTTGGCCTCTCCTTGAACCTCCCAGACCCACTCCAGTACCTCCATCCCCCCTTTTCTTGCACTGGTGAGCCCCAAATTAGACCCAGTGTCCAGCTGCGGTCTCAAAAGCGCCGCAAAGAGAGAAGAGGGGGTCGCTTCCTCCATAACCAGTGACCGTTGGGACTTCCTGAAGCTCATCACAACACGTTGAATCCGATAGTTCCTTCAGTTTTCCGAGCTGGGGTCCATTTTTCCCATACGTCTCTGAAGAAGACCACGTCAATGTTTGGGGTTGCTCGCGTGTTCTCCTGAAGAAAAGCGACGGGGAAGGTGAGATCCCTGGGAGGGTGCAGGTGAGTCCACCCGGGCCCGCGGCTGGGCCGGAGGGACCCTGCTCCCTCGTAAATGGCCGATGGCAGAGGATCAGGCTTTTGGGGGGGGGGGTTCCCTGTCAAAATCCCGGGGGGTTTCACTTTGTGGGATCGGCGACGGCATCTGCGGTTAACCCTGAAAAGCGGAGGCGGGAAGCTCCTGCCCTCGGTTTGCTGAGGAAATGGCGGAGGGCTCTGGCCTTACTCAACATGGCGCCCCTCGCCTCAGGGCGGGGTGGGCGACCAGCAAAACACACTCCTTTGGGGGGGGGCACTCAGATTTTTATGTTTTTTTTTTTTTTTTTGCTTGCTTGTTTGTTTTTTTTTTTGTTTGTTTGTTTTTTGGTTTTTTTTGGTCTGCTCCCAGGGTGGGCAAGAACGAGATGGGCAACTTCTGGCGCCGAGCAGAAGGCTCCGGCTTTTTTCAAGGCAGAAAAATGATTTTGGCTCCAAGGTCTTTCCTCTCTGATGGAGAAAAGGGCGAGCCAGAGCCCCGCGTCCCCGCTGCTTTTTTATTCCAAAAAATTGGGGTCCTCCCCTCCCCGTTTATTTATCGGCTGGATCCCAGCCTGCCCACCCCCAGTTCCAGCCTTGGGGGGGCAAGACACACACACACCCCCCCCCCAGAACCAACACTACCCCCCATCCCCAGGCTCCTCATCCCAACCCTCCTGCCCAAAGTCACCCCAAAGTACCTGTCCCCCCCAAAACTGCACCCCACTCTGTTTTCCCATGAAGAGGCCTTTTTCCTCCCTTTCTTTTCTTTTTTTTTTTTTTGGGGGGGGGGTTACCTGCATTTAAGGCTTCACCCCAGCCCTGTATTTTCTAGGGGAAGGGAAATTGCTTTTTTTTTTTTTTTTTTTTTTTCAAAAAATAAAAGGGTAGGTTGGGTCCCACCCCCTGTTGAGCCGCAGCAGCTGAGAGTGGGGTGTCACTGGGGGGGGTGTCCCCTTGTTGGGGGCCCCCCCCCCCAGCCTTGAGCACCGGCAGCTTGTCCTGGCTGGCCAAGGTCACGGCCCTCCCGGGGCACCCGTGGGTGGTTTTGGGGGGTGCTCCATGCCGCTACGGGGTGGGAGGGGGGGATGTGGGGGTGCAGGGGGGGATGCTGCCCCCCCCCCGGTCCTGTCACGTGTGAGTGGGGAGACATGGCCCCCCCCCCAAAATGGAGGGGGGGTGTGTGTGTGCGCGCTCTGCCCCTGCTCACCGCCCAGCCATCGCTGACATGAGTTCACCAGGTCTCAGCCCCTCTTTCACCTTGCCTCTCCTCCCCACCCACCCACCGACACGATGGGGGGGGGGGGGGAGGGGGCTGCGTGGGGTGGGGTTTGGGGGGGGTGGGATGGGAGCAGGTGGGGGGCCCCCCCCCCTTCCCCAAAGCCTGCATCTGTTTCCACGGCAACGCCGGATGCGAGGGGAGCCGCCCATTGGCTGCTGATGATGTCACCGCAGGGCGGGGCACCCCTTTTTTTTTTTTTTTTGGGGGGGGGGGGGAGTGGGTGGGAGTGCCCCCACCCAAAAATGGGTGGGGGAGGGGGAGCTCCGCCCAACGCGGCCCCGCCCCTCCCCGCCCGTGGGGCCCCACCCGCCCCACCCGGCCCCGCCCCGGGGGCAGCGGCGGCGGCGGCGGCGGGGATGCGCTCGGAGGAGGCGCGGGGGAAAGTGAGTGGGGGCCTCGACCGGGGCGAACCGGCGTGGGGAGAGCCGTCTTGCGTGGGTTCTTAAAGGGGCAGCGCCCGCGGGTGGGAACGGACCTGTTGGGAGGAGGGAGGGGGGGGGTGCGGGGGGGTATTTTGGCAGCAGAAGGCCCGGCGAAGGGGAGGGGGGGGGGGGGTGGAGGGAACCGCCCCCCCCACCCCACCCCCCCCGCCCTTCCCTCCCCCCGCCGGGTCTCGCGTGGGCCCCCCCCCCCCCCCCCGCCGTGGCCGCTTCCGGGGCGGGCGCTGCCGCGCGCTTGGGAGGTCACGGCGGGGGGGGGGGTGGGGGGAAGAAAGGGGGGGGCGAGGGGCGACGTCGCGGCGCGTGCCCCGCCCTCCCCTCCCCCCTCCTCCCACGCCCTTTGCTCTTAAAGGGCCCGACCCTCCTCGTGCGTGTCGTGTATGTGTGTGTCGTCCCCCCCCCCCCGGGGCGAGGCGGCAGGGGAGGGGGTGGGGGGGGGGTCCCCGGCAGCAGGACTCGCTGCCCTTCCCCCACGCGCTACGAAAAGATGGTAACGAGGGGGGGACGACACACACGCTGCTGCGTGACACCCCCCCCCACCCGTCTCCCCATCGCTGCGGGGGGGGCTGCCCGCAGCCTGCCCGAGCAGGCTCGCAGTTTCCCCCCCCCCCCTTCCTCAGGGACACACACACACGAACTTGGCTTTGGGGGAGCCGCCCCGCACCCCCAAAATGTCTGGCGAGGGGGTGGCCCACGGACGGGGCGGGGGAGATCGTGCCGTGGGCTCGGGCAGTGCTGTTTTTAAGGGGGGGGGGGGGTGGTGCTCGTCCCCAATTCCATCCATCGCCCCCCCCCCCCCCCCCCCCAGCTGTGGGAAGCGGGGCTGAGCCCACCCCCAAGGGGTCTATGTGTGTGTGGGGGTGGATGATTCCCCCACCCGTGCTCGGTCCCCACGAGGACCACCCCCTCACTCCTCCCCCCCCCCCCCACTCAGCATCCCGGGCGGCCGCTGCCAGAGGGTGGAGCGGGGAGGAAATTCCTCGGGGAGGTGTGACGGCGGCAGGGTGTGCCCACCCCCCCCCGCCCACGGGTGGGGGGGGACACGGACACCGCGGGGGGGTGGACGGACACACGCAGGACCCCACAGGGACCGGGCGGGGGGGGGGACGGAAGGCAGCTGCCTGCATTTTCCCACGCCTGCCCCCCCACCCCCACCCCCCAAGGTCACCCCATGGTTTGGGGGCACCCCACATCCTGAGCTATTTTAGGGCAAAAAAAGGGGGGTGTCGCTATTTATTCCGGGTGGGGTGGGTAAAATAAGGGGTGTAGGGAGGGGGGCCCCCGATATAGGGTGTAGTGGGGGGACTGGTGGGTCCTCTCAGCGCCCCCCCCGCCCCTCCGCCTGGGTGGGTTTTGGGTGTAGCTGGGCTGAGGACAGAGGAATTCAGCTCACTGATGGTAGCCCCGTGGGGTGCGGGGGGGCAGCGAGGCTGGATTTGGGAGGGGGGGGTGTTAGTGAAGCCCCCTGCCCACCTCGCTGCCACATTCCTCCCTCCCCCCCCAGCCCCGCGGGGCTTTGGGGTGCAAGTCCCCCCCCCCCCCAAGTTTGGGCTGGGAAGGTTCCCCAGGGGAAAGGGTCGCCCCTTTGGGGGCCCCCCCCCCCAAAATGGAGCGTGGTTTTGGGGACCCTTGGGGGGGCTCCTGGGGGGGGGCGGGAGCATTGCTGGGGTTGGGGGTCCCCAGGAGAGAGGGGGGCGGTTGTGTGGCCGTTTGTGGGGGTGTCCCCCGTGGGGGGGGGGAACCTGAGAGCGGGGGGGGCTGTTTTGGGGAGTCCCGGTGATAGGGGGGGGGTGTCTTTGGGGGGGGGGTGTCTCTGGTGAGCGTGGGGGTGCTTGGGGGGTTCCTGGCTGTGAGTGGGGGTGATTGGCAGGGTCCCTACTTGTGTGTGTGTGGGTGGGGGTGTTTTGGGGGTACCGGTGATTTGGGGGAGGGGGTGGGTGTGTTTTGGGGGTCCCTGGCTTTGTGTGTGTGTGTTGGGGGGTGTTTTGGGTGGGTGGGGGTGGCCTGGCTCTGTGTGTGTGTGCGGAGGGTGGGTGTGTGCGCTGGGTGTGCCCCGGGGAGGGGCCGCGCGGGTGTCTGTGTGTGTGAGTGTGCGTGGGGGGGCTCCGTGTGCCCGTCTCGGGGGGTGGGGGGGGCGGGAAACGTCTCTGCTTTGCAGGCAGGTACGTGCTGGGGGTGTGGGGGGGTCCCCGGCGGCGGGGAGGGGGGTGGATATCACTGTTGGGGTGATGAAGTCCTGCTTTGGGCTGAGGGGGGTGTCCCCCGTGGCGTCTGCGTGCACCCCCACGCGTGCCCACGGAGGGACCCCCAGCAAGGAGGGGTGGAGGGGGGGTGGGGTGTGGTACTGGGGGTTCCGCGCGTGGTGGGGTTCTGAAGGGGAGGGGGTGGGGGGGATGATTGTCACGGGTGCGGCCCGGCCCCACGGCCCCTCCCTGCCGCGGCCGGGCCCTTTTAAGGAGCCCCACCCCGGGTCGAGCCAGGGTGGAGCCGCGGGGCCGCGTTCACACCTCTCGCCCGGCCCGGTGAAGCGCGGCGGGGAGCATGATCCTGCCCGCGGAGGGGATGAGCGCCGCGCACCCGCGGAGGAGCCCCCCCCGCGCCGCTTGGCCGGTGAGTGACCACGCACCCCGCCGCCGCTTAGCGCCGTTACCGGAGTGGGGGGGGGGGGGTGTGTTCGCGGCGCAGCGGCGGCGCGGCCCCTTTAAGACGCGGGGGAAGGGAGCGTGGCGGGGCCCGCCACCGCCCCGCGCTGGCCACGCCCACTCCCGCCCGGCCCTGAGGGAGGCGGGAGGGGGCGGGGCCGGGCAGCGGCACAAAGGGGGGCGCGCGCGCGCGCGCGCGCGGCGGCGGTGGGGGGGGGGAGTGGGCGGGGCTTCTCCTTCCCGCCTTCGGCTCGCGCCGCTGCCGTCGTGAGGGAACTTGGGGGGGCGCGGCCGCCATTTGCTGTTCGGGGTGGGGGGTGTCGGGTGTCTCGGGGTGTCCCCCCCTCACCCAACCGCGCCCTCAGGGCTCACCCTGCGGCAGCGATGGGGCCCTGTGCCTTAGTTTCCCCCTGTCCCCTCCCACCCTCACGGGCCGCGGGTCTCTTGCAGGGCCAGGGGAAGGCGACACCTGCCATGAGCTCGTCGGCGCTGCTGGCTGAGGGCCCCCTCGACCCGCCGGTGCTGCTGGCCGACATCAAGACGGAGCCCCCCGAGGAGCTGCTGGCCAGCGACTGCGGCCAGCCCCAGGCCGAACCCGTCGATCTCTCCCTCAACAAGTCCAAGGTGGCAGCGACGGCCTCGGCCCCCCCGCCACCACCGCTGCCGCCCCCCACCACCTCAGTCCAGTCCTCCCCCTTGCTGGTGGCTCCCCCTCTTCCCGCTCCCACCACCGTCTCCATCTCGCCCTCCGGCCTCAGCTCCACCTCGGCCATCCCGGCTGTCCTCTCGCCCGGCTCCATCCTGGCCTCCACGCAGGGCAGCAGCGGGCAGCAGATCCTCCATGTCATCCACACCATCCCCTCCGTCAACCTGCCCAGCAAGATGGGCAACCTCCAGACCATCCCTGTGGTGGTCCAGTCCCTCCCAGTCGTCTACACCACCATGCCCACCGACGGGGTCACCGCCATCACCGTACCCCTCATTGGGGGGGACGGCAAGAATGCTGGCTCCGGTAAGGACGTGTAGGGGGGAAACCCTGACATTTTTTAGGGGTGCTGGGGGAGTGTCCCATCTTGTGGAGCAGCACCCTTGAAGGGGTTCTGATTCTTTTCCACCCTGGGTTGTCCCCCAACTCATCATCTGCCACCTTTACACAAAGCCCCCCCCCCCTCTGCTCCCCAAGTGGACATGGGGAGGCCAGGGGACACACGGGGTGTGACGCTGCCTGCCTGCCACCCATCCCGCTGCTGGCAGCCTGCCTGCCCTTCCCGTGGGCAGCTCTGGTTTCAGTTCAGCTGCCCGTCCCGTGCTCCCCGCCAGTCCCTTTCCACAGGACATTCCCTGCTTCCCACCTTATCTGGGGTGGGGGGCATCACCCCTCCTCTGGGCAGACAGCTGAAAGGGACACCCCCCCACCCACAAGTCATGCCCCCCTGTATCTCTGCGCCCCAGGGCACAGGGGGCTTCTGCATCTCCCCACCTTGATTTTATTTTTTTTTTGGGTGGGGAACAGCGGGAGCAGGGGGAGGGTTGTCCGTCTGGTGCAGGGATGGGGTGTTTTTAGGGGGGTGGGGGGCTGCCTCTGTTTTCTGCTCACAAGCCTCACCCCCCGCCTCCCTCCTTGTTTCTCAATAGCTTTTCTTTCCCGCCCCCCACCAGTGAAAATTGACCCGGGCTCCATGTACCCCATGGACATGAACAGCGACAGTGAGGACAGCGCCTCTGAAAGCGGCCCGGCCCCTTTCCAGGACCTCCAGAGAGAGTGAGTCTCCTCGTACGTGCGTCCCCCTCCTCGTGTGTCCCCCCCGCCTTGCCTGTGTCCCTGGGCACCCCGTGGGGGTCTGTGGGTACGGGGACCGTGCCCTCCTCCATCCTTCCCTCCTCCCGGCAGGCCGGCGGCGCGGGGGCAGCGAGCCGATTCCCCCGACCTGAAGAAGCGGCGCATCCACCAGTGCGACTTCGAGGGCTGCAATAAAGTCTACACCAAAAGCTCCCACCTCAAAGCTCACCGGCGGATACACACAGGTGGGGGTCAGTGCCACGCACCCCCACCCCCCCCCCCCTTGCCCTGGAGTGTCGGGATCAGTGCCCCCTGCTCCCCATGGGCTGGGGGGGGTGTGTGGGTGTGTGATGGTGGCCTGTCCCTGAGCTCAGGGTGGGGGTCTTCGGGGGTGCTGGCACCCAGTGTCAGGGCTGGGGAGGCATTTTGGGGGCTTGGGGTGGCTCTTTGGTGGTGCTGCTGGGGGCTGGGGGGGTGGCCTTTGGGGGCTCATGGGTCTTTAGGGGTGCTGGCAGCTTGTGTCAGGGGTTGGGGGGCCCTTTGAGGGTGCCAGCACCCTCTGCCAGTGAGGGGGGGGCAGTCCTTTGGGGGATTTAATATGCCCTTTGGGGATGGTAGCACTCTTTGCCAAGGTCTTGGGGGCCCTTTAGGGGCTCGGGGGGGGGGCCATTTGGGAGTGCTGGCACCCGCTGCCAGGGCTTGCAGAGGCCCTTTGGGGGGCTGGGGGGGCACTGCAGGCTTTGGGAGGCTCTGTGCTGGCCCTTTGGGGGTGCTGGTACCCCACACCGTGCACCGGAGCCCCTCCTGCCCCCAAATCTGGTTATGGGGGGTACTCCTTGGGGTGACCCCAGCTCCCTTCTCCTCTACCAGGGAGGGCTCCTAGTGCCCCCCATGGGGTGTTTGGCCCCCCCACCCCTGGGGCTGGCACCCCAGCCTGTGCCGCGGGGAGAACAGTGGGTGCTGCCACCCCAAACCATGCTGTAACAAACCCCGAGGAGGGGGGGTGTGTAGGAGGGTGCACACCCCAAAATACCATCCAGGGCGTTGCTGGCAGCGTGGGTGTGGCAGCTGGCGCCGAGATGCCGAGGGGTTGGCGCGGCCAGGAAACCCTGTCTTTCTCTGTTAGAGGGTGGGGGGGGAACTTTTTTCCGGGCTGACCCCTCCCCGTTCCCCCCGCCCCGCGCAGGCGAGAAGCCCTACAAATGCACCTGGGAAGGCTGCACCTGGAAATTCGCCCGCTCCGACGAGCTGACGCGGCACTTCCGCAAGCACACGGGCATCAAGCCCTTCCGCTGCTCGGACTGCGACCGCAGCTTCTCCCGCTCCGACCACCTGGCCCTTCACCGCCGGCGGCACATCATGATGTGAGGAGCCAAAGTTCCCCCCCTGGGCACCTGGCTGGGATGGGGAGGGGAGGACAGCGGTGGAAAATGGGGGTGTATCCCCCCCCCCCCCCCGCCCCCACACACACCCCGTCCCTGGTCCTCCGGCTGCGGCGTAGGGACTGCGGGAGCAGAGAGAGGCTGAGCTCTGCCCGGCGGCGAGCAAACTGTGGCTGCTCCAGGAGCCCCACCGGCACAAGATGTAAAAAGATGGTTTCCAGACTGCTCCTCCTCCTCCCTCGCTCCCAATTTTTTTGTTTTGTTTTGGTTTGGTTTTTTTTCTGAGTTTTTTCCTCCCCACTCGCAACATCCGGAGGCTCCTCCTTGACTCCTCACCCGGGATTCACCCAGCACCGGCCTCCAGATCTGCGCATCTTCCTCTTCAGCTTCTTTTCCCCGTCTCCCATCTTGTGTGTTCGCTGTCCCCTGCCCCCCTCGCGGTCCCTGTGAGGAAAATCGGGGAGCCGTGACAAGGACAGAGCGGGGTGGGGGGGTGTGCTCTGCCATCGCCCCACGTGCAATAGTTGTCGGCCTCTTTCCTCTCCAGGAAGCCGCTGCCTCTCCATCCCTGGCCACTGCGTGTCCCTGTCCCCGCGGGAAAAGGGACCGCGGCACGTCACCTCTCTCCGCATCCTAGGAGAGGTGCTGGGGGCACGCAGGAGAGCCAGGAGGGAAAGAAAAATCAAGAAGAGGGGGGAGGGGAAAAAACCCAACAGCACCCCAGAAACAAGAGCACTGCCACCAAAAAAAAAAAAAAAAAAAAAAAAAGGAAAGGGAAACTGCGGAACGTGGAACTGTGATTTTATGGAGTTTTAAAGGGGGGGTGGGGAGGGTGGAAGCCACCAGCTCTGGGGTTTTTTTGAAGACTGTGGGACAGTTGAACCATTTCTAAGTTAAAAAAGGCAGACTGTGGCCCCACACTTTTCTTCTTTTTAATTGTAATTATTATCTTTGTGGCGTGCTTCCCCCCATAGCCCCCACCCAGTTGCTGCGGGGGCAGCCCCACTCTCGTGCTGGGTGGGTGGCAGGATTTGGGGTTGGAGCCCTGGGGCTGTTGGGTGGTGAGAAAGGGGGTGGAGTGGGGGCTGTGACGCTCCCACATCCCCCAACCCCAACAACCAGTACCTGTGGGGCTGGTTGGGGGCCGGGGGGCGGGGGGTGTGTGTGTATCTCAAAAGCTCTCTGTGAGCCCATGTGCCTTTGGCTGGGGGGGTGCTGGGCTGCCTGGTGCGCTGTGGATTTGGGGCAGAGCGGCTGGAAAGCTGCCCAGGGGAAAAGGCCGTGGGGGGGGGGGGCTGGTCAACAACTGGCTGAATGTGTGCCCAGGTGGCCAAGAAGGCCAACACCATCCTGGCTTGTGTCAGCGATAGTGTGGCCAGCAGGACTAGGGGAGCGATCATCTCCCCTTGCTTGGCACTGGGGAGGCTGCACCCTGAATACTGGGTCCAGTTTTGGGTCCCCCCCCTCCCCACTCCAGGAGGGATGCTGAGGGGCTGGAGCACAAGGCCTGGGAGGAGCGGCTGGGGGGGGGGGTTCACAAGCGATAGGATGAGAGGGAACGGCCTCAAGTTGTGCCAGGGGAGGTTTAGGTTGGATATTAGGAAAAATTTTTTCCCTCAAAGGGTCGTCAAGCACTGGAACGGGCTGCCGGGGGAAGCGGTGGGGTCGCCAGCCCTGGAGGTGTTGGGAAGACGTGCAGGCGTGGTGCTTAGGGATGGGGTTTAGGGGTGGCCTGTTAGTGGTGGGACTCAATCCTGAGGGTCATGGCCAAGCGGATTCCGCGAGTCTGCGATTTTTGGGGAGCTCTGTGTGTGTGCGTGCCCCCCGTCCCGCCGCGTGTCCCCGCTCCCCCTGCACCCCGTGTCCTTCCTTCACCTGACACGGCCCCAAATCCTCCCGGGAACCGCTCGCCTAAAGAAGGTGAAAAACCCCGAAAGGGCAGGCTGTGAAAACCCCTGGGGTTTGGGGGCTGCTCTGTTCCTCCGAGGTTTTGGGGTCACCGCCACCGACAGCCCCGTGGGACCCCCCCCCAGCTGGGGACTCCATCCCGCTGTTTTCCAAGCCCCGGGGTGGGGAGGGAGTGTTGCGTGTTTCTGTTTTGTATTTGGTTGTTTAAAAAAAGACCCACAAAAACCCAACCAAACAACAAAAGCAACATGCAATTTTAAACTCTGGAGCTGTGATATTTATACAAAACTGTCTGACGTTTTTTCTACACAGGAATAATATTGAAAGTAGATGAGTTTCCTCCGTGTGTGTCTTGCTTTGCCGCAGGGTCTGGGGCAGAGCACGGACAGCGGGAGCTCTCCTGCCTCCCTGCCAGGAGGAGAGGGGCTGAGTGGGGCAAAACGATGGGTTTGGGTTTTTTTTTTTTTTTTTTTTTTTTTTTTTTTTTTTGTTTAATAATTTCCCCTCTCCCAGGGACTGAAGAAATTTCAGAGCTGTGAAAAACGGTGGCTTTTCTTTCCTTTTAAACAGCTCCCGTGGAACACTCGCTGCCACTCGGGGCTTCAACACAGACCCCCGGGGTGATGGAGGGGGCTCCCCTCGAGCCCACACCCCCGAGGTAGAGAAAGGGGGGAGCAAGAACCCCTCTGAGGGGGCCCCCCCACCGCACCCCAGGCAGGGAGAGGTGCTAAACCCCAACCCCCCCAACATCCTCCCATCCCACTGGCGCTCCTGCCGCCAGCCAGCGGCTCCAGGGCTTGTTAAAATGATTTTTTTAAAGGCAAAAATGATTTTTTTAAAGGTAAAAGTGATTTTTTTTTTTAAAAGGCAAAAATGATTTTTTTTTTTTTAAAGGTAAAAATAATTTTTTAAAGACAAAAATGACCACTGACCTGCTGCCGCTGCCCCCCCCTCCCTGGTCCTGCCCTCCCCTGGCTGGTGGTTCCCCCTCCCCGCTCCCGTCTCTGTTTTGGCCTCAGCTCCCCCTTGTTTCAGCTGCCCCCCCTGTGCCCCCCCGTTTCCTTCCCCAGCACGTTCCCCCTTCCCACCTTACCTGGGGTGGGGGGGCCTGGATCCCCCCTCTTCTGGGCAGACAGCCGAAAGTGGTGCCCCCCCCCGCCTCAAGTCATACCCCCCCCCATACCTCTGCACCCCACGACACGGGGGGGCTTCTCCATCTCCCCAACTTCATCTTAGTTTTTGGGGGGGTGCAGCAGCATTTGGGGCGCTGTGGGAGCAGGTTGTCCTTCTGGTGTAGGGGTGTTTTGTTTTGTTTTTTTTGGGGGGTGGGGGGGCACTGTGCTGGCCCTTTGGGGGTGCTGGTACCCCACACCATGCCCCCCCGGGGCCCCTCCAGATCTGGTTATGGGGTGCTCTTTGGATGGGTGCTGCCACCCAAACCGTGCTCGGGGGTGCCGTAACAAACGCGGGGGGGGGGGGGGGTGCACACCCCAAAATACCATTTTGGGTGTTGCCAGGGGGTGGGTGACACCTTGGAGCAGCGGCTGCACAGCCTGGGCAAGCTGCCCAGAAAAAAAAAGAAAAAAAAAAAAACAACCCCCCCCCCCCCCAAAAAAGCAAACCCAAGGCGTGAGGTTCTGGCTTTTGGGTATTTTTTTGTGCCCCCCCCCCCCCCCCCCCCCCCCAGTCTTGGCGTCCCCCATTGCACCCAGGAGGGGTGCTGAGACCCGGCTGGGGGGGGGGACAACTCGCCGCAGCGATGACGGAGACCCCTCCGCCTGCAACCGGGTGACACGCAGCACCCCCGTGTCACACCCCCCCTTGCCCCCCCCGCAGCCGCCGACCCTCGGAGAGCAAAACCCCCTCAGTTCCTGGCGGGAACACGATTTGGGGGGGGGGGCAAAACGCCTTTTTTTTTTTTTCCCGCAGCAACACCCCGCAATCCCCGGGGGGTGATGCTCTTGGATCCCCCCCCCCCCCCCAAGGAAAGCAGGGTGAAGCCAAAAAGTGAGGCAAGCCTAATTAGCCTTAATTGCTCCGAGGAGCCTCACCTGCGACCTCCACCCCACACCCACGGGCCCCTTGCAGCTTCAAGCCCGTGACCTCCAGCTTCACCGTGGGTTTGCTACATCCCCGTGGAACTGGCCCGGTTGGCTCGTCGCTCCCGTGGGAGCTGCTGGTCCTGGCTGTCGTCCCCCCCCCCCCCCCCCCCTTTAGGGCAAGCGGTGCCCCCGAGCTTCAGCAAAACCCCTCGGTGGCCACCGGGCCCGTGGCGTGGGGCGGGGGGGGGACATCCAGCACCAATTGCTCTGGGTGGATTCTCTAGTGGCTTCGTGGGGTTGTGCTCGTAGCTTGGCTTTCCCCCCTGGGTGGGTCTTTGTGTGTGTGTGTTGGGGGGGGGTGGTGGTGTTTGCTCTGTTGCTCTTGCCGTTGCCTTTATTTTCGGGGTGCCCCCTCGGCATCCATCGCGTCCCCCTTGTCGTGGGTTTCCTCCAGCTTTGTGCGGGGCTGGGAGGGGACAGACCCTCTCGCAGGACCGTCCCTGCAGCATGGGGGGAAGCCCCCTCGTTGTTTTGGGGGTTTGCTGAAAGTCCAAGGCTGGTTTTTGTTTTTTTTTTTTTTTGGGGGGGGGGGAGGCAGATACCTTCTCTTTTCTTCCACCCCACCACTTGTCCTGGAAACACATCTCAGACCCTTCTTCTTCCTCTCCCAGGAAAGCCTGGGGTAGCTGCTGAACGTCCCTCCCCCGGGGCTGCGATACCCCCCCCCCCCCCCCGTGCCCCAGCACTGCCCAACTGGGGTCACCGGGGGCCTCCCCAGCTCCTCGCGGCTTTTTTTCCCCGGCCTCTCCTCACCTCACGGCCAGGCTACAAAAAAAAAAAAAAAAAAAAATTTCACAAGCCTAAAATGACTAAAATTACTTCCCAGCAAAGGCTGTGGGGGGGACTGCAGCCTGCTGGGGGGGGGGGGCGAGGGGGGGGCTGTCCCTGCTTGACTGGTGGCTTCCCCACCTCCCTGGGGTGTGCAGTGGGGCGATGCTGTCGTCCCGGGGGGGGGGTACGATGCTCATCTGTCTCCTTGCTCTGGGGTCACCCGAGGTCCCCCCGGCCGTTTTTTTTGGCCGTTTCCCCGGCGTGGCCAGGGAGGGGGGTGCCGGGGAGTGGGGGGGGGGTGGGAGGGTGGGGGGGGTGGGGGGGGGCCCCCCTCTCCCAGCCCAGCACTGCTCAGACTGGTTTAGCAAGTGGATGGGGCGGCCCGCTTTTTTTTTTTTTTTTCCTTTGAAGGGCTCCCAGGAAGGATTTGATGGCTGGAAACCTCCCCGAGGAGGAGAAAGGAAAAGACAAAAATAGGTGGTTTTGGGTTTCGGGTGAGGGAGCAGGGGCGCGGGGGGGGGGGGGTGTGTGTTTGAGGCGGTGGGTTTGCTCCAGCAGCTTTGCACGCTTTTGTCTTTGGGTGGTGGTGAAAGGGAAGCTGGGGGGAGGAGGGGTGTCCCCCCCGTTTCCCTGGCCAGTGTGGGTCCCCCCCAAGGCTCCCGCCCAGCGCTGAGGCCGAACCAGGAGCTGGTGGCCCAAATCTGGTGCGGCCTCGCCCCGGGGGGGGGGCAGATTTCAGAGAGGATTTGGGGGATATCTGCCACGGCGCAGCGAGAGGTGGGTGCTCGTGGACGGAGGGGTTTGGTGGGGGGGGAGCTACAGCAGGGTGGGGAAAAGCTGCTGCAGGAGGAAAGGAAAGCTCCGTGACCCCCCCCGCCCCCCAACCCGGGTCTGGTGGGATGTTTGATGGGACCGGGGCTGACTCCTGGGGTTCCCTTGTGACCCAACCCAGTGGTGGCTGGTCCCCCACCACCTGGGGAGGTCTGAGGATGAGTGTGAGCCCCCTCCCCAGCCGGGGACTAACTGGGGGTGTCTCTGGCTGCCAGCAGCACCTGGGACGGTTCGGGAGGTGGGGGGCTGAGATTTATCTCTCAACCTGATCCAGGTTTCCTCAAAGCTCGGAGCTTTCCTTGCTGTTTTAGCGCAAGCCTCTGTAATTTCACCCCTTGGCTCCTGCACCCTCTGCTCGCAGGTGAGAGGAGGACCCGGGTGTCATGTTATCCATGAACCCCGATTGCTTGACCCCCACCCAGTCCCAGTTGGGGAGGGGGGGGGGGGGATCAGGGTCTGGCTCCCCAGTTCTCCCCCCCGCCCCCCAGCAAGCCCCATCCCCTCCTTTGCGTTGCAAAGAGTTTTTTTAGCTACAGCCCTCGGTTTGAGAGCCCCTTCCACCGCCCCTCCTTCACCCTCTCCCCAGGGTCTCCCTTCCCCAGACCCCCAATCCGGCTTCCCCCCCCCCCCCGCGGAAGGCGACCCCATCCCCGAGGAACTCCGGGAGGAAAGCGGGGTCCCGGGAGAGCTGCCATTATCGCTGTACCTCGCTCGAGCAAGACATGCCGCCCTCGGTATTGCGTGGCACGTGGGGACAAGACGGGACCTTAGCCCAACGTCACTCGGGGGGGGTGGCGGGGGGCACCCGGAGCAAAGTGCCCGGCGGCGTTGATAGTCTCAAGGCCGTTTCCCTTCCCGCGGGGCCGGCGGCAGATAAGGGTGCTGCGGGTGGCTTTGGCCCGTCCCCGAAACGAAAAGCTGCTCCGCCTTGGGGAATCGCTGCCAGGCTGGTCTCCTCTCCGCTTTTTCATCCGGCCCCGTCGCTGCAAGCCCATGCTCTGGGGATGGGATGGAGAGGAAAAGTAACTCTTCTGACTTATAAATGTTATCATCGCTAGGGAAAACTCCCAAACTTCCCAGTTGGTAACGAAGAAAATATAAGTATTTTCCTGAAATCTTTTATCTTTGTATTAGACTTACTCTCTTTAGTTATACTTACTCTCAGTGACAGTAAATGATTAATTAAGCTGGACCACTGCATGAAGACGCATAGGGTTCTTACACCCCCAAATCATCCCTGTAAGCGAAAATAAAAAGATGGTCACATTGCTTCCTATAACACTGAACAACGTAGATAATAAAGACGAGAAGTGGGCTAAGGCCAATCCCCAAAGGAATCTTCCTGAAGCCCATGATTTTGGGGTGCAACAATAAGGTGAGCTGATCCCACTTGTAGTTTTGTAGAGCCGATGAGGTGTGCTGGTTGCCAAACTCTGGGTTTTCTTGCGGCACTGATTTGAGGGGCCGCTCTCTGGACAATCCCCATCTAGTAGGGGGGGACGGGCAGGTGTATAACCCTTGTAATGCAGGTACCCCAACAGTAACACAGCGACTAGCGTTGGGATTAAAAGGAACGTGATAAAAAGCAGCAGAGACATCCAACGATGCCCAGGAGAATCCTCGAGGCGATAACTGGGCCGATGCCGCTGAGGTTTGGGCAAGCAAAATCAGGCCAGGACACTTTAGAGGATTTTTCTTGAAAGCCGAGAGCTCTCAGCCCACCACCAATCTTGGTTCAGTAGCATTTCGAAGATGTTTGTCCACAAGAAAGCAGCCCCCAATAACCCTGTTAATAATACGACCAGCTACGGGGACGCTTCTGATTTTACTGCCGTAGGCGTACGTTCCGTATGTGCAGACCTTCTTTCCTTGTTTTCCCGTGATCCCGGAGATGCCATCTCCTGCCTTGTTCCCCTTCCTGAGATGGAATCTCAGGGGTAGTTCCTCGGTGTCTTTGTTGTTGTTGTAGGTACCAGTTTTTTGCTGTTTGAAAAAATCGAGGGACTCATAGCTCAATTACGCCTTCCATCCGTAGGCGGGAAGCTACACCCCGAAGTGTAGAGATTTCCCCAGCACTCCTGGGACTTACTACTGCCTTTTCCGTAAACGATGCGAGACTCCGAAAGAATATATAGGTAGTCAGCACACTTGACCCGAAGAAGTAATGATGCCTCATATTTATTTTTGATGGCACAAAATAATGGCCAATGAGTTGCACTTGGTACGTATAAGTGTGCAGCGTAGGGGCCACCTGCCATCTGGTGTGGCGAGTTTACAATTATCTTCTAGATGACAAGAAGGAAATGGAGGAATTTTCCAGTCCTTATTAAATTTTGATTCTGGATTGTGATATAGTCCTCAAGGATGCATAAGGTTGGCTGATCGCTTTGCGGGAGGTGGAGATGATCTTCCGTGCAGACCCTTTGAACGACTGCTGCTGCTTCTAGGAGATCTAGGTGGAGTTCTTGATTTTCTCCTCCTTGGTCTGTGACAGTGCTCAGGAAAGGATGGAGGAATGGGTGCGTTCGGTGGTCTATATGCAGCAGGAGTCCTTATCCAGGTTCCATAGCATATTATACATTCAATCACACAATCGCCCCCAAATTCTAAGCAAGATAAATGGAACCACAACGGTCTCCTGACCCAAATACCTGAATTTTCACCTGAATATCGGATAAATTCAGCAGACTTCCATCAGGCGTTAACTCTAGTATCTTCTGCCCAAATTTCTTGCATTCGTAACAACATCCCAGGGCGTTCCTCGAGGCCGTACGACGAAGGAGCGTGATGTTGCTCATCGCCTGGCTGCTTTCCAAGACGGGCTTCAGGCGTTGGTGCCACCTCCCCCCAAAGACGCGTGGCTCTGCGCGGCTTGGTGATGTCCCCCCACCTCCCTGGTGTCCCCGAGGAACCCGCCTCGTCCTTGGCATCCCCCTCCGGCAGCGGCGCGGCGTCCTTGGGCAGCGAAGGGAAGATGCTCCAGGCCAGGCCTGAGCTCTTCCCCCTTCTTGGCTTTTCCGAGGGCCCCCCATTTCCGACTGTCCCGTCCTGCTGCCGCGAGAGTTGAACTTCCCCCTTGCTCAGCACCAGCGGCTCCTGGGGGAGGACCTGGACGTGGGTCCCAAGTCTCGCACCGATACAAACCGTTCGCGTTTGTTGCGCGTTTGCGCCGCTGGAAGCCGGGGCTCGTTAAAACCCCCCTGCCCCCTCGCCCACGCTGCTTTCCCCGCCTTTATTAAGGGTCTCATCCTGCTCAGGGCGAAGCTTTCTCGCCACGGGAGGATGTTTTTAGGCCAACTCCGTTGACCCGGTGCCCTCGGGGAAGGCGTTTCCCAAGCGGCGTTTTGGAGCCGTCCCCCTGGGATGCTCACCCCCCCACCCCGGCTGATGTTTTTCGGACCCTGGCTTGGATGTGGTGGCTCCTGGCATCGTTTGAACCCTCACGGGTTTACGTGGGATCCTGCCCAGGAGGCACCAGAAAGTGTGTGTGGGGGGGCTGATGGGGCGGGGGGATAAGCACAGAAGACCCTGTGGCCGGGCTCAGCCTGACACGGTGCAGCTCCTCGGGAAGGTGCTGGGGACACTTGGGGCTGGATGTGGCTGAAGGAGAAATTTTATTTTATTTTATTTTATTTTTTCCTTACCAAAAAGGTGATTTTTAGTCCCTTGTTGCTCTGGCTTTTTACACTCCTTTTTTTCCCCTCTCTCTCAAAAAGAGAAACCCAAAAACGGTCGCTTGGTTTTCTCCACAGCTGGATAGCACTGTGCCCTCATAGCCGCACCTCTGAAACTTTTCCTTTGTTGTTCTTTTCCGTTTCCCCTCCCCAAAAGTTTATCCTTTTCCCCCTTTACTGAATCTCTATATTTTTTTGATCCTGTGTCTTTTTGTCCCCCGGGAACATGAAGCACACGCAAGCAGGAATCTCCTTGTCTCTAAAAATCAGTTTTTGTGCAAAATTCAGCCATTCATTGGAAAATGGCATTTTCTCCAACCCCACCCCCCCCCCCCGAAAAAAAAAAAAAGGCATCGCTTTTAAAAAAAAATAAAATAAATCCCTTGTTTCAGCGCTGGGGACTCGGCTGGGGCGAGAGTTTCCCCGCCGTGGGTTGTTTCGGCCCCTCTCCAGCCCCGGCTGGGGGTCCGGGGTTGGGGTGGCACCGGTGGGACCGCGTCCCGCCGTGGCTGAGGGCGAAGCTCCCGGCCACCCGCTCGCTCTCGGTGGCCTTTTATCCGCCGGTGGCCCGGTGGAGCTGCCGGTGGGGCTATCGGCGGGAGCCTGATTGGCTCGGCACGGCCTCGCCGCCGCTTCCAGGTTGGCGTTCCTCCTCCCGCAGCCCAGGTAAAGCCTTCCCGCGACCCGGCACCTGGCCTCCCAGGATTAGCAACTCGCTCCAGCTCACCTCTGCCTTCAGGTTTTTATTTTTTTTAACTCCTTTTCCCCTCCCCTTCCTTTTATTTTTTTGTTTCCCCCCCTTTTTTTGTTTTGTTTGTTTGGTTTTTTTTTAATTTTAATTTTTTAAAATTATTTATCTTATTATTTGTTTTTATTATTATTTTTTTTAAATATAATTTTTAAACAAGATTTGGTTCCCCCCCCCCCCCCCCTCCGTGGGAAACGGGGGCGCGAGGGGTGCGGGAGGAATGAGCAGCGGGCTGGTGCTGCGCACCCCGCTCCCCGAGGACGCCTCGGCGTTCACGCCGCTGAAGCCCGTCACCATGTCGGGGGAACCCGGCGAAGACACCCCCGTCTTCGAGGACATCAAACCCCCCGCCCGGCCCCTGGAAAACCCACCCGACCTGGCGCAGGTAAGGGGGAGGCCGGTGGTTTTGCCGCGGGGCAGCGCGCAGGGGGCCCCGCGTCGCCCGCTCAGGTGCACCCAGGCTGCTAATGCCTCCTGCAAACGCAAGCGTGGATTTTGACTTAATTCTGCTTTGTTTTTCCGCTCTTTGCTAAAACACCTCCGTCGCTTTGTACGCTCGTGCTTCCCCCTCCGCCGGATTTTCTCTTGGGCGTGTTGGGTTTCATTTTTTTTTTTTTTTTTTTTTTTTTTTTTCTCTCTCTCCCTTCTCTCCTGCCTTTCTTCCAAACGCCCTGTTGCCCGTTTTGGAGGAGAGCCTGGGTTTTGCTCAGTCCCCGTCCCCCGGGGCTGGCAGGTGAGGGGGTACCGAGGGGCTCTGCGCCGCTGCCGGATCCCTGGGAAAGACGTGGGCAACGAGATCGCCGTGTCTGTGCGTGATTGGGGAGCGGGGTGGGGGGGGGGACCCGGAACGGGAGGTTTATTTTCTTTTTATTTTATGATATTTATTTCTTTCCACCACCACGGCGGGGAAGGAATGCGCCTTAAAATTCCCCAGCGGCATCCCCCTCCCCTCTCTCTCTTCGCACGCCGGAGATAAAGACCCGGATAAGCGGCTTTGGGGCGTTGCTGCACGTGTGCCCCTCTTGCACACCCGTGCCCCTCTTGCACACCCGTGCCCCTCTTGCACACGCGTGCCCCTCTTGCACGCCCACCCCTGTCCTGGGCCACGTTCAAGCCCTGCTGCCCACCCCAGGCCAGGGGGGGCAAGGCTCCACGCCGGTCTTTTGGGTGACGGACCCCTCGTCCCACCACGAAGACCCTTCGGCCACTCTTCCCGGTGGGGAAAGTGGGGTGAGCCAGGCCTGCTCCCACCCCGCCCCGGTGGCTTTGACCCCTTTTTTTTTTTTTTTCCATCCCCACCCCCGGAGCAATGGGGCGAGCTGGGGGGGTGCCCGCCAGGGCCGGTGACTAATGATTAACCCCGCGCCCCACGTCCCCAGCGCCATTTTGATCAGGGTGGGAGGGCGGCTCCGGCCCCCTCGTCCCACGGCCACCCCCGCGGGGACCCCCTCGTCCCAGTCACCGCTCCTCTGGGGACCCCCGGGAGGGAACCCCCCACGGTGGGCAGCGACGGTTGGGCACGGGGCATGGTGGTGGGGGGGGGGGGGTTGGGGTTGGGCATCTCTCTGCCCGCTTCCCGGCGTCCCTGAATGCCCCAAGGGGCAGATCTGGGGCTCCGTCCTTCCGAGGGAGGTGGCGAGACGAAGGCAGCGTCTCCGCTGCCGTATTTCCACGTGAAACCCCGGCCTCCGCATTGCGGGGGGGGTAAAAATGGGGTAGGGGGGGGAAAGGGCCATGCAGCCCACCCCTGCCCCTCCGCCCCGGGTGTGGGTGGGTTCTCTGAAGCCGGGGGGGGGGTCGGTGGGAGCTCCTCAGGAAGGTGTGGGGTATCTCTAGGGCTCCGTCCCCGGTGGGGAAAAGGCGGCCGGTCCCGGTTCGGTTTGGGGAGGAGGGTGAGGTTTGCTTTTTCTCCGGCTTTGCAGCCCCGGGTGCCGGGTGGGATTAAGGCAGCGGGGCTGGTGCTCGCCCCACACCGCGGCCACGGCCACCCCGTGCCACCTCTCGTGGGGGGACGTGGGGGCGGCGAGCCCACCCATGGGTGGAAACGTCCCACGGCGCCATCCTCGCTGCCCTCCAAAGGGAAGAGCGGTGTCCCACCCCAGCTGGGCCCCTGGGGCGATGCCACCCCACCACCGGTTTGTTCTGGGGGGGGGGGAGGCAGCCACGGGTGGGCCTTGGGGGGTGGCCGAGCAGGGGTGTCCCGTCCCCCCCCTCTTTGCCACAAGACCACCCTGGGTCCCTTTTAGGGACAAGGAGGCTGGCAAGCTGCCGGGCTAGAGCTGAGCACCCCCCCTCCCTCAGCCCCTCACCGCCGCCTCGCGACTTCTTTGCAAACCCACCCAGGGCGAAGCGTTCTGGGTGGCAAAACCCTGACAGCCCAGGGCTGGACCCCACGTCTCTCGGGGAGGAGTTTGCCGTCTGTTGGCCCCCTTCCTCTTAACGAACGCCAAAGGCTGGGGTCGTGGTAGAAGAGGTGCTGAAGCAACTGCCGTAGCTGGAGGGTGGAAAAGCTGGATGGCTGCGCCTCGGGACGGGGGTTTACACGAACAGTTTTGACAAGACTTATGGAAAAGGCTGTGACCTGTCAGAGCTCCGGCGCTGGTTATCCCCCCACGGGGCATTTCCCGCTGCTCCGGCTCTCCTGACTTCTGTCTTGCTGATCTCAGGCAAAGAAAGGAGCAAACTCGGCAGCTAATCTCTTTATCTTGATGGTTGCAAAGTCGTGTCTCCCCCCGCCACCCCACCCCGCCGCCTCCCCCTGCCCCCCTCCCCAAGTCACTTTTCAAACAAGAGCGGAAAGTGGGAGCTATTGGCTGTCGAAAATTTTATTCGATCCGCGTCAGGTGGAAATGGTTCCTTTGTAGAGGTTGCGCTCAGTTTTTCCCTTTTCCCTGCCTTTTCAGCTGCCTTTCCCCAAATTAAAAAACAAACAGAAAGAGACAAGAAGAGACAAAAGGGCTGCTGAGCGAAAAGCACTTTTCCTTTCTGATTTGAGTCGGGTCAGCCAGAAACAGAATTTTCCCCTTTAAATCTCCAGAGGCCGATGCTAGAAGGATGGTGAAAAATAATAATAATTGAAACTAAAAGCAAGGCATGTCCAAGGCAGCATTTCAGAAGAGGAGGAGATGGTTCTTTTGCGTGGCTGCCAGGTACCCCCTGATGAGCAGGGGGGCTCGGGGCTCATCTGCTGCTCCCACCTTGCTGCCCTTTGCTCTCCAGGACTGATGAGCCAAAGCACCTCAGTGTTCCCGGGGGGGGGGGGGGGCTGGGGAACCCTCCCGGGATCATCTGCTGCTCGCCAGACGGGTGGCTGCGCCCCGCCGGGCTGGGTTTGACCTCAGTCCTCTGAGCTGCCCCATCCCTCCTGGTGCCACCCGTGGCTTTAGGCCGTGGTGGTCTCCCTTGGGTGTCAGCAAACCCCGTTCCTGCCCTCCCCGGGGAAAAAGGGCTGCGGTGCTGGAGAAGAACAGACCCGGGTTTCCAGCATCCTGGAGCCGTTTGGAGGAGGAAGGTGGGCGGGAAGGCGATGGGGCTTCCCCTGCTCCCCCTGCCCGACACGTGCGGGACAGGGGCCGGATCCTGCTGGGTTTTCCTGCGGCTGTGAGGAGCACGAGGTGCTGGTGAAGTGGGAGGGGGGACCCCACGCTCGTCTCGGCGGTTGGGTCTGCTGCAATGGAGGGGTGGGGGAGAACAGGGAGGGGGTGTGTGTGTGTGTGTGTGTGCTATCGGGGGTGTCATCGCCTGCTGGGTGCTGCTGCCTGTCCTCGGGGATCCGGGGAAGGCAGGGCCCACCTCAGTGGGTTGTACCGGCCCCGACTTCGGAGCTGATGGTGGAGGGACTCTGGGGTTTGCAGCAGCGCTGAGTGAGGTTGGGACCTGGTGAAGAAGCTGCTGGGAAGAGAGATGGACAAAGCCCACAGCCTGTCCCCTGGTTTAATGCCTTGCCTACCTGTACCACGAGCCCCAAGGGGGGTTGTGTGGGGACCAGTGAGCACCCAGTGGGGACAGAAGCTGCCACGGGTGACGAGGAAGGTCCCGGTGCTTGTGGCTGGGGATAGCCCCAAGCCAGCTCATCCTTCAGTGCCTCGCTTTCCTTGGGTGACCTCAAGCTGAGAAACGGTAGCAAACCGCTCCCCGCGTGTCCTCTCAGCCCAGGTCCCACCCCACAGGCAGTTTCTCACCTCTGTGCTTGGTGCACCTCCCTTCTGCCCTGCCCCAGGGCTGGGTGGGGGGCTCATGAAGGAAGAAAACAGCTCCAGCATCTGGGAGGTGCTTGAACAGATTAGATGGTATCAGGATGGTGCTGTCCCCCCTCCCCGAGAGCTTTTTCTGGCGCTTCAGATCGGAACGGCATTTCCCCGACCCCTTCAACGGCGTGGACGTAGGTGCCGTGGTGTTCCTCTGACTTTATTCCGGCAGGGATTTTGCTTCTGGTCTCACAAGAGGAGCTGGGCCAAGCATTTTTAGGTGTGCTCCAGCTCTCCGGACCACGCGGGAGCTGTTTCAACCCTGCTCCGTCCCCGCGGGGCCTGGTGTGCTGTGTCTTGCATCTCATGGGGCTGAGCCCCTGCGGCCACATCCTTGTCACGGATGTGGCTGTGAGGGGGGGAGGGCTTGGTGGTGGCTCTCTCTTGGACCAGGGATGGGCTTTCCTGCTCCCCGGTGGTCCAGCATCTTGCACAGCCCGGTTGGAATGAGGGGGTTGGGTCTTGATCAATGCAGATGTGGTTTGCATCGGGATCGGGAAGGATTCCTGCTCCATTTCTTTTATTAGCAGAGATGTAGAAATCCACAGCACAGCTGTCAAGGAGCGATTAATTTCCGCGGGCTGTCAGGATTTGCACGCAATGGGTGAATTCAGCTTTGCTGCAGGGAAAGGGGAGATGGCAGCTTTGGAGTTTTGCTCTGGACCTGCGATGAGGTGTTGTCAGCTCGTCGTGGCTGGGGGTCGCCGAGCCCGGGCATCTTTCCGCAGTTTCGCGTCGCTCTTTTTGGGCGCTCAGAGGGGACCTCAAACCTCTGCCAGGGTCCTCCTTGCGCCCAGCGCGCTCAGGGGAGGAAGGTCACGCCGCTGGATGCGGCCCCGGGTACGGGCGAGCCGCGGTCTTCAGTCCTCAGCCATCCTCTGCTCCACCAGCTGAGCAAGGAGCCGGGCTCAGGCCTCTGCCAGCAGCCCACGTTTACACCCGTGGGAGCGGAGCGGGTCGGTGTGACCGGCTGAGGATTCGGTGGCTTGGTTGCGTCTCCTTTCCGACGTGGCTGCTCGGCCCACGTCCTGCGCTTTTGCGGGGCGGCGTGTAAGTTCGTGGTTCTTCACTCCCTCTTGGGTGGCCGGGATGTCCCTGCCCGCTGGGATCCTCCCGGCTTTGCCGAAGGCTTCGACAA